CGATGCCAACGAGTCTTCCAACCGCGATGACGACGCAGCAGGCGCAGCTCCAGGCACAGATCCAGGTGAACGCGCAAAAGGTGCACGCGCAAGCCCTCGCGACGGCCAAGGCCCAAGGACTCAAGCTCGCGGACGCGCAGGAGCGCGCCAAGCAAGCCCAGTCGCAGTATGTGCAGGTGGCCAAGCAGCAGGCGCAGGCCAAGATGGCGCGGCAGCTCTCGGCGTCGCCGGCGCTGGTCTCGCCAAGCAGCAGCATGAGCAGCCCCGTGCCGAGCAGCGTTAGTGCGCCGTACGCGACCAAGCCGCAGCTCGAGGCCCTCGAACTACACTACCAAGGCCTCCGGCTCGTGCGCTCGCTGTGCAAGCTCGAGCCGCACTGGCTCGCGTCAACGTCCAACGGGATGGTCGAGTGCATTCAAAAGCTGTGGAAGTCGCCGACGCGCGTCCAGCGGCTCCAGGCGCAAGACCGGCTGCCGATCCGGTACCATCTCGAGTCGAAGCTGCTCGTGAAGGTGCTCATTCAGTACTGTCGCGCCAAGCCCGACGACGTCCAAGTGCTCTTGGATTTGCTGCCCGTGTTTTTACACCCGACGTCGTTTGACTTTACGTTCCTCCGCGCGTTCTACCGCGACGAAGTGGCGGCGACGTATGCGCCGGCCCACAAGCGCGCGATCGTGCACCTCTTCCTCGGCATGCTGCGCGACCATGCGGCGACCGAAGAGCTCAAGGTGCATGCGATCCAGCTGCTCATCATGCCGCTGTTGCACACGTCGTTTGACGACCCGAACACAAACAACGCCGACGTCATGGACCCGGACGCGGTCATGCTCATGCTCCGTGAGATCCTCGCGAGCAAGGACTACCCGCAGGACACGTTCCAGGCACTGCGCATCGAGCTCCTCAAGCTCGGCACGCTTTTGATCCAGCACATGAGTCGGTACGTGACGGACCACCGCAAGGAAGTCATCAAGTTTGCGTGGAACCATCTGAAAGCCCAAGACCTCACGTCCAAGCTCTGGGCCTATGTCAACGTGTGTCGGTTCATCTCGGTGTACGACACGCCACCGAAAATCGTGCTGCAAGTGTACGTGGCGCTCCTCCGTACGTACGAGCTCGACTCGCGCTTTCTCGTGCGCAAGGCGTTTGACATTTTGCTGCCGGCGCTGCCGACGCGGCTGCCGCCCACGAGTTTATCAAGGCCATCAAGTGGACCAAGAAGATTGCGTTTGAAGAAGGCCACATTTTGCAGCAATTGGTGCACATTTGGTACCTCGTCGTGCGCCAGCCGTCGCTGTTTTACCCGTTCCGCGGGCAGTTTATCCCGCTCATGGTCAACTCGCTCAACCGACTCGCGATTCCGCCGAGCAGCACGCAGGACAACCGGCGGCTGGCCGTCTCGGTCGTCGACCTCGTGATTGCGTGGGAGCTCACGCGGCGCCAGCGGGTCTCGGACAAGGCGCCGGCGTCCAAAAAGCGAGCCGCGACCGAGACAAGCGAAGAGAGCAGCAGCGACAAGCGTCAAAAGGTGGGCGATGCATTCGTGCCGGGCGCGCCGACCGAGCCGACGACGACCGAAGCCGAGGCGGTCCTCCTCAACGAAGACGACTTTGAGCTCACGGGCGCCATGACGGACCTCATCGTCAACTTTGCGTTCCGCTTTGCGCTCGCGTGCGCCGACAAGCAAGAGACGAACCGCCTCTCCAAGACGTGCGGCGAGCTCTTCCACCGCGCACTGCACCTCTGGCCGTCGGCGTCGATCCGGTTCTCGTACTTTGACAAGCTCATCGCGGTGACGGCCGAAGTGATCATTCTGCACGCCAAGGCGCCGCCCCCCACGGACGCGCCGGCGACGTCGATGCCGTCGTTTTTGAGTGTGCACAAGTCGGCGCCGCTCGCGTCGCTGGCGATATTGAACGCGGTGCTGGGGATTTTGAACACGCTCATCTCGCCGCAGGTCATTGCGCAGTCGAACCGACCGGTCCCGTACGTGGTGCAGTACGCGCCGCGCATCATGAAGCTGCTCGAGCCGTGCTTTGACCGCCAGCACAACGACGTCCAGCATCAACTGACGCAGTACCTCAAGCACATGATCGAGGTCCGTGTTTTCTTTTGATGCACCTCATTTTATGGTTGTCTAGTTGTACCCGCCAGAGAAGGCGCCGCCGCAGCTCGTCGCGTGCAAGTTTTACACGTGGCTGCGTGACATTTTGAACGAGCGCTTGCTCAAGGCTGCGGCCGTGTCGAGTGACGCGCCTCTGTCGACGCCGAGCACGACCATCGGTAGCCCGAGCACGAGCAAGGCCAAGCCGCCGACGCCCGAGGCAGCTCTTTTGTCGTCGCCGGCGACGTCGAGTCAAAGCGCACTCAACCCGATGATCAACCACGAAGCGGCGCGCATGCGGCAGCTGTTTGCAAACTCGCCGAGCGCGTCCGCAGCGTCGGCGCGGCTGAGCAGTCCCGGCGCGTACATGCTCAAGCTCCTCAGTGAGCTGGCGCCGGCGTCGACGAAATTCATCGACTTGTTTGCCCCGTCGCTCATCAAGCTCGCGCAGCGCCTCACAAAGGAGCATCTGCAGCACGTCGTGTCGATCGCCAAGCCGGCGTCGTCGCTCGAAGGCTCGATCGGCGGCACGGACGTCGGTGTCTCGGCGGGCGCCCATGCAAAAGACCGCGTCATGGCGACGCCGAGCCTCGCGATCGCGCACGAGTACGTTCTGCTCGCAAGCGGTCGGTCGTCGCTGACGGTCAACAATACGGTGCGGACAAAGAAGACGAAGGACGAGTCGAACGCGTCGAAGAAGAAGAAGGCGTCGGCGGCCGTCAACAGCCCCAAGGACGCGAAAGCAACGAAAGCGACGCCGGTCTTGCCCAAGTCATGGGCGTCCCTGCATCGACCATTGCGGGCCGCAAGGTGTACATGGACATGCTCATTTCGTGCTTCAAGCTCCTCGCGCTGTGCACGTTCGAGTCGAGCGAGCTCGCGCGTATGTTTGTGCACCTCATGTCGCACTGCCTCGAGCACTCGAGCCACATACCGCTGCTTTTGAGCATCACCAAGATTGTCGCCAAGATGGTCAAGGACGACGCGTCGTCGGTGTTTACGATCAAAGACAAGGTCGCGCTACTGAGCAAGATGGCGACCTTTGACCGCCTCCACGAGATCTCGGCGCAGCCGCTCTTGGCCGAGTACCACGACCTCGTGCTGAGCATCTGCGCGACGGCCGATACAAACCCGCTGTACGCGAGCGTCCACGGCGCGGCCACGACCGGCCTGCTCGCGAGCGACGTGGCCCTCCGGCGACAGTTTTTTGCGCACTTTGCCAAGGCCAGCGGCGACTCGACGACGTCGAAGCTCAAGTACATCCTCGAGCACGACTGGCAGGCGTGCGGCACTCGGTTTTGGCCCGTTGTCGCGGTCGAGTTGCTCCTCACAAGTGTCTCGGCGACGGCGCCCCTGTCGACGGCCGGCGCGCCGCTGCCTACGCTGGCCACGGGTGACGCGGCCAACGCGGCGCTAGTCGCGATGCCGCTCTGGGCCGAACACCTTGCAGTGCTCGCAAGCTGGCGCGAGTGTAGCAGCAAGGAGCTGCTTTCGCCGCTCTGCAGCCTCGTGCACGTGGATCTGGACATGGCCAACGCGCTGTGGGCGTCGGTGTTTCCGCAGGCGTGGACGCTTCTCAACCCGATGGACCTCATGGGCCCGACGCAGAACCTCTTGCGGCTGCTCTCGATGCGGTACCATCGGCGGGAGCTCCGACTGCCGCTCGCCACTGCGCGTCGGCACAATGTCGTCCAGACGCTCATGGACGGCATTGCGATGGCGTATCCGATGCCTGTGTTTACGGCCGAGCTGCTCTTGTACCTCGCCAACACGTACAACGTGTGGGGCCAGGTGTGCCGCATTGCCGAGTACATGGTGCTGAGTCCGACGACGCTTCTCGAAGACCGCGAGCGCTGGGTCGATGTGCTCCACGGCATCTACGCCGAGCTGCACGAGCTCGACTGGCAGGTCGGCCTCAACGTGCAGGCGTGCATCAAGCCTGAGACGCGCATGGCGTTGCATTTGCAGGCTCAAGGCTACCTGCACGAAGCCCAGGACGTGTACTTCCAGGCGCTTTCGCAGACGTCCAAGCAGCTCAAGATCGAGTCGAGTGCGTTTGAGCTCAAGGTGCTCGAGACGCAGTGGGTGAGCTGCGTCAACCATCTCTGCCAATGGCCGCTGCTGCACGACTTTGCCAAGGCGACGCAGAACCAAGAGCTGCTGCTCGACTGCTGCTGGAAGCGTGGCGACTGGACCACCGCAAAGCAGCTCTTGCACGCGTCCTCGATCCAGGCGGCGTCCGAGGCCGGGTCGCCGTCTGTGCGGCTCAAGAAGCTCTACATTGCGATCCTCGACGGCGACAAGAAGCCGCAGATGGACAGTCTGAGCTCGCAGATGGTCGACATGGCGCTGCACCAGTGGCAAGGCCTCCCGCGCCTCCTCTCGAACGCGCACATTCCGCTGCTCCACCTCTTCCAGCAGTTTGTCGAGGCGAAAGAGTCGATGGCGATGATGGCCGAGATCAAGGCCGCGAGCGCCGCGCACACGCTTCCGAACCTCAAGCCCAGCATCAACACGTGGCGCGAGCGGCTGCCCAACAAGCACGAGCCGATTTTGCTCTGGGACGACATTCTCACGTGGCGGTCGCACATGTTTGCCGTCATCAAGACGACGTTTAGCTGGAGCGACGCGCAGCTGCTGGCGTGTCTGCATGACTCGCCGTGGTCGATCGTCAAGATGGCGCACACGGCGCGCAAGCAGCAGCTGCCGGATGTGTGTCTGCACGCGCTCTCGACGCTCTATACGATCCCGGCCATGGACGTCCAGGACGCGTTCTCGAAACTGCGCGAGCAAGTGAGCATTTGCTACGAGACGACCAAGGAGTTCAAGGGCGGCTTGAGTCTCCTCAACAACACCAACTTGGACTACTTTGACGCGCGGCAAAAGGCCGAGCTCTTCCGGCTCAAGGGTCTCTTTCTGGACGCGCTCGGCGACAAGAGCGATGCCAACATGGCCTTCTCGCACAGTCTGCAGCTCTGCGACAGCTACGGCAAGGGCTGGCTGAGCTGGGGCCAGTACTGCGACGCGCTCTTTACGGAGCGCAAGGATCTCGACTTTGCGGCGCAGACGATCGCGTGCTACCTCCAGGCCGTGCACCACCGGTCGTCGTCGGCACGGCTGTACCTGGCGCGCGTCCTCTGGCTTCTGAGCATGGACAATGAAAAAGGCGTGCTCATCCAAGCCTTCGAGGCCCACGGCAAGCAGCTCCCGATCTGGATCTGGATCATTTGGATTCCGCAGCTGCTCATGTCGCTCTGCCGACCCGAGGCGCCGCAGGTTCGGTCGACGATCGATTGACTGGGTATAACTTGTCGACTAGATTCGCAATCTCTTGCGCGGTCTCTCGGCCAAGTTTCCGCAAGCGCTCTACTACACGATGCGCGCGTTCTTTCTCGAGAACCGCGAGCTGCTCTCGATGGACAAGGAAAAGCTGCTGGCGTCGGCGCCACCGACGCCGCTCGCCTCAACGACACCCAAGGCGACCGGCTTCAACGCGAGTACCGGCGACGTGGTCTACTTTCGCACGAAATCGGGCCACGTGGTCGCTGTGCCCATGGCGCACGAACACGTGGCCGAGATTCCGGGCCTCGTCGGTGCGAGCCGGGCGACGCCGTCGTTCTTTGGCCCTGCGACGCCCGTCCTGACGCTGGACGCGTGGCTCGAAAAGGTCGCGGGCGGTGAGCTGCTCAAGTCGGACGTGAGCCCGCTCCAGTACACGGAGGATTTGCTCAACTTTCTTCGGCGGTCGCACGACGGGCTCGCGTTCGAGATGGAGTGCGTTCTCGAAGAGATGATTGTCCGCTTCCGCCCCGAGCCCGAGGAGGAACTCTTGACCGCCGTGCACGCGCTCTTGCTCAAGTGCTACCAGCTGCCAAGCTTTGCCAAGCACGAGGCCGTGCCCAAGATGCTCCGCGACACGCTGAGCCGCGTCTGCAACAAGTTTTTCATTCTGCAGCCGCACCAGAAGAGCGAGAAGCACCTCGCGTTCGTCGCCGAGTTCAAGGGCCCGTTCGAAACCAACTTCATGCTGCCCGACGCCGACGACGACGCGACCAAGGACGTGGCGACGAGTACGCTCTCGGACGTCATGGATCGGCTCAAGCTGTGGAAGCACCTTTTGCAGCTGCGTGTCAAGCGCTACGGCAAGCGCAACGCCGACAAGGTCTTCCTCGAGCACAGCAGCCGGCACCTCGCCGAGCTGCGGCAGACCGCGGTCGAGATTCCGGGCCAGTACCTCACCAACGCCGAGCCGATCAAGGAGCTCCACGCGCGCCTCGCGTACTTTGACTCGACGACCGACGTCCTCTTGCGCAACGGGTACACGCAGCGGCGCGTGACGCTCGGCGGCAACAACGGCAAGCACTACTCGTTCCTTGTGCAGTATGCGATGACGTACATCACGCGCTGCGACGAGCGCATGATGCAGATGCACTTGCTCATGAACCGGCTCTTGCTGCGCCACAAGGAACCAAGCAGCGCCACCTTGTGTTTCACATCCCCAAAGTCATCCCGCTCACTCCGCGCGTCCGCTTGATGGAAGACAATATCGACCACGTGTCGCTGGGCGAGGTACACGAGACTATCGTAGATGACACATCTGATGATAGATGCTAATAGGTCTACGAGCTCGAGTGTGCGCTGCAAAAGAAGGACCCGGACTTCCCCGTCGAGCTCTACCGGCGCAAGATCAGCCAAGTCGAAGAAAACATGGCCAACGTACGACGACGACGATATATTGGGACGCATGTCTCACGATGGCATAGATGAAGCTCGCGATTTACAATGAGATTTGCGACCAGCACGTGTCGGAGCACCTGTTGGCCAAGTATTTGCACCGAACGGTGCCGCACTACGACGACCTCTTCCAGTTCCGGTCGGTGTTTACCGCGCACTTGGCGCTCACGTCGTTCCTGACGCACATCCTGCACGTCGGCGAGCGCACGCCGCACAAGACGGTCTTCTCGCGCGCGACCGGCCGCGTCCTCAGCTGCGAATTGCGCCCGAATTATGCGGCGAGCGGCATCGTCGAGGCCAGCTGCGTCATGCCCTTCCGCCTCACGCGCAACTTGCAGGCGTTCCTGACGTCCAACGGCGTCGAGGGGCCGTTTACGATTGCGATCGCGGCGGTCGCGCAGGCGCTGCTCAGCGACGGCCACGAGAAGATCACGATGAACCAGCTGAGCCTCTTCTTCCGCGACGACCTCCTCTCGTGGCACACGAGCAAGACCAAGAGCCGCCTCGAGCACACGCACGCCGAGACGCACCGCCGCATGATGGCCGAGAACCAAGTCAAGCAGCGCGTCGACGCCAACGTCAAGGTCGTCACCGATCGCATTGCGGCGCTCGCACCGAAACCCGCGCGCCAAATGACGCCGTCGGCGCCGACCGCGGTCCAAGAACTCATTGCGTCGGCCACCAACACGGAGGCGCTCTCGCAGATCTACCCGACGTGGTTTCCGTGGCTCTAAGGACTCTTTGTGTATATCTATCTATAATACATGTCGTTGCATCATTTGGATACATCTATCTATCTATCTATCTATCTATCTATCTATCTATCTATCTATCTATCTATCTATCTATCTATCTATCTATCTATCTATCTATTTATCTATCTATCTATCCATCGATCTATCTATCTATCTATCTATCTATCTATCTATCTATCTATCTATCTTTCGATCGATCGATGCAAACTGTATCCCACCATGGACAGTGCCCAATCGAGGCTCCACCGCATACAATCAAAGCCCCCACGCAGCTGCGCGAGGAGCACTCAATGCGATGATGACGATGCATCGAGGAGGGGAGATACGACTTGGATCTTAGCTCCTTACGCGAGCGAGACGACGTGCGGGTAGCACGGCAGCGTCAGAAATTCATCAAACTCGTCGCCGGCGAGCGCCGTCAAGAGCACGTCGTGCGCGAGCTGGTACTTGTGGCCGGCAGGCGCGGACGCGCCCCGGGCCGCCGTGCACTTGGCCAAAATGGCAAGCACGCGCGCCTTGGTGATGGGCGCCTTGTCTTCGGTGGCCATCTCATGGCGGAGCCACTGCCACACTTGGGCGCGGGAGATCTCGGCCGTCGCCGCGTCTTCCATCTTGTTGTGCAGCGGGATGCAGCCGTTGCCGCGGAGCCACGCCTCCGTGTAGACGAGCGCCACGTCAACGTTCTCTTCGAGGCCCGCGGCCGTGATCGGGCCCGTCGGCACCGCAATGAGGTCGGCTGCGTTTACAGGCGACGACGGCGCCGGTACCTTGGCGATCTGGTGCGGCGTCGGCATGACCTCGTTGAAGACGTCCATCGCGATCTGCACAAGGCCCGGGTGCGCGACCCACGTGCCGTCGTGGCCAGCCTTGGCCTCGCGGAGCTTGTCGTCGCGGACGGCCGCCATGAACTTGTCGTTGAGCGCCGGGTCGTTCTTGACTGGAATCTGCGCCGCCATGCCGCCCATCGCGTGCGCGCCGCGGCGGTGGCACGTGTGGATGAGCAGCTTGACGTACGAGGCCATGAAGGGCGTCGTCATGCCGACGGCGGCGCGGTCCGGCAGCACAAACGCCTTGTGGTTGCGCAGCTTCTTGATGAACGAAAAGATGTAGTCCCAGCGCCCGCAGTTGAGGCCACTCGAGTGCTCCTTGAGCTCAAAGAGGATCTCGTCCATCTCGTAGCCCGCGAGGAGCGTCTCAATGAGGACGGTCGCGCGGATCGTGCCCACGGGCACCGCAAGGTACTTTTGCGCCGCCACAAACACGTCGTTCCAGAGCCGCGCCTCGAGGTGCGACTCGAGCTTCGGGAGGTAAAAGTACGGCGCCGACCCGCGGAGGCGGAGTTCGTGGACGTTGTGGAAGAAATACAAGGCAAAGTCAAAGAGCGAGCCCGAAACGACTTGGTTGTTGATCGTGACGTGCGCTTCGTCAAGGTGCCAGCCGCGCGGGCGCACGAGGAGCGTCGCCGTCGTCGCGTTGAGCACGTACTTCTTGCCCGTCGCCGGGTGGTCGTACGAGATCGTGCGGCGGACCGCGTCACGCAAGTTGATTTGGCCCGACACGATCGTCGCCCACGTCGGCGACGACGAGTCCTCGAGGTCCGCCATGTAGCACTTGGCGCCCGAGTTGAGGCCGTTGATGACCATCTTGCGGTCCACGGGGCCCGTGATCTCGACGCGGCGGTCCTCGAGGTCCTTGGGGATCGACGCGACCTTCCACTCACTCTCGCGAATGTACTTGGTCTCGGGCAAGAACGTCGGGAAGCGGCCGGCGTCGAGCTCCTTCTGGCGCTGGACGCGCGCCTGCAGCAGCGCCTGGCGCCGGCCCTCGAAGGCCTCATGGAGGTACGCCACGAAGCGCATGGCGTCCGGCGACAAGATCTCAGCGTACTCGGCCGGCTGCGCGCCGAGGATGCGGATGTGGGCTTGCGTCATTGCGAGAAAATCCAAAAATGCATCTTCCGGCCCCACGATGATCAAATTCCCGTTTTTCTGCATACGAAACATAACATAGCGTATATTTCCACAAAGAGGCATGGCGTATTTCGCGTGCGCGGACAATATGACACCCGCGATGGATCGCACCGTGGTGCTACCCAGCGTATAGTGATGCAAGTTGTGCCTCTAGTGCCTCCTGATCGAAGCGCCGCGCCGTGCGTCGATGGAAGTGATCGCGTGCAGGGGCTGAAATTACCGTTTTTTAACCGAAATGTACGTCCGAACATCAACGAAGCAGGCGATCGGTTGCCAAAAGCTCCAAGAAGGCGACATCACGTCGTCATCCTCCCTCTTTCTCATGGACATCCGTGGGCTTCTTACCCTGTTTGCTCGTCGCGGCAAGGTCGGAAGGACATTTGAGTGATCACTAAACGCAGGTAAAAACCATCTCATTACATTGTTTAGCTCCAATAATCTGCCCATTTGTTTGTATTGCGAGGGTCGTTCTGTTTTTCACCAGTGCCACCAAGCACTCTCTCTCAACGCCTGATGCCATCATTGCACCTACTATTTCTATTATCTCTCTACAAGTCGCCCACAGACGCATCGTGGACTTGGATCAGATCCAAGCAACGACCTCCTCCTTTTGTGCTGCCTTTGGTCCGACCCTATATCATCTCGAGTTCACAGCTCCGACTGCATTTCGCACCCGGCCCGTCGATTCTCACTGCGGACGCGCCGCTGCGTGGCATGCCGGTCGCGCTTTAGGTCAACTTTGGGCCAGCGCCGTGCACTCTGACACGTCACCTTGCCCTCTGATGTCCTCGACAAAGCTCTGCCTTTCGAGTCAAACATGGTCCCAGCAACGGACTCACCACGGACCACGCCACAACGGCAGCTCTCGGCCCCGGCGTTGCTGTTCTGTCGCGGGAAGCAGTGAGCGCTCCGTGTCGCTACCGCCAACAAGTATAGTTTGTAGTATGCGTTCGGGGAGCGGGGCTTGGTTCCGTTGGTACTGTAGCCATGACTGTAGCCATGACTGTAGCCTCGTTGGACGTAGTACTTTGTGCTGGAAATCGAGTACAAAGACGTTGCGCAATAGCTCTGCAGTTTGTGCACGCTGCATGTGTCTACCCCAGCGACGCTACGTAGGATGTCCTTGGCTGAAGTTGCCGCAAGTCCGAGCACACGTGTGGCTCCATGTCTTCAAGAATATATTACCAGTTGTAGCTCGCCCCGCAGACAGACTTCGGCATCAAGCTTCGTACCCAAACCTTAAGGAGCTTTGAGCCACACGTGGATACAGACATGGCTTCGGTCCGTCGGTCCTCGACGCAGTGCACTCTTCCTGAACCTTTCGCCACGATCACAAAGCTTCCGCAGCGTGGCACGGTGCCCAAAAGCCTCCCGATTGTACGGTATCTCGATGCTTGCTTGCATTTTGCTGCCTCGTCGAACCGATCGGTCGTCGATGATATTCGATGATATTAGCATTGCGTGTAGAGAGCATCGACGCAGCCTGTACACCTGGAGCGCAGCCTCGAACGCTCCATCACCCTTCGACTTCAATCAAGTCAGTGCAGCTGGGATCCTGATACGAGTCGCTTCCGTCTCAGCCGCCTTTACCGCCAAGGCCGCGCTGAGGCCACGAAGGACCTATGTAGCCAGCATATATCCATCTGGGCCAATGACGACGACCACGGAACGCGCCAAGTCGCGCGGTCAAGGGCGGACGGGCCAGCTGGATTTGAATTTCGCGCCATCGTTCGGATAACTTGGCCCGTATCCAGCACGGTGCCGCATATCCAAGCTTGGGGTTTGTATGGACGGGGGTAAAATAAAAAGACGGAGTGCCATTTTGGACGTTGCGCAGGCGAGCAGAAGCCGTGGCCATGGACATGCAGGCGCGGGGTATGATGCCGGCAACGTCCTGCAACGCATGGCGAATGGCCGCAGTGATAGGCGTCGACAAGGAGAACTGGCCGCCGCCCGGCGTATGCAGGCCAAGCGAGCGCAAGACAACCGCGAGGTCGGACGACACGATCGCTATGGCCTGCGCCTCATGATGACGCGCAACTAGGACAATGGCAAAGCATGAGAAGCAGCACGTAGGCGACGATCCAAGCAAGCCCTTGATAGCATTGGCTCGGTCTGTGTAGAGCGCTGCGACGAGTGGCAAAAGCTACTGGCCGCCAGAGGTGCGAGCACAACCGCCGTGGGGAGCATCTTCCAGCGAGCATCATGTAGGACGACAAGAAGCTGCAGGCGCTTGTGTACGGCCTCGGTACGAAGAACTGGAACGAAATCGGATCGCACTTTCCGCACAAGAGCGGGCGCCAGTGCCACGAACGGTACGAACATCCTCGCTGCGATGGAGATAGAGGATACATTACAGGTGGAAGATGCTCTTCAACGATCCGTCCTACTTCCAATCCATCATGATGGAGTTTGCGGCCTCGACGACTCGCCGGTCGCTTGACATGACGCCTCTCACGGCGCCGGAGAAGCCCAAGTCCATCCCGGCCCTTCCCAAGCGACACTCGTCTGCGAGCCCGCTTGTGCAGAAAGTCAACAAGCTCCACGACATTGCGAACAAACTGAAATGCCGCCAAGAGTCGCATTCGTCCATCAACGGCAATAGCGTCGAGATGCTTCTTTCGCCCGGCGCGGGCCAGGCCATTACGGCCGTCCCCGTGGCACTCAAGCGCAAGCTCGAGCACTGGAGCGCCATGTACGGCGTCGACGTCGATCACATGGAATACGTCACGTTCATCAAGCGTCCGCCGGCGCCGCCCTCGGGTGGCTCTACACAAGTGAAATGATTTCTGAGATGGGGTTAGGGTACCGGCCACGACGCATTGTTCGAGTGCCGCCACCGCTGCAAGAAGTAGTCGCGTACGTTGTATTGGACAAGGCCTGTCTTTGTATAATTGAACACATTGTCTCTGAACGTAGCCCATCCCACGACTGCATTCGGTCCCAAGTGGATGATGACATCGATGATGAGGACGACGCGTCATGGGCAGGCGAGACCAGTGCGACGGACCTTGAGATGCACTTGCTCGGTCTAGTCGAGTGGCAGAGCCCGCAACACACGTCCCTTCGGTCGCAGCTCACTGCGATCAATAACTTGATACGAAAACACGATTAAACTTACTTGTACATTGTAAACCCCAACCCTGGGTCGGAACTTCTCTCTCGTTCAATCCAGGGGTAATACATGATACCTAATAGCTATTATTCCCCTCTGGTCGGGCATCAAGACCACTGAAACACTAGCGGCGACGGCTCCCATGAAGGCGCCATCTATGATGCGCAAGCATCGTAGCGTTGAGTAGGCCCTGAGTCTACTCAGAGTAGGTGAGTCAACTCACTCAACGCATCTTTGTGTCATGAGGATGTATTCATGCACGATGGAAATGGGCCTTCTTCGCTGTCCCTGGTCCATTGCTCCGAGATCAAGTCGAGGTCTTTGTTAAAGAGTGCCGTCTCAATTTCATCAAGGCCATATTGCCATATTACTGGAATGGGGTACTTGGGCGACAATGCCGCTGGTGCATGTTGAAGGTAAAGCTGAGCAATGTCATCGCCACCGTACTTTTGTACATGTTTTGCCGAAGAGGATGGCAGCGGAACACCTTGTGCGACGTAGAGCTGCAGCAGCGCGAGGGCACCTGGCTTGCGCATCACTCTCTTGATGCTGCGGTTGGTTGTCGGAAGGGGGTATCCCGCCGCGACAAGGCGCTGGACGATCTCAATGTGACCGTTATCAAGAGCTCCTCGCACGGCATCGTCTCGGCTTCCACCTTCGCGTCGATGCGTCAAGAGGTAGTCCACGACGTCGAGGTGCCCGTTCTTCGCGGCTTCGTCGACGGCGGAGGTCGTGCACGGAAAACGCCCGAGCTCGTTCAGATAGGTAACGATGTCTAGCTCGCCTTCGGCGGCCGCCGAGTCCAGAATGACACAAGACGCACCCTCGTCACGGTGCGCGACGAGAAACCGAACGACATCGAGGTGGCCCTCGACCGTCGCACCGCTGAGCGCTGCCATCGTGCAGCCCTCGGTTCTCTTCTCGTGCAAGAAGGTGACGACATCGAGATGACCGTTGAAGGCGGCCCGGTCCATTGCCTTGGTCGTACAGCCTTCGCTTCTCTTCTCGTGCAAGAAGGTGACAACATCGAGATGACCGCTGACCGCAGCCCGGTCCATTGCCTCGGTCGTGCAGCCTTCACTTCTCTTCTCGTGCAAGAAGGTGACGACGTCGAGGTGGCCATTGGCGGCAGCCCAATCCATTGCCTCGGTCGTGCAGCCTTCGCTTCTCTTCTCGTGCAAGAAGGTGACGACGTCGAGGTGGCCATTGGCGGCAGCCCGGTCCATTGCCTTGGTTGTGCAGGAGAGTCCCCGGGCATGCAAAGTCTTGACCAGAGGCAAATGACCTTGCCTGGCCACCGGATCCAAAGCGCCGCGTAGCCCCGACGGTGGCAGATGCGCGATCAAGAACCCAAGTGCTTCGAGCGCGTAAGCTTGGAGCGCTATGGGGACAAGGCTGTCGCTGTCCCAGTCGCGTTGACGATGGGCCCATAGCAGCGCCAAAATGGACGCATCGTTCTTGTAGAGCGTCGAGCGGCATGAGGGTAGCCAATCGTCGAGAAGCCGCGACGGCCGGCCGTGGTACTCGTCGTCGAAGTTGCGGTTGAGCTCTGGCACTTGCGTCACCCGCTGCTCCAAGAGGTACGTGGCGATGTCAAGATGATCCTGTTTAATCGCAGCTTGGATGGCCTCTTGGTACGCGAGGTCGGGGCGGCAGCGCAGGATACGTTTGGTCGCTGCCAGGTCGCCTTGGAGGATCGCAAAATGCAGCGGAAAGCGAGGATCCCGCGTGTTGAGCACATTGAGGCAGAGCGTGCGCACGCCGATGGTGTTGGGCGGGTACTCGTCGTCCCAGCAGGGCTTGTTGACATGGGAATTCAAGGTGCGAAAGAGCCGTTGGTCGAGACGTCATCCGGCAGCTGCATGAAGTCGACGAGGCGGTGGAAGTCGCGGAACCGACTCACGACGTCTTCATAGACGCCATGTTGATAGCCAAAGACGACGGCCGCCAGCTCGGGCTGGTGCAGCACCGCGTCGACAAAGGTGGCCATGCCGTCAAATTGCAGTTTGATGACCGATCTCTTCCTTCGTCGTTCCGACCATATCGACTTCCCATATTATCAAGTGGTCTATTGATTGATTGATTGATAGAAATATTCAAAGATTTCGCCAAAGTGGACGGTTCGCGAGCTCGTTTTGAGCAAGAATCATCTCGATTGGTCTCGATTTTGGTATCGATGAAGCGACATGTGCATCTTGTAGCTAGTCCCATTCATAGGGGTACGAGAGCGACGCGGTGAGGTGCGTGGTTTGCGCGATTTGGTCGTCGACGACGGGGGCGTTGTGCTGGACAGGGTCCAACGCGACGTAGCTCATGCCAAGCGCCGCCTTCTTGGCGCTCTCGTCTGCGGCCGTTGGCAGAACGAAGCGCAGTCCCACCGACGCGATCGACCTCTACAACGCAATCAAAAACAACACAGCGTGGCGACCGCACGCACCGGCTGCAAGACGAAGCGGCAGTACGGCTGGTCGAGCTTGATGTCGCCTTGGGTCTTGATCAGTGGCTTGCCGACAACGAGGAGGTAGGCGCCGGGGGTCACGTCCACCTGAAGTACGAACGGCGACTCGTTGTGGAGGTAGATGTTGGCCGGCTGGAACGCCACCAAGTCGGTCGACGTCGACGCGAGGCGCTTGAAGACGATGCTCGCCGGTGCGGGGCGCAAGAGCACAAGGCGCGTGTCCACCACGGGGGCCATCGGCTCGTCGAGTGTGACGGGCGGCGACGCTTCGCCGTCGTCTTGCTGCCCGAATCCCTCGCTCTCACTGCACACGTCACATGCCGCATTGGAAAGAAAGAGGGATCATGCACCTCGATCGGTGGTGGCTGCGGGGGTGCGACCCTTTTTTTGGCGGCTTGTGTAGTGGATACTTGTCGGCAAAGCTCTCTGGGAGCTCCCCGACACGATGGAGGTGGCTAATACAGTAAGCCCGTCGTGGTAATACCTTACCACGAAAATGTGTCTACCTCATAATCTCGGACGACTCGCGCAGAAAGAGATCAAATTGCCCGGCGACCGCGTCCCACGGATGCTCGCTGATCTTGATATTGAGCACCTACAGCGCGCTCTCGAGATGAATATAACAAGGCATGCGAACAGAACGTACCCGCCACTGCACCTTCTCGGACGAGTGAATATCGTGGCTGAATGGAAACCCGACGTAGATCTTGGTCACGGTGTGGTGGCACTTTGAAAAGTTCTCGACGTAGTCAGCGAGCAGCTCGCTAAAATGCTACAAACCGATTTGTATCCGCCGATCAGACGTGAGAAACGCGCACCTTGTACTTGAGATCTTTGTTCATGAGGGAAGGGTTGCGACTCAAGCCCAGCGCGCCCCAAAGGTGCTACGGTGCGTAGGAGTGATGCTCGGTGCAACCCGTTGTGGTTACCTGGTGCTTGACGCCGAGAACGATGTGACGAAAGACGCTGCCACCGGACGTCGACTTGAAGCTGATCGGGACGCGCTCGATCTGATGGCTTGGGTTCATGCCTTCGTACTCGGGCATGCCATGCGCTGTCAAGTAGGCAGCGACAAAGACAGCCTCGAGGCACTGGATCGGCAGCGCCTCCGCCATGATCTCCTTGGCCGTACCGTAAATGCTCTTGTAGCTTCGGTGCTTGTTGACGTTAAAGTAGAGCTTCCCCGTGTAGTTGTACTCGAGCGCGTTGAGGTACGTCTGCACCGCATGGAGCTTGGTTTTGATCGAGCCCTTCGCCTTCCATTTCGGCGGCTCCGGCACCGGCGGCTACACCAAGCGCTTCATTGCATCTACGTGCTAAGGCCATACGCCTACGTACCTCGGGCAGCTCGGGCGTCCGCAGCACGGCCTCGGTCACGACCCGGAGATGCTCACTCGCCATCTCGGAAGATGAGTTTCATGGCTATACGCACGCGTACTTCCGGATAAAACACCGAAATCCGGATACGTCAGACAGGCGGTGCGATCTTTGCAGATTCGATCGCGATGCTGCGGCACGAAGTTGGCCGCGCATGGCGCAGCATCCCATGGAACGACGTGCTCGAACAGCGCCTGAGCGCAGGTAAACTCTTGCGTGGCCAGCCCAAGGTCCAATGGCGTGCGAATAGACAAGTACTTTATGCGCAGCGGTTTGATCCGCAAGGATCTCTTGCCGTTGTACGCGCAGGACGTGATGCCATGGACACGCGTTGTGGGCTCGTACGACGAGCTCGTCGACGCTTTGTCTAATGACACGCCGTCCAACGGCGATACACGACGATATGTGCTCAAGCTCTGCGACTCGAGCAACGCGTTTGGCATTTTCTTTTTTGACGACGCGTCGCTGACGTTTGATCTCTTCCTCGACAAGTACCTTGTGCATGGCTGCGCTCTAGGATAATACGTATATGCATAGGCAAAAGCGAGTCGTGCAGCGATACATCTCCCCATGGCTTGCGCACCGCCATCGCAAGTTTCATCTGCGCGTTCTCGTCTTGGCGGTACGGACTAGTACTCTGCGTCGCCAGCTCACCAATCTCTGGGAGAAGGTCGGGCACCTCGATGTGTACGTCTTCCACGACGTACGCGCGCTCGTCGCAACGGAGGCGTACCGGCATGATGCACTCGAAAACCCGTTCGTGCACGTGACCAACATGAGTGCCAACAAAGGGGCTGCAAGCTACGACGAGGCGGCTCAGAATCTGGCGCTTTCCGATGTGGCGGGCCTCGACCACGATCAGATCCTTGACCAGATTCACGCGAGCGTCCGACTCGTGTTTCAGAATCTGACGCGCGCCAGAAACCGGCGCCACTTTTTCTCGCTGCCAAACTGCTACGAGCTCTTTGGGTGGGACTTTATGGTACGTAGTCGTCGATCACAGCACGCACGTTCCAGCGACCAGATTCTGGTAGGTCGACGACGCGGGTCGCGTTCTGCTCCTCGAGGTCAACCCTGACCCCTCGCTACGCATGTATCAAGACGGTGCGGCCATCGTGCCATTGGATGTGCTCGCGACGGGCGTCCCCTCGGACACGTTTACGCGGGTCTTTTCTCTTCAAGCCTCCAAGGCGCTCGCGTCCCTTCGCCGCCACACGTCGTCTTGAGCCTACTTTTTGCATGTAGCAATTGGCTTGCCAATGAAAGCTGCAGTGTGGTTGTTGTATGTACAAAGGTTATGGGGCAGCGGCGTAGCCGGCTTGGTTGGACCCCGTTCGAACCATACCTAGCGCATCGTTGGATCATGCAGTAACATAATACCAAGGTGACGTACAGCGACGGGTCAAGACCGTGTGCACGACGCCAAGGACGACGACACTTGCAGCGAGGACAAGCGCTATGAGCGTGCCTGACGTCATCTCGGAGGCGGCATGGATGGTCGGCGTCGAGGCGTACGAGTGCATGGCGACGACGAGGTTAAAGTACAGCGCGCAGCCCATTGTGGCGAGGGCGAAGAAGCCCCAGATGACACCCCAGCACCGACTCGAGGTGTGCGTCATCTTGGCAAACACAGACGCGTCACTACATATTGAAAAGCGATCGATCCAAAGCCAACTTACGTATCGCACGCGGATACCTGTCGTTGACGCGGCGCGCAATGAGGTCGTCCCAAATGTCATAGATCGAAAAGAGACAGCTCATGACGCCAACGAGCAGCACGAGGTAGCGCACGCCGTTGTACTCGGTCGCGATCGTCAGCGCCAGCAAGCCGCCGAGAAGCACGATAAAGCCGGCGTTGAGGTAGCGCAGGTACGAGTTCTGCGCGTAAAAGATAAAGACAAAGAGGAGCGCGATGAGGACGCCGGCCGCAATTTCGGCCGCGAGCTTGTTGGGGCTGTGGATATACATATAAGCTGGAGGTAGGACAGTAGACGTCGTTATACCTCGCAATGACGAGCGCCATGCCCCAGACGGCCGAGCCCAAGTAGCCCTACGCGTCGGCTTGCCTTGAGCATGAACATAGCGATGTACGTGATCGCATACCGCAGGTACGATGATGAACGCGATGCCGCCAACGTACTTGGTGACGCCGCCTTCGTTTGGATGCACTTCCATGCCCGTGACCTGCATTCCATGGCGCATGAGATCAGATCCGAGGCGCACGATTGACGCACCTTGCCGCATGTGAGCCAGACCGCGCTGGCATGGCCCATCTCGTGAAGGAAGACAGTCCTATTCGCATTGTCCATGAGCGATGAGGGCGTCGTGGAAGCGCACGCACAGAATCTTGAACGGATGTATGAGCGGAAAGCGCCAGCTACAGTCAAAGCGAGTGAGGCCGTGGCATGCTCTCGCAACGTACAGCTTGAAGATGAGCACGGTGTAGCCGACGATGAGGTAGATGTTCTGCAGCTGCTGGTCGTTGCAGCAGCGGAGCGTGTACCATGCGTCGTCGGGAGAGCTCGCCATGGCGCGACTGTTGGACACGATGGGAAAATGCGAGATGGCTCAAACCGAACTTATCCAAGCCAAGATGCGACATGTCCGGCAAGATATCCGGAAATTCAAAATTCACCCCGTGGACATGCAAATAGGTCGCCTATCTTACGGCACACAAACTATCCATTGGATAGTGCTTGGGATAGAATTTCAGCCCATGGGAGGCCAACACACCCAAGGTCTGTCGGAGGGGACATACCCATTCGCCTCCGCTCGGTGAATCTGCTGCATAGGCGTGGTGATGACGAAGATCTAGGTGGCTCTGTGCTCAGTCTTTCATGGACGACACGAGTGGGCGCGACTCATCTCGATACATATAGACCCAGCTCAAATCAAAGACCTAAGCATGCACGAGCAAAAGCATGTTGCACTAAATGTAGTAGTATTGCCTCTAGAGCGATTCAACTAGCTCTTCGAGCTCCACTGTATTGCGATCGCAACAGACGCGGGTTTGATCGTAGCAGGTTCTCGTCATACTAGTACCGTTCCGTGCCGTTGGCATCGCTGTCGCTCATGGAATGCTTCCAGCGCGAGCCAAACACTTATCGCGGACTTTAACCCATTCAACTCTTCTCGTGAGAGCGCAATCAATGTGCAGCACTCGTGCCGGCTCGCGTCTTGCATCTTGGCCATGTCGTCCAACAACAGCTTCGCGACGACGTGTTCTGCATACTACTACATGCTACGCCGTCAGGCACCCAGGAAGGCAGCCTCTGTGTCTTGCTCGGCGCTGAAGGAGCACGGAGCTGCATGACCCAAGGGTCAGGCTCGCGTCTGTGCTGGCGTCGATGAAACGGTTCTAAACAGATGGTTTTCACAAATGTGTTTAAAACACGCTGAAACGGTGTTGGATTCGATATTTTGCCGCGCTGGAGTTTGAGCGACGGGGCGACCTCGTTTCTACGGCCTCGGCCTCTTCGTGCGCTATCTTCGAACTCATTTTCCATTTCGCTCGGTACCGCAGACGCCCAGCCTCAGCATGCGCAGCTACGTCGCCTCCGTCGTCGCCTGCCTCGCGGCCAGCGCCGCCGGTCACTCGTGGATCGAATGCACCGACTACCGCATGGCGGCGCCCGACCAGCCATGGGACCCGACGCTCTGCAAGGGCCGCCCGCGCTGCAGCGAGCGCCAGACGGCCGCGGGCTTTGGCGTCGATACAGGCATGAACATCGAGAAGAAGCAGTGCCAATGCGCCTACGGCTCGGACGCCGGCAAGGCGATCCCGACAGCGACGTACACGCCTGGGCAGCGCGTCTGCCTCGCGTACCCGCCAAAGACCCACGTCGCGGATACGTGCACGGGCGCGTTCATCCCGGACCAAGAGACGATCATTTCGCGGACGGCTCTCGGCGCCACGACCGACGACTTCAGCGGAAAGACGTACGAGCACCTCAATGGCAAGCACGTCGACGGTACGATCGACCACAAGGGTTTCCAGAACTGCCAAAACTTTTGCGCCGACAAGGACAAGGCGCTCTGTACCATGTGCTTTGACCTCGAAGCCGACATTGCGCCCGGCAAGTACAGCTTCAAGTGGGAGTGGGAGTTCAACAAAGGTCAATTCTTTACGACATGCTGGGAAGCGGCCGTGGCGCGACGCCTGTCGCCGCGGTTGCCACGACGGCTGCCCCGCCTGTCCCCGTTGCGTCGTCCAACTCGACACCTGTGACGAGCGCCGTGCCAGCGGCGCCCTCTCCACAGCCGTCGACTTCGCTCGCACCAAACGCGACGCCATCCACGACGTCCCGCGCATGCGAACATTTGAAACAGGCCGCTCTCGCCATGCAGTGCCCCGCCATTTGAGCGCCTTGTTCAGCTGTCCTACTCGTCTACTATAAGCCTATCTAAATACCACCGCCGAAGTGTTGTACACCGTGACAGTCGAGTCTTCAGCTACGTTGCAACGCCCGTTTTGAGCTCGTAACGTCGGTTCCGCATGGAGCCGCCGGACGACTATGTCCCGTCTGGCGTCGCGATTCCAGTACGTTGAATGCATTGCTATACCATTGACCACAGCCCTCTAGATATGCGTGTACACGGCCAGCGCATCTTCTGCGGCCAGCGGTGCGCACCTTGAGCCCACTCCTCGGCTCGCTCGTAATGCCACCGTGTAGAGCCTTGCGCACTCGAGGTGACTTCGTCCAAGCAGATCACCGTGACCGCCAAGGTTCTTCTGTCGTTTATGTGTCGAATAGAAAAGCACGGGCGCTATGTAGACTGGGTCGTCGAGTCTCCGCGCCGACCATGCGCTGCAAACGCCGACGGCCGACGACATTGTGCGCCAGTCGATGCAGCCGCTTCTGGAAGCCGTGGTCAACGGGATCCACGGGTGCATTCTCTGTGGCGGCAGCGCGCTCTCGCCGCACGTGGCGATATTCCAAGGCGACGAGACAACCTCCGGGCTGGTGGCGGCCGTGCTATCGACGCTCATCGCACTCCTCAGCGCAAAGACGTCGACGACGTACTATCTCCGGGTTTCGTTCGTCGAGATTTACGAAGAGACGGCGACGGTGCGCGACCGTTGCTCGCATCCCATCTCCCATACATTCGTTTGCGTAGGATCTGCTCACGCCCAAGCCAGTGGCCATACCGCACATCGACCACGCGACGCGACTGGGGCCGATCAACTCTGTCGCGGCGCTCTCGAGCGTCCTTGCCAACGCACGGAAGCGGCGCCATGCCGGCACGACCGCGCACGGTACACCCGCCATCGACTTTGCCGCGGCCATCTTTCGAGTGAGCCATGTTCTTGTCTTCTGGTCGCGGACCATGGGGTGGTCGTGTAGGTGCACATCAAGCAAGTCGAGAATACAGGCAGCCGCAAAACCACCTACTCGCGCTTGAACGTAGTAGACTTGCCCGCGCTCAACCATCTCAACGAGGTACCCACGTGTATCAACTTGATACAAAAACTGTTGTGGTAGTCGGTGCGCTTGGCCGAGAGTCCGCTTCTCACCAAGTCACTCGTTGCATTCGAAAGCCTCTTGCAGGCCCTCTCGACACCGTCGACCAGCTTTTTCCCGCCGTACGACGCTTCGCTCTTGACGGAGCACTTGCGGCAGGCCCTCGGCGGCGACTGTTCCACGATGGTCCTATCGACAAGAAGCGTTTGGAAAGCGCTGAGGGCCGCGTAGGCGTGTATCGGGCTCGTGCCCAACGATTTCGACGGCGCCAAAGCCAGCTTGCTGGTCGCGTCGCTGCTGCAGCAAGTGCACAATTTTCCAATCGTTCACAACGCATTGGTCGACGGCCTGGTAGGTCGCAGTCTCTACGAGCTAGCTAGCTATACATCCAACGGCGACTCGTGTTAGCAACGCCGGTACGAGCGCGAGACGCAGTCGCTCAAGGGCGAGCTCGCCTTTGCCAAGGCCCGTTCGAATGAGAACAACAACCACAGTGAAGAGTCGAGCGATCTCGTTGCGCTGCTGCAGGCGACGCACGAGCTCGAAGGGCGCTGTCTCCGAGAAAACCTCGAGAAAATCAAGCTTCGAGAGCACGCCGAGTCGCTGCAAAAGGCGCTTGCCGAGTATCGAACCAAGTACCAGACGCTCGTCGAAGGTGACGTGAACGTGCGGCAGCAGCTGCTCGAGAGCGAGCGCGAGAAGCTGCGCCTTAGCAAAGCACTGGTCGACCTCCAGCTCGCCCACGCGTCGAGCCAAGAAGACATTGAGAAGAACTCGTTTGCACTCACAACGAAGCTTCTCAACGCAGAGAACGACGTGCTTGAACTTCAGATGCGCGAGGAGGAGCACGCCGCGCACTTGAAGCGCGCGCAAGACGCAGCGAGTACAGCGATGAGCGAGAAGCGGGAGCTAGCGATCGAGTTTGTGGCGCTCAAAACCAACTTTGTCGCACTCCGCAGTGCCCACGAGAAGGAAGTCGCGACGCACCAGCAAGTCGGCCTCGAACTCTTGACACTCGTCAACCAAAAGAAATCGCTGCTGGGGGTGGGTTCAACTCTCTCGCGCCGCACAATTTACCGTGTGTAGCAAATGGAGGACCTCGAGCGTGGGAAGAAGGACGCTTTGGAACTGCGTGCCAAGGATCAAGTAGCACTGGATGCGCTAGCCAAGCAAACGAGCGAGCTCCACGAGCACCTCGCAGCCGAGAAACAACGAGCAGAGCGCCTCACCAAGACAAATGTAAGCAACTGTCTGGATGCGTGAGATGAAGACGTGACGTAGGTGGAGCTCGAGCTGCAAGTCAAGGCGCTGCGTCTCGAAGCCGACGCGCGGCAGCTGCAGTACGAAAAGGCGGCGCAAGAGGCGCTCCAGGAGCGAACGAATCATGCTCGACAGCTGCAGCAGCAAGCCCACGACCAAGCGACCGCCGCCCAAGTACATCCATCCGGGTGCGATGGTCCAACACATCAATTGGGATAGGCGCGCATCGAGGCGCTCCAAGACCAAGTCAAAACGCTCACGTCGACCGTACGACTGTGCTCCTGGATAATCCTGTATCTGGTTACTGCATTTTCTAGATGCGCCAAATGGCGCGCCAGATCGAGGATCTGGAGACGGTTGTGACCAGAAAGGCGAGCGAGATCGAGGCGCTAACGCAAACCACGTATGCAAAAGCCGCCTGTCGTTTGAAATTGACTCCGAGACGACGCGGATAGAACGCGCCAAGCGATGGACCTCGAAGCCACGGAGCGCGACTACCGCGCCAAGCTTGAGCAGCTCTTGCGGGCGGCGTCGGGCGCTGCGCCAGCCGCGGGTGGCGACGTCGTCGCTAAAGAGCTCATCGACTCGTTTCGGAAGAAGGAAGAGGACCTTCTCGCGATGCTCCGCGAGACGCGCCAGGACGCGACGCGGTGGCAGCGCCGCACGTACCAGCTCTATGACGTGGCACTCCGTCTGCGCCGCATCCTCCACGACCACGATGTGGTAAAAGGCAAACGATCCACATCCTTCTTGCATATCCCTTGTAGCAAGCGGACGACGTGCCCAAGGACATGGAGGCGTGGGCGTCCGAGACCGTGGCCCGTCACGCCGACAGCGAGGCAGCGGCGGAGCTCTGGCGCACCAAGTTCGAGGCAACGCAGCATGATTTGCACGTTCAGCTCGAAAAGAATTTGTCAATCGTCGAGAGCTACAAGGGCATGCTGGCCGAGAAGAGCCTCGAGCTCACGCGCTTGAACGCCGAGTGCGCGAGTATCAAAGCAGACCGCGATCGCCTTGAGGCGCAATGGGAGCGGTCCAGCGCCATGCCATCGCCCGGGGCGGGAAACGACGGCGCGGCTCAAGTGCGGCAGATGCAGGAGACGCTGCTTGCGCAGATCGCCGAGCTGCGACAGCTGTACGCCGCCAAGCAGACAGATGCTGTCGAGCTCAGCGCGGAGCTACGGGCGCTCCAGAAAGAAAACCAAAAGCTCAAGAAATTGCACAAGGTGCCGTCGGCCAACATGGCCCATGTGGAAGAGACCGAGCGCCGCTGTGCTGAACTGCTCACGCGCAACATCATGCTGACCGAGGAGGTCGCCAGCTTCAAGCAGCTGCTCAAGGTACGCCAAGGATCTGTCCATGGCACATAATTGTGATGGGTAGGCGACCGCCACCAAGTACCAGCGCCGACTCGCCGAGCTGCAGGAAACGCGGCAACACACAGTGTAGAGATCGCACGGCGAAAAGGAGACAAATTACAGAGTTTGTGGCGTCTTAAAACTTGAACACCATATCCGAAGTATAGTTGAGTTCCTTGAGAATGCCCTCGACCTGGCCCTGCGAGAAGTCCTTGGCCTTGCCGCCCGAGACCGTGGCCATCATGCCCGGCGGGCCGCAGACAAGCACCAAGTTGTCGGCGGCCGGCGCCGGCAAGTGCTTCTCCAAGAGGTCCTTGTCGACGCGGCCCGTGAGACCCGTCCACGACTCGCTCGGCTTGCTCAAGATGTGGATGACCTTGAGACCCGGGTACATGCGCTCGTACGTGGCCAACTCGTCGCGGAGGATGATGTCGTCTTCGGTTTGGTTGGCAAAGATGAGCGTGACCTTGGTGTGGTCTTCGGGGTTGCGGAGGATCTCAAGCGCGACCTGGAGCATCGGCGTGATGCCACTGCCACCCGCGACCATGCCCACGTGCTTGCGCGAGTTGGCGACGTACGGGAACTTCATGAGCGGGCCCTTGATGTCCAACGAGTCACCGGCCTGGAGTTCGACAATGTGCTTGCTCATGGAGCCGTTCGGGTAACCCTTGACGATGAGGTCCAAGAAGCCCGCCTGCGTCGGCGCCGACGTCGGCGTATACGGCTTGATGACGTTCTTGCCGTTCAGCGACGCCTTGGCCATGACGAACGAAGCGACCTTCATGCCGCTCGTGTCCGTCTCGCTCGGGAACTCGAGGCGAACCTTGTGCGTGTTGTGCGTGAGCTTTTCGTTGCTCAGCACGCGCAACGACCGCCACTCGCCGGGGCTGATGGCATGCTTCTCGCCTTCGGCCGAGGCAACGCCCGAGAAGCCGGCGGCCATAAAGGACGCACCGAAGGCAAAGCCCATCTTGGCCGAGTTGGCGGCCGAGTCGGCCGTCAGCATCGAGGCCATCTTGCGCAGCTGGTGCCGGGTCACGCGGAGGAGCATCATCGTCAAGGGAAAAGAGGATGTTGCAGTCACTATTTCTGTGGTTCAAGGCCCGTGGAACATTTCAGCCAATGGCCTTGGCCCTATTGGCTTCGAACTTCGATGTATTTACTGGACCCCACCCCCCGGGGCATGATCCGGTTACACACCCGTGCACTGTGATAGGGCAGCACCGAACCGGCTTTTTATTTGCGCGCATTGGCTGCTTGCCCTTGACGGCAAGGGCACATCGCCGTCCGACAACCGCGGTGATATCGGTGCCCGCACAGGGAGGGCGAAAATCACTTCAAGATATGTATCGTATCAGGTGGGCCAGTGCGTGTTACATAGGGGGTCCCTCTGTTTGCCGCTGGGAATAGTGAGGAATTCCGGACGGGGTGGCCAAATACACTGCTTCGCACAATTTCTTGGGTACCAGGGAGGGCCCAAAACACCCACCTGCAGGTTCGATCCCGGAAAGCCATCGAATTTCGAAGCACGTCACGGCCAGTATCCGGATACCGGAATCCAATCTTCGACAAGATCCGAGCGAAACCACCGCAGCGACGTCATGTGGCGGGCGCGGGAGAAGACGTCCGTCTCGGCGTCGACAGCGAGCTCGTCGATGAGCGGGCTCGGCGGCGCCCATGTGGCGGCAAGTGTCCAGAGCAACGGCCGCCGTCCGAGCAACCCGCGGGTGACGCCCACCAAGATCGGCAAGCCCGCGGTCAAGACCAAGCCGACGACGCAAGCGATCGCCGAGGTACGTCGCCGTCGCTGCCGACGAGGTCCTGATCATCGACAACTAGATTGAGAAGAACCGCGAGGACCGGCGCAAGGCCATGGCGCTCGTGAAGAAGGAGCGCGAGCAAGAGTCGCTCAACAACGAGCGCAACGGAACGCCGGGCGACGTGGACTTTCAGCGCATGATCAAGCAGTTCCGCGAACAAGACCATCAGGAGCTCAGTCACACGTCCAAGGGCGAAATGAAGATCACGATCTGCGTGCGGAAGCGCCCGGTCAACAAGCGCGAGATCCGCGTCCGGGACTACGACTGCATCACGTGTTGGCACCCCAAGGTCCACCAAGAGCGACGTTGCACTTTCTACAAACACGCACATTAGGTCATCATCCACGACTGCAAGCTCAAGGTCGACGGTATCACCAAGTACCTCGACAGCAACGCGTTTGCGTTCGACCATAGCTTTGACGAGCACACGTCGAACGCGACCGTGTACAAGTACACGGCGCAGCCGCTGATCCAGTTCGTCTTCAACGAAGGGGGGCGCGCGACCGTCTTTGCGTACGGCCAGACCGGCAGCGGCAAGACGTTCACGATGGAGGGCATCCAGACGCAGGCAGCAAATGACCTTTTCGCCCAGCTCGACAAGTGGCGCGACACCACGTACGCTGCGACGGTCCATAGGCGTGAGGCAAGATGTGGCATGTAGCGGCCAAACGCTCGAGCTCTGGATGAGCTTTTTCGAGATCTACGGCGGCCAGTGCCAGGACCTCTTGCGCCAGAAGCGACTCACGATCCGCGAAGACGGCAACGGTGAGGTTCAGATCGTCGACTTGGACGAAGTGCGCATCCACTCGGAGGCCGAGCTGCTCCAAACCATGCAGCGCGGTAGGCGCGTCTTTTCGCTTGCGGTGAATGTATCTTGTGCATGGATGTAGGCAACGCCTTGCGCACGACGCATGCCACGGAAATGAACGACCAGTCGTCGCGCTCGCACAGCATTTGCCAGCTCCATATTCGAGAAGCCGGCTCGATGAAGCTGCACGGTGCCGTCGGCCTTGGAGGAGCCAATCTAACGCTATGTAGGCAAGCTGTCGCTCATTGACCTCGCGGGCAGCGAGCGTGGCGCCGACACCAAGAGCCACAACCGCCAACGGCGCATGGAGTCGTCCGAGATCAACAAGAGTCTACTCGCACTCAAAGAGTGCTTTCGGTAAAGTACCTCGCTTGCGACGCTTCAGTCCCTCACGACAGTGTGCACAGTGCGCTCGACAGCGGCGGGCGCGGCGCCCACATCCCTTTCCGAGCGAGCAAGCTCACGCAGGTGCTCAAAGACTCGTTTGTGAACGCCAAGGCCCGGTAGCCTTCTCTTCGTCTCGACCACCGATACAAATGTACCTTTAGCACGGTCATGATTGCGGCCGTCTCGCCCTGCGCGTCGTCGGCCGACCACACGATCAATACGCTCCGGTACGCAGACCGGGTCAAGGAAAAGACGGTTGTGCCCGACGACGGCTATGCAGACCCGCTGCACGTCCACGTCAAGCGTACGCGTCATCGTTGTCCTCCGAGATTGGCGATTGACGCGTCTTTAGATCTGACGCGGAAGCAGCCCCGAGAAACCACCGCCGCCGCCGCCACCACCGGGCAACTCGCTCGCAGATCTCATGTCGGAAGCGGTGTCGCGCAACTTGACCGATATGACCTTGTCCGACGACGATGACGAGCTGCACGACGACGACGCGTCGACGTACTCGGATGCTGATCACATCGATTATGTCGACCCGCGCGACTCGACGTCGAGCCAAGACGACATCAAGATGCTCCACAGCGCGCTCCGCAACCAGACGGCCGACGGTACGGAGGTGGTTGATATATTGATACTACGTCTGTGCGTGACGCAGGGGCTGTCGACGACGAAGACCACTCGCTCGAAGACCTCCATGAAGTGGTGTGAAGCTCGTCGCTCTTTAACACGTGTCTGACGTTGAAGTAGGTGCAGACGCTGTACGAAGAGCAAGAGAATTTGCTGAGCAGTCACATGACGGCGATCCAGGTCCACCTGCTCGTCAGGCGAGCGTGAACCGGATGCGAACGTTCCTGCGTAGGAAAATGCAGAGCTCCTCACGGAAGAGGGCATGCTCCTCTCGGACGTCCAAGGCGAAGCGGTTGTCGACTATGACATCGACCAGTACGCCCAGCGACTCGACGAGGTAGACGTAATGACGGGTGCTCCGACTTGAACCGAATGGTGCATCTAGATCCTGGCCAAGAAAGAAGCGACGATCCGTAAGCTGCGCTTGCAGTTGTCGCAGTTTAGGAAGCGCTGCCAGGAGGAAGAGGCGGCCGCCAAGCGCGTGGCCCAAGTGCCCTTTTACTAATTTGAGCTCCATGTTCAAGCGAAAAAGGTGTGTGTGTTTAAAGAGCGTATCGAAAGGCGGTACTTGCTTACTCTTGCTTGGCTTCCGTCTCGAGCTGCTTGTCGACGAGCTTCTTGGCGATGGCAGCCGTGGCGTCCTTGGTGGCGTCCTTGACGACGCCGCTAATGTCGGCGATGACCGAGCCCGAGTTGGACTTGATGTTGTCAATGGCCGCGTCAATGTTGGCCTCGTGCGACTTGAGGAAGGGCTGGAGGAAGTGGTTGAAGATGAAGGTGGCGCCCTGCGTCGAGGGGAGGAAGAGCCAGACGAGGAAGCCGAGCTTGAAGGCGTAGTAAAAGGGCACCCAGAAGAGGAGGTAGTCGACAAACACTTCGACGATCTCAAAGCAGCAGTAGACGACCCAGTACGTGAGCCACTGGACGTCGTCGTTCTTCGAGTCCGACTCGATGGCCTTGAAGGACGCATACGCCGGGTAGACAAAGCCGACGAGGTTGCAGAGGAGGCCGGCGCCAAAGCCGACGAGCACGACGAGGAGGAGGAGCGCGACGCCGGCGACCGTGAGGTAGAGCTTGTCGACGCCCGTCTGCGCCTCGAGCTGGACGAGGATCGGGTACTTGTTGAGCTCGGCCTTGGCCTTCTCGAGCTGCGCGTTCACTTGGTCCATCTTGGTTGACTGCAAATTCCAAAGTGAAAACTGAGGCGCTGCTTCTTTCATCCGGATAAACATGGAAATATTTTTAGAACCCGCGCGCACGGCTAGTCGCACGCCACTCTGATGGTTTTGTCCATCGCCGCCTTGCAGTGCGGCGGAATGCAAACCTAAATAGACGTACACGTGCTGCGAGTAAAGCAGAGATGGAACCTGGAGACGGCGGCGACGCAGCTCGGCCGACCGGTTCCTGGTTCTTTTTGGTCTGACGAAGCGACAGGGCGGGGTAGGGTATGGAAGAACGTACACCGAACAAGTGATTTCGACCATCGCTCGCCAATGGACGAGGAATTCAGCCAGGCGTCGTATGCATGAAGGGAGCAGACTCGGCGCACAGAGAAGGTGTGGCTTTGGTATGTCGAGATCATTCTAGGAATTTAATGCGAGAAGACTGCGCTTCTATGTGAAGCGCGCGACGTCGTTCGCTCGGCACATCGGAAACGCGTGGCCATCTTGATCCGCGTCTAAATCATCAAGTCAAAAGCAATGGTGGCGCCAGGATCCTATCACTTGACACGGTTGCGTGCAAATAGCTGCTGGATTGTGGATGCGTATCCGGACGACCGCAAATTTCGGTGACGACGAAACACGCAAGATGGAGGTCCTGCGCCAGCTGCGAGCGACGCTCGACGAGTGGGACATTGCCGCGCTCAACGAGGCCGAGGAGCAACTAGGCGTCGACAAGACGTACGTATTCCTTGGCCTCATCGGCGCCGCGTACCTCGTGCTTGTGGGCGGCCTCGGCGCCGGCTTTCTAGCGACCACGATGGGCTTTCTCTATCCGGGCTACGCGTCCTTTCGCGTGCTCCAGAAGCCGGCGCTTGTGCGCAAAGCCGAGACGCGCCTCTGGCTCATGTACTGGATCGTCTTTGGCTGCTACAAGATCGCGGAAGGCCTCGTCTTGGACCCGCTATTTTCGTTAGTGCCCAACTACAACTCGTTCAAGCTCATTGGCGTGAGCCTCCTCTTCGTGCCATCGACGCGCCGCACGTGCATGTTCTACAGCCGATACCTCGTGCCCTTCCTCAAGCCCACCGAGGGCGTCGTCGACAAGTTTTGCGCGAGGCCAAGTTTGGCGTCGACTGCGCCACGAGCGACGTCGCCGAGACCGACCTCTTCCAGGACATCGCTCGCTTCTTCACCAAGAAGGCGACGGCCAAGCCCAAGAGCAGCTAAGTGTTATTACTAGTTGATGCCTCAATGCTCGACCGCTCTACGTGTTGTGTTGAGGAGCAGATCCTCCGACGCGATCCAGTTCCACATTGCCCTTGCGTCTGATTGGACAAAAGGTTATCAAATCAAACACATTGGCCAATCACCACCTAGATTCCATGGATTGGACCATCATTCTGGCTTCGATTGCCACAAGATCGCGACGCTTCAACGGACTAGCATGGTCGGGAACCAGGAAGTCGCTCTCTGCGTGGACGGCCATGACGCCGACGACGGCTTCCTCACCAAGATTGCGCCGACGTTTGAGGATGAGCGGGATCTCGTGGGCCAATTCGAGCATGCTGTCGGCGTCGGGCAGCGCCTCTTTCACGAGCTCTACGCTTTTCGCAGCTGTGCCCGCGCCTTGCCCAACGTCTCGGACGCCAAGGCGTACCGCGCCATCTTTGAAGGTACGGCCAATAGCTTGGGTATTGCGTGCATGATGGCTGCTTGTAGTGTTGCGTCCGCAGATGCGCAAGTTGCAGCGGCTCTGCGCTTTCTGCCACGAGACAACGATTCTAATGAGTAGCAACATGCAAAAGCTCACCGCCCAAGACAATTGCACGCGCGTCGTCCCCGACACGCTCCTCGCAGCGTTCGTCACGGTGCTCGACGTGCTCTTCCAGCTCAATCAGCTCTACGACATCAAGTCGGGTCTCCGCAACGACTTTTCTGTCTTCAAGCGGTGGGCTCCTATGGCAGAATATGGCACTTCAGTATCCTACTAGAGCGTTCCAGTCCATCAAGGACGACATGCCTGACGCGGCGACGATTGCCTCCGAGCTTCAGACGCTGCAAGAGTTCCTCGGAAGTGCGTCCCACCCCAAGGGCTACATCTTCAACGCCCTTCGCCACAACATCCACAACGTCAAGCGGTACAATACGCTGCACATCGCCTATCCGCATTCATCGCATGCATAGCTTTGAACACGTCATTTGCCTGCTTCTCAAGCACGTATTGGTGCACCTCGAGAAGAAGATGCACTTGGCCGCCGACAAGTTTCGCTACCTCCGCGTGCTCCCGTACCTGCTTCTAGTGCTCGACAAGGACGGTCATGGCAAAGCCAATACGTTCAAGGGCAACAAGGCTAAGCTCGAAGCGGTACCGACGGCGTGCACAGGTGTGTGTTTGACTTGCCAGAATTAGCTCGGCAAGTTCCTTCGACGCTACCCCGTACTGCCCGTGTACGCCGACATGACGCTGCGGCCAGCCACTTTGCTGCAGGCGTCGAGCTTTGCCTTCCTCTTGCCGACATCCGAGGCAATGCCCGAAGCGTACGCTTTGGCGCCATGGCGGCAGCGTGCCAAGAAGGAGCTGGACAGCTACCTTCCCCGCCTCGCCCTCGCCTTGCTGACGGTACATACTCTGTGATGAAAAGCGTGTGTGAATGTCACGCTGCAGAGTCCATCGGATGGTATCTATGAGGTTGTCCTCGAAGGCCTCCAGCTTATGATTGAGTGGAAGAGTGCTCTCCAGCAGGGCGTCGCGTGGAAGCTGGAGCACCCGGCTGCCGCGACGGACAACCAAAGCAGCGCCTCGGCAGCCTACGAGAGTGTGACCAAGTTCAACTACTTGCCGTCCGAGCGCGACGGGCTCATTGAGCTCATTGTGAGCCTCAAGTCTCTGGGACACGCGCTGCGCCAGGCGCATGCGTCGCACGGCACCGCCTTGCGCGCCGTTATCTACACGCGGCTTCAGACGTTCGCGCAGCACACGCTGCTTCCGACGCTGCACCGCGCCGATAAGAAGAAGAAACAGGCAGCCACCAAGCTCCTCCACGAGCTACGCTTGCTCGTCGGCGACTTCACGAAAATGGATCCGGACGACTACAAGCGAGGCCGAGCCGATCGCGTTCTTTGCCCACTTCGCGCGAGAGCGGTGGCCCCGACGCATGGGCAGCTCGTGCGCGCGCGTACGCTGACCCAGGCGCTCTACGACAAGCGCGGTGGTCTCAAAAGCAGTGCGTCGTGGAGCTGGTCGAGCCACCTGGACGTCGACATGGCGGCGTTAAAGGCGTTTTACCTCGAGTCTATCTTCTTTGCGCCCCTGTGTACACTCGAAGCAACCGTGGCGCGCCTCTGTGGTGTCGGCGACCTTTGGTACCGCGAGTTTTACCTCGATTTGACCAAGTGCGTTCAATTCCCGACCGAGCTCTCGATGCCGTGGTACGTGTCCTCTGACATTCTCTGTCTGTTGATGGACGCAGGATCCTGCTCGAACACGACCTCGGCGAGCACAACGGGCGGCGCCTCGCGTCGCTCCTCGACGTGTACAACGACGCTGCTGACATTGCCTTGCGGCAGCTGCGGCAGCAGCATCTCTACGACGAGGTCGAGGCCGAGACCACGCTGAGCTTCGACCAGCTCGTGTTCTTACTTGGCGCAACGACGTACGCCCGTGCGCGGCGAGGTGGCGAGAAGCACCCCACGTCCTTGGCGCCCGTGGCGACCGAGCGCCGGCTCTCGGTGCGTTCGAAGAGAAAAGCAAGGGCACCTCATCGTGGCATGTAGCTGCTCGGGCGAACACTGGATGTGAATGCACTCATTGGCGACCACGTGCAGGCAGCGCTCTTGCGCGAAATGGAGTCGGCGGTCGCTCGCCTCGAAGGCGCCGACCTCACCCACCTCGTGGCGTTTGAAATGACCATCGACGCGCTGCAGCAAGCCCACGTTCGGCTCTGCGAGGCGCTGCCGTTGGATCCTTTCGACGCGATGCTCCACGAGGTAGAACGACGTGTTTAAACCTTTTACCAAAAAGGTGCTTAGGTGCTGGACACGCGCGTGCTGGCGTTCACGCGCAAGGAGCTCTTTGAAAACGTCCTGCCGCGCTACGGCTACGACGCCCTCGGAGCTGTGTTCCACGCCTCCGCCCACGGCAACATCGGGTGCGCGATCTCGGACGAGGCAACTATACTGAGACTACTGTAGTCGCACGCACCTCGCTTGCCTCGCGCGGTTCATCGGCGTCGCCGACCTTTGCCGCATGGCCCACGACGCCGTGCGCGACGTCGACGCCAAGGCAACCTCCACGCAGATTTTAAATCCTGGGACGTGGGCTGAGGATGTGATGGAGTAGATCCAGGACGTCCTCCCGCTGTGTGTGCACGCTCTCGTGGCCGCCGTGCCGCCTTGCTCGCTGCCCAAGTTTCTCTACAAGACGGAAGGTCCGTCGATCCATGCAAGTTGGCGCGTGAATTGCGCTCTAGGCTGCCTCATGTACTTTGAGGGCAAATTCCAGTCGATCCTTCTGGACGTCGACCTCCAGGGCCACCTCTTTCAGTGCTTTCGAGAGCTCGGCAACACCCTCGCGCTGCTCTCGCTCCTCGACGAGACACTGGTATCTCGATGTGATATGGCTCTGTCATCATCCTCGTTGCTCTGGACCAGGCCGAGATGGACCGTGGCGCGGCTCTGCTTGCGCGTCTCATCGAGGGCATGGCGTCGGCGCTTCGACGCTACGGTTTTCTGGCGTCCTGGGGACCGCCGACAAGCGGTGCGCGTGCGAAGACGACTACGTATGCTGAGCGATTACGTACTAGGCGGGTATTGCCATGCGTGGGGCGCCCTCGAGTTCCTGCTGCACTACAGCAGCGACGTGGACGATGGCGTCGCACTGGCCGGCGCGACGCTCCTGGAGCTCCTCGGGCAGCGAGAGCGGTACGCGCTTTGCAGCAGCACGCAACATCTCCTCCACGTGCAAGACGCGTACAACGCGGTGACGCTCTGCAGAGACGATGGGGTCGGCCGCGCCGACGACGCGACGACGCGCCGGACGCTGGCGTTTCTCGCACAGGCCAAACGATCGCAGGTCGTCCTCGAAGCGTGGCTTGCATCCCTCGAGATGCTGCGCACATGAATAGTCAACGTCTCCAGTCAGCAGCCATGCATGCGACGAAGCGCCGCGAAAGACACGATGTCGAGATAGTATTACACAAAGAGATGCAGTCCATTTCGTCCCTTACAGCTGCACGATGAGCGCGCCGAGGACGACGGCAAAGAGCGCGACGCCGGCGGCGATCCAATACCGAAGGTCTGCGTAGAGGCCAGGCAGGCGCTGCTTGGCGTCGGCGGTGGCGGACGGGACCGTGAGGACGCCGCTGGCGCTTTGCTGCTGGGCGGCGATGGCCTCTTGGGCGGCGACGAGGTCGGGGAAGCAGAGGGCGAACGTTGGGTTCTTGACGTTTTCTTCGAGCGACGCCAGCGCAAACTTGCGTTTCTGGGCGTCCGTGGTCGTGACGCTGCCAAGCGTCGGCGTCGTCTCGTTCATGAACGAGTAGAGACCCGCAAGGATGCTGCTCACGGACCACATGGGGTTCCACGTCTCGGGGTGGTAGTCCGACATGCTCAAGCAGAGGCGCTTGTTCACCTGGAAGCGGCCGTTCGGCGTCAGCATGTACACGGACGGCGGCTTCATCGGGTACTCGGGCGGGAAGACGAGCTTGCCGTGGTAGTAGCCGCCCTCGTAGACGCCGATGCCCCGGAGCACGTAGTGCCACTCGAGGATGTTGCGCTCCAATGGCACGGCCTCGACGTTCACCTCGGGGCTCTTGCGCAGCGCGAGGTACTCCTTCCGGAGCCGCTTCGTCGCCATCGCGGACGCCATCGTGGAAGAGAGAAATGCTCGGTATCCGGACGCGATTTGGAAAAACGCGTTTTTTTACACCACCACTGCGTATTAGTACAGTCTCAATCGCTGCACAGATCGATGGATAGATCGGTGGATAGATCGATGGATAAGTGACGTGGCAGGTCGATGTACAGTTTATCCTGGTAGGAACGTTTACGTGGTGTACCAGCATCCCAGGGGATTATTTCGTACATTCTGGCCAACCCATTGGCTATATATCGCCATTTTGACCAATGAAACGCAGTTTCATTGGTCTGAGCCAATCATATCGCGCCAAATGCGTCCTGTTAAGTGCGATTTAGGAATTCCTGTTAAGTGCTATCACATCGCCGGACGTTATACTTGAATAAAGTATTACAATTTCGATAAAGTGCGACGGCGTACTTGACTGAAATTCACGCAACTTTCCGATTAGGTGCGAATGTGAAAGCGCGCTAAGACTGCAGCAAGCGACGCGCCGTCGTCGCAAATACCGGTAAACAACGCTTCGCATTCAAAAGTTCCTACCAGCTCACCCCGCACGGGACCTGTTACTGGTATTGGTCGCAGGGCTCATCTCGGTGGTAAATTGCTCCAACTCAAACGACATGGGAGAGGCGAGTGAAGACGATGGTTCACGATCTGCTTCTCGGAAGAGACTGCGGGGCAACGCGTGGTTCGGTTGCAGTCGGTAGCCTTGACAAGGGTATATATATATGAACGTGTTTCGCGTTGTCTTCGTTGTTACAAAGAGTTCGCATACGTAGAGACTAGCAATCTCCTTCTTCTTCATTCGCTCGCCGGGCCGTGGAGCGGGGTGCATCTTGTTCGTCTGTAGTCGCCCGGGGCGTTTGTGGCCGCGGGTGAGGCCCATGATGACAAGCTCCGTGGGTTCCTTCCAGGCTTCGCGATCGGCGGCAAAGCTACGCAGTTTGTTGAGGTCCTCGAGAGACGCCAGCGACTGAGGCGGCGTCAACGACTGGAAGTCGCGGTGCAGGACGATCGGCAACGTGATCTTGGTGCGGCCTAAAAAAACGGGGCGCCTCGGGAGCGGCAAAGAAGCGGGCGGCGGCAATGTTGGTAGGGACGTCGTTCTTCAGGCGCAGCACGTGACCCAGCAGGCGCCAGCGTTGGCGGGCGACGATCTCGCTCAGCGGGACACTCTTGCAGCGCTTGTAGAGCGCGACGTCGCCGAGCTTGTTTGGGTGAAAGATGCCTAGATGACGACGCAGCTGCCGGCGATGGAAACTGTCAAGGCCCGCCAGACTCGTTGGCGTCAGGGCCTACGTGCCACAGTTGTACAAAAGGACCGGGAGCACGTAGCACTTGTACAGCCGCACACGGTTGCCTTCCGAGATAAGCCCTCGACGCAAGGGTATAGAAATTCGATCTATGCAGCCTTGGCCTTGGTCACTTCAAGTGCTGCACCAGGTCCCGTGCAGGGTGGTGAGCTGGCAGGATTTTTTTGTGTGGGACGCGAACGTGAAGCGTTGGTATCTGTGACGACGGCCTAAACACACTCGAGCTTCGCAGAGCGGCCTTTCCAAGACGGTGCGAAACCTTGGCGAAGTCGCGCCTCTTCCACTGAAGGATGAGAGTCGGCCTTCTCGACGAAACTCAACTCGGTGCTTCCGCGACCTTCGTTGTGCATTCGACAGGACAGTGGTCATGCAATCATGGTATGTGAATTCGAGTTTAGTAAGTGCAGAGAGCAAAAGACTATCAATCGTCGCGCTTCTTCTTCTTCGAGGACTTTGTCTTGGGCGGCGGCGCTTGCTGCGGCGCGACCGCGTCGTTCGAGAAGAGCTTGGAGACTTCGAGGCCGGACGTGAACGCCGAGTTGAACATGACGCGCTGCTGGAAGTCGGAGATGAAGGGCATGAACATCGCGATGAACAAGATCGGGCCAAAGACGATCCAACCCACGGACCGGTCAAAGCCGCTCGCCATCGTGCGGATGATCACGTGGCTGTAGCGGAGCCGCGCCATGTTGACCTGCAGCACGTAGTAGGCGCCGAGGAGCACGATGATGGCAATCTCAACGAGCGCGGCGAGACTTAAATACAAGAGCAGGAGCACCGTGAGCACCAAGACGGCGAAACTCAAGTGAAATTTGAGTTTCCGGAGCCGCTTCTGCTTGAGCGACATCTTCTTCGTGATGCGGTTCGAGACGTAGCCGCAGCAAACAAGGAGGAGCATGAGCACGAAGAGCGCGCCGACAATCATATATGGCTTGTAAAACTCGAGGAAGCCCGCTTTCGCGAGGTCGGTCGCGACCACCTTGTTTTGGTCCTTGTAGAAGAGACGGTACATGAGCTGGAGGTAGATGCCAAGCGCGACAAAGAAGAAGCGCGTCTTGCGCACGATCTGCACAAAGCGCGAAAACGGCGTCGAGTGCTCGAGGTACTCGAGCTCGGTCGTCCACCACCCGAGCCACGACTCGCTCGAGTCGTTCTTCGTCTGGAGCCAATGCTGCCAGTCGTTGTAGTCTTCAATGACCTTGGCCCAGTCGAGGCCGCTCGGGTTGAAGAAGAAGGGCGCCCACATCCACGTCGCTGCAATGAGCCAAAGCGAGTAGCTCATGATACCGTAGTTCTGGTTGGTCGGCAGCACGCACGTCTGGTAGTAGTTGGCGTAGCAGCGCGTCGTCCACTCGTTTGCGAGCGGCTGAATGTTGTTGTAGTAACTCAAGTCCATCATCCATGAGCAGTTGCACCACGAAAACGTCCCGTACGCGTAGTACAAGACGAGGAGGAACGCGAGTTCGACGCCGCGGTAAAAGTGGCTAAACGCGTAGAACCGGAAGAGCTCGGCAAACTTCTCGTGCTTGATCGTGAAGCCACGACCGGTCGCGCGGTACTTCGCGCCGCCGTGGATGAGCGTCCGGTCAAAGTGGTTCATGCGGTTGCCCATTTGGAACGTGAAAAAGATGGGTCCGAGACTCATGCAGTTCCAGAGAACGTACGTGATGCCGTGACGGAAGCCTTGCTCGACGCCGACAACGGCAATGACGGGCACGACGAGAAGGAAGCCAAACTGCAGCGCCCACGACGTGTTGAGGACGCCCGAGATGCCCATGCCGCCGCTCTGCAAGAAGAACGCGTCCATGCCCGACAAGGCAAAGTAGATCTTGCCGTAGATGAAGAAATAGACGCCGAAGACCGTCATCGTCTGCGTGAAATACCAGCCGAGGTTGCCGTAGAACCACGAGTTGAGCCGGAAGTAGTCGAGGCGGTTGGCCATGCGCATCGCGTCACGCGAGATGACGCACTCGCCAGCACCGGACGAGAGCTTGGCCTCGAAGAGCGCGAGCTGCTGCATACCGACATCACGACCCTTACCGACTTGGATGAACTCCTCGTGCGAGACATGACCGCCACGGAGCGTCGTGTTGAAGCCGGCGAAGATGTCTTCCGAGAGGTTGATTCCGCGCGACGACTTGGCCGTGCCACCGGTCGTCATTGCAAACATCTTGTCGAAGATATCGGGGTGGCCGTAATGCTGGCGGACGTGGAAGAGCGCGAGCATGCGCTGACCGAGCGAGACGAACGAAAGCTCTTGGATCTGCATAAACGACGCGAGGTTCGAGACGCCACCTGTGAAGACGTATTCGCGGAAGCCAATGATCGTGAGCGGGTTTTTCGCATGGTCCTTGCGATCCACGGTCGCGAGGAGGTTAGGCATCTTGAGGCACTCTTCGAGGTACCCGTCTTGGTTCATATCGATACACTGGAGCCACTCGCCGCGCGTAAAGATGACGGCGTGGTTCTGGTTCTCGGGCTTGCCTTCGCCAATGATCGGGTCGCCGGGCAGCTCGACGCGGTACACCTCGACGATTTTGTCGCCGACTGCGCGCACCAAGCACGAAAAGTACTTGGGTGGTCCTTCCTTCATCTTCTTGGGCCCATCGACGTACGCGACGCGGAGGCCCGGGTGCTTCGTCAGGAGAAAGTCAATGTCGGTGGCTTGCTGGCGCTGCTCGTCCTTTGTTTGCCGTAGATCTGGCACGTGCAAATGTAGTTGAACTTGAGCGCGACCATCTCGTTGAGCTGCAAGCAGGCATTGCAGCTGCACGCCTTCAAGTGCATTGGTTCGTTCTCGCCAATCTCGAGCCAGTGGAGGAACCGGATCGCGTCTTCGTTGTACATCATGCCACGCACGGTGCGGGCGAGCGTCTGCCCGCGGTACGAGGCCCAGAGCTGGACTTCCTCGGGAAACTTCTTGAGCGCCTCGTGCATGTCCTTGCAGTTGATGCGCTCGAGGAAGTTCTCCCACTCGAATGGGTTGATCGTCTGCAGGTAGTAGAGGAGTTTGATCGCGTCGTCGTTCTCGGTCGTCAGCTCCTTGATTGAGTAGAGCACGATCTCGTTGAAGTATGGCGTCGAGATTGAAAACGAGTGCATGCGCCGTACGGGCTTGGCCTCGGGCATCTCCATGAAGAGCGAGTTGGCAAAGAACCGGAGGCGGCGCTGCCCCTCGGGCGACTTGGGCTCGGCGTCGACGTTGTCGACCGTCAGCAGCTGGTACGCGCGCGATACAATGTCCATGGCCGTCTGGTCGTTCACGAGCTTGAGCAGCTGGACGCTCGCGTAGTGCTGTCCGTCGGCGGGGAAGAAGAACGAGTTGGGTTTCAGCGGCGTGTCGGTGAGGATCTTGACGAGGTTCTCCTGCTTGGAGAGCACCTTCTTCATGTGCGTGAGAACGACCTCGACGCTGTCAATGACGTGGTACAAGCAGCGCTGAAACTTGATGTTGGCTTCGGACGCGCCGCTCGGAACGTCCAGAATCGCCTTCATGAGGTCGGCGCACGACGTCTTGCAGTGGTAGAGAACACTCAAGTTCAGACCCTTGAGCGTCGTGTGCTGGAAGACGCTCTCTTCGATAAAGTTAAAGCACGCATCGAGCTCCTTGTGCTCGTCGCCGAGGAGGAGCTTGATGATCTGCGACGCAAACTTGTACGAGCCAAGGATCGCCTGGACGCGCAGATCGTCTTTGACGAGGCGCTCGGTCATGGCCGATTCCATCTTTTGCAGTGCCTTGTCCTTCTTCTTGTCCGTCTTGAGCTGATCGTACACTGCGTAGCACTCGGTCGCTATATCGAGCGACTCGTCGAGCTTTCCGGCGGTTAGAAACACGGGTGCGTAGAGCCGGCGCTCGGCCGCCGCCTTCGAGTCGATGAGGTAGCTCAGCACACTCAACTCGCGGTTGCTCAAAACGTCTTCGTCGCGCATGGACGCAAGGCACCGGTTCCACGCCATCGCAAACGGAATTGCGCGCTCGAATTCTGGCCCCGTGACGCCGGCAATGGGGTCGCTCATCGACGACCGCGCCGATGTCGGCGACATATCCGAGTCATGGGGCGTCGACATCTCCGTGTAGTTGCCGCTCAAGTCGTGGCCTTGCTCTAGCAGCGAGCTGTACGCTTGCGTCTTGACCGTCATCGGCTTGCTTCCGTCGTCGTACGAGATGGGGAGGAAGTGGCGCTCGGGCGCCGCGTCCTCGTCGTTGATCTTCTCGCCCTTCTTGGCCTTCTTTCTCTTCTTCTTCTTCTTCGCGGCGTCGGCCTCGATCAAGTTGGAGACAATCTTCTTGTTGAAGACTTTCGGGATCGACTTGAAGGTAAGGCGGAGGATGCGGAACGACCGGAGCTCGCCGATGCGCAAGGTGAAGCCGCGGACCGAGCCGAAGACGACCGACAGAATTGCGTAAAAGATCTGCGCGTCGTAGAGAAAGACGATGATCGCCGGCATCCAGAGGAAGAAGATGTAGATGACGTTGTGGTAGCTGATCTGAAGCATAAAGTGCGACACTTGGAGGTACTGCGTCGGGTCCGAGAGCCAAATGAAGAGCGTCGTCTCGACGAGGCTCTTGACCATGAATTGGTAGTCAAACATGAGCTTGACGGCGAAGAGAAGGATCCAGAAACAGAAATACCGGCAGTACGCACCGCATGGCACCGGCATCGATCGACCGACAAAGCCAATGCCAACGCTGGAGAAGAGACGGTTCTGCAGCTCCCAGACCATCAAGAGGCCGACGCAGCCTGCGCCCCCGAGCATAATGAGCGGGCCCATGTCGCTACGACCAAAGTCGAGAAACTGCGGAATCAAGTACGGCAGCGAGTCCATCAAGTTGCTTGCCTCGAGGCGGCACGCTTGGCAGTTGAGCTTCCCGTTTCCGCTCGTGTTGATGACGTTCAACGCCGCTTTCTTGTACTTGGGCATGCACTTGGTCTGGTCGTAGGTCACCGAGACCGTCTTGCGATTGCCCGCAACGTCCGTGTTGACCATGAGACCGGTGCCAGTTTGGCTAAAGCAGAGGTCGAGGAGGTCGAGGTAGCACGTGCACTGCCCCGAGATGAGCTGGAGGCAGTTGGTGAACGGGACGTCGTTGAGAAGCATCTTGAAGTCTTCAGGGAGGTACTGGAAGGTCACGCCTGGGTTGTAGTTGGGCACGCCGAGGCACGTTGCAAGCTTTGGGAGGTTGCAGCCACGCGTGACAAACTCCATTGTCGCGTCATCGTTGGATAAGAAGCTCGGCTTGGGCTTGTAGTAGAGGTGGCCAAAGAATTGGACCGTCGCGCCGAGGTCTTCGCCGTACATGATAGGGGTCACGGGGCAGACGAGCACCATGTTGACAGCGAACGCAAGGGTCGCGAGGAAGAGCACAAAGTGCGACACGAAGATGCGCCGGAACGAGAGGAGCGCGCGGAGCCAGCTGCGGCGCTCCATGAACGTCTTCTTCACGATGCTCGGGTTGCCCGCCTTGTTGACGGCGCCAAATGCCTCGGCGATCGAGATCGCATCGTACTTGAGGCATTTCTTGGTCCAGAAAAACTCGTTAAAGTCGTCGTAGTTGCGGATCTCCGTGTGGGGCGCGCGGACCCCCATCGGCGTCTTCTTGTCGTTGTCCTTCTTGACCTCGTTGTACATGGGCCGGATGACGCGGCTGAGGAAGTACCCGCTCTCCTGCGCATTGCCCGTGTTGGCGCCCACGACCGACGGCGCGAGACTGAAGAAGAGAAAGCAAAGCAGCTCGGGCGTCTGCCGAAAGTTGCCGGCCTCGCCCCAGAGAAGGAAGAAGAGAACGATGTCGACAAGCGGCTCCTTTGTAAACTTTGGTTTTTGACCGAGGTACTTGGCCCACTTGGTGTAGTTGGTGAAGAGACGCGTGTGGAACTTGTCGATGGCCTTGAGCAGCAAGTCCATGTCAGCTTGCGCGTCCTTTGCGCCATTCGCAGCGTCCTTGACGTTGGACTCGTCGACATACTCTTTAAAGTTGGCCAAAAGCAGCATGAGGTGCTCGCGCTGGTTGGCGACGCTGCCGTCTTGGAAACCAAACGTTTGCTGAAGCGTCGTAAAGATGTTGCCGTACGCCGGCGACCTAATTCGTGCATTGAGCAGTCGATAGATAGAACTGATCGTACGAGGCGAAGAGCTGCGCGATGGGCTGGTACCGCGCCGGAAGCGCGTCCATTTCGAGCACGTTGCACTTGCCCGTGACGCGCTTGGTCGTCGGCGTCGTGCCGGCCTTGGCCCGCTGCGACTTGATCATCTTGATGTAGCGCGACATCTTGTTGTTGAGGCGGCTCGCAGCTTCTTGGTCGTCGGGCGACGCGTACGTCAAGGCGAGCGCTCGCTCCATGAGCTCGACCGCGCGGGCAAAGTCGCGCTCGGCGCCGTCGGCGTCGCCGGCGTTCTGGAGCGCGATGCCCGCATTGACGAGCGCCATGCCCTCGTCGCAGAGCTCCTTCTGCATCTCGAGGCTGCCTTCTTCGCCCTCCGTCGTCCGTCCCATGGGCCGCGAATTCCAATCTCCGATCGTTCGATGCCACGCATATTCTTCGACGCACCGCTTCAAGATCGCGTTGCCGGATACGCTATCCGGACGCACTTGATCGAACTTCTACATCGAACTTACGGCGCCCAATCGAAGTTCTGTGGGCGTTCCATTTTCGCATGTGTCACAGGCCGGTGCATGATCATGCGCCCTCTTGGGCAAGCCGATGCAACGCTGCGCTGGCGGTGATGGGATCGCCAGTGTATATAATATTGGCGGACGAGCTACCGACCAAAGCGGCAATATGAATATGCTCATCATGCGACGCCATTATTACGCCGACGTCGCTTGCGGCGTTGCGACACCGCCGGTCGCCAGTGCTGAAATTGCTAAGTCCAGACTCTACGTCGTTGGCGCCACTGTATTGATGCGGGTGGGAGGCCGAACGCGCGCTCTGTGACCTCTCCTATACAAACTTACTATGAAAGAAAGCGCTCTCTATAGGAGCGCGCGCGTAACTAACACGAGCATATTAATATTCGATCGGGCAAGAAAGGACAGGGTAATTAAATAAAGGGGTTTCACGCGACGCACCGCGCTTTGCATACAAAAACAAAGGTTCAGGTATCGTTTGCGGTATTAAAATACCCCGCCGGAGGTGATATAAATGGGAGACCGATTGGCAGAGGCAACGGGCGGACCGAATAATTATTCGCTCGGCCATTTTCGTTTTGACTGCAGGTGGCGGCGCTGGCATGAGCCGGAAGCAGCAACGGGGCGACGATGGCTTTAGCCGCGGCCTCGAGCACCAGAAGCAGCTCTGCGACGAGGGCATGGCGCTCGTCAACTCGGGCGTCTCGCTCCAGAACGCCGGCGACGCCGAGCTGGCCGAGAAGAACTTTACCCGCGCGGTCGAGATCTTTGAGCGGGCGCTCGCGATCGAGTACCGGACCGCCGAAGAGACGGAAGCGGCCGGGCGGCTCAACACCAAGATGGTGCGCTACGTCAACATGATCAAGTCGCAGCGGGCCAAGAACCCGGCGGCCAACAACAAGCGCGCGCCGACCAAGTTCAACATCCTCGACATGGACAACTTGCCGCAGATGTATACGTCTGTCATGCAAAAGTTTGCAAGGTACACATATCGTAGGAACTGCACGTATGAACATGGCACGTAGCGGACCCGGTGGCGATATCTTCGAGACGCTGAAGAACGCGTTTGGCTTCCAGGAAGGCAACGTCATCAACCAGCGGGAGCACTTGACGCTGCTCTTGACCAACTGGAAAGAGTACCAGGACGTTCCAGACCCGAAAGCGCGGGGCGAGCAGCCGCCGACGCAGTACCCGCGCGACCCGGCGCGCGACATGCAGCTCATGGACAAGGCGATCACCAAGTTCCACGCCAAGCTCTTTGACAACTACAAGAAGTGGACCAAGTACGTTGGGAAGAAGCCCGCGTTTACGCGTGAGCCGCTCATGGACATTGTCCTCTTCTTCCTTATCTGGGGCGAAGCCGGCAACTTTCGGCAGACGCCAGAACTGCTCTGCTTTCTCTTCCACACGCTTGCCCCGTCGGCGTCCGGCGGCGGCGGCGCCAAGGAGCCTGGCGACTACCTCGACAAGGTCATCCGGCCCATGTACGCGGAGCTCAAGAAGGACAACGATAAGAAGACGTCCAAGGGCGCGCGGGCAGCGCACCGACACATTCGCAACTACGACGACTTTAACGAGTTTTTCTGGACCAAGAAGTGCCTCAAGTACAACGCGTACAACATTGGCGAGGCCTTTGCGAGCGCCGACAAGAAGGGCAACCCCAAGGTCGTCAAGAAGACGTTCAACGAAAACCGCACATGGACGCGGGCGCTCATGTCGTTCCGGCGCATCTTCCTCTTCAACTTTGCGCTCTTCCTTGCGACCGTGGGCTTCGCCGTCAACATGGTGCTGGTCTGCCCCGACTCGCCCATCATGTACGGCGACCAGATCCCGCCGACCATCAACGTCTTTGGCAAGTTTTACGCGGACCAGCGAGGCGCCGAACGTGGCACGTCGGACGCCGAATCCGACCTCGCGCCCGGCACGTTCACCAACGGCACGTGCAACGGCGCCAAGCTCGCGACCTGCCTCGGCGTTAACGGCTACATTGCCGGCACGTCGCTTGTGAACTTGCCCGTGGACTTTCGCCAGCTGCTGCAGGACATCCCGTTCACCAACTGCGTCCAGAAGCAGTCGGGGCGCTGCACGTGCTACCTCGAGCTCATCGAGACGTGCTGGGCGCAGAAGGGCACGGTCAACTACATTCCGGACCCCGAGAGTGCGCCCAACAAGCTCAAGGCGATCCGATTTGACCAAACAAAGTGCATTCCCAAGTACAAGGCGGCTGCGCTGAAGATCATCAACGAGAACAAGCTGCCCGGGCAGCTCAACTGCGGCATGTGCCGGCTCGAGATCAAGCAGCTGCCGTCGACGCTGCCCAAGCTGTTTGTCGAGCTCATCAACTTCAAGCGCACGGACAATGGCCACCTCATCTTTTTCGGTGGCGCCGGCTGCGTCGCGCTGGTCTTCGCGTGCGAGATCCTCGGGCGTCTCTTCTCGGGCGTCGGCGTCGGCTTTGTGGGGCGGTCGCTGCCCGTTCCGTTTGGCGCGTACTGTCGCTACACGTGCTTTTGGATGTTCCTCTTCCTCATCAAGCTGCTCTTCGACTACAACTTTATGGTCAAGAACCTCGTCGAGACGACGCTCTTCATTTGGCTGAGTAACTCGGCCGACTACCTCCAAGTCTCGCAGTTTATGGTACAGATGAGCTACCACAACATTCTGTACATCTTCTTCCTCTGGGTGCCGGCCATCATGGTGTTCCTCTACGACGCGCAGATTTTTTACGCGATTCTGTCGGTCATCTTTGGTTCGATCCGCGGCTTCAACCTCCGCATCGGTGAGCTCCGGTCGTTCCGCATCCTTCGCCTCTCGTTCAAGTCGATCCCGAAAGTCTTCAACAAGAAGATCGTCTCCAACTTGATCGAAGCTGCCGCCAAGAAAAAGAAGGCCAAGAAGCCCAAGAAGGGCGCCAAGAACGACGAGCCCGCGCCCGAGCGCCGCTTTGAGCGCGTCTCGTACTCGGAAGGCTCCAAGCCGCTCACGGTCACGGCGAAGGGCTTCTCGTCGCTCCTCGAGAACGACGGCTACAACGAGGTCAAGACGCCGGGCTCGTCGGCCGTCGACACTGCGCGCAGCTCCAACATTGGCTCGATCACGGGCGTGTCCGGCCCCGAGTTTGAGCGCACGATTCCGTTTGCGATGGCGTGGAACCGCTGCCTGACCTCGATGCGCGAAGCCGACGTGCTCAGCGACCGCGAGCTCAACGTGCTCAGCTACCTCATCGACACGAAGGACGTGGCCGAGCGTCGTCTGTACCCGCCGGCGTTCCTCACGGCCGGCAAGCTCGACGAGTCGCTCGACATCATCACCGAGTGCTACGCCGTCTACGAAAAGCTCAAGGCCGACAAGAAGAAGGGCAAGGCGCTGCAGAAGGTCGAGACGTCGATGACGGAGCGTCTCGTCAAGGACGATCTGCGTATCGAGGCGATCCTTGGCTCGTACAAGTTTTCGTCCCAAGTCGTGCGCCTCCTCCTCGGTGACGAGCACAAGGAGCTCGACGACTGCTTTGCGTTCATCGAAGAGTCGGTGCAGACGAAGAAGGCGATGACGGGGCTCAACTTTTCCAACTTGTATCAGTGCCGGTCGGCGTGTGCTGACCTGATGAAGTCGATCCTCGAGGTGCCCAAGTCGACGAACGAGGCGAGCATCAAGTTTCAGCGGTCGCTCTATCACGTGATTGACAACGTGGAGGCCGTCATCAACTGCCTCAAGAAGGTGCTCTCCAAGCAGGAGAACCTCGTCAAGATCCTCAACGACACGCCGCTGAAACCCAACTCGTTCTTCTTTCCCGGCGACGCCCAGCATTACGCGAGCGTCCAGCTGCAAAAGATTGTCAACGACCAGACGGCCATGGACATCATCTCGCGCGCGTACCAGCTGCTGACCGTCGACAACTTTGATGCCGAGCCGCGGTCAGAGGAAGGCCAGCGCCGTCTGCGCTTCTTCGCCAACTCACTCTTCATGGAGATGCCCGAGGCCAAGCCGCTGCGCCAGATGCACTCGCTCACGATCTCGACGCCGTACTTCAACGAGATCGTGCTCTACTCGATCAAGGACCTTACGACGCAGAACGACGACTGCATCAAGCTGCTCTACTACCTGCAGACGATCAACCCGTTCGAGTGGGAGAACTTCCTCGAGCGCATCAACTGCAAGGACATGCACGAGGCGCTCAAGAAGTTTCCCGAAGAAGTCCAGCTCTGGGCCTCGTACCGCGGTCAGACGCTTGCCCGCACTGTGCGCGGCATGATGTACAACGAAGACGCGGTCCGGTTCCTCCACTGGCTCGAGATTGGTGAGAACGAACCGATGCACTTGGCCGGCTGCGAGTGCAACCGCTGCATCCGCCTCGAACATATGGTCGCGCTCAAGTTCAACTACATTTGCGCGTGCCAGATTTACGGTCGGCAGAAGGACGAGCAGCGCCAGCAGGCAACTGACATTGATTTCCTCATGATGAAGCACCCGGGTCTGCGCGTCGCGTACGTCGATGGCCCGAAGAAGGTCAAGGACGGCCCGCCCAAGTACTTTTCTGTGCTCATCCGCGCCCAAGGCGACAAGATCACGGAAGTCTACCGCATCGAGCTGCCCGGCGACCCGATCATTGGCGAAGGCAAGCCCGAGAACCAGAACCAGGCGGTGGTCTTCACGCGAGGCGAGATGCTCCAGTGTATCGATATGAACCAAGACGGGTACCTCGAAGAGTGCCTCAAGATGCCCAACCTCCTCGCGACCGTCGATCGCAAGGAACACGCCAAGACGCCGCTCACGATCATTGGCTTCCGCGAATACGTCTTCACGGGCGGCGTCTCGAACCTCGCGTCGTTCATGCAGATCCAAGAGCTTTCGTTCGTCTCGCTCGGTCAGCGCATGCTCGCGCTCTTCCACGTCCGCCAGCACTACGGCCACCCCGATATCTTCGACAAGATGTTTGCGATGACGACGGGTGGCACGGCCAAGGCCTCCAAGGGTGTCAACCTCTCGGAAGATATTTTTGCCGGTTTCAACACGACGCTTCGCGGCGGCCGCGTTTCGCACGAGGAGTTCATCCAAGTCGGCAAGGGTCGTGATGTCGGTATGCAGCAGCTCGCGCTCTTCGAGGCCAAGCTCTCGTCCGGTGCTGGCGAGTGCGTCATCTCGCGTGACGCGATGCGCATGGGCTCCCGCCTCGACTTTTGGCGCCTCCAGTCGTGGTTTTACGGTAACCTCGGCTGGTATTTCACGCAAACGATGACGGTCTTTGGCGTCTACTTCTTCATCTACGGCAAGATCTACTTTGCGTTCTCGGGCCTCGACGCGTTCTACCTCCGTACTGGTGGTCTCGGTATCTCGGGTGCGCTTAACACGTCGTGGGCGCTGCAGTTTGGCTTCCTCCTCGTCGTGCCCGTCATTGCCGTCGTCGGTGTCGAGCGCGGTTTCCGTCACGGCTTCAGCTACCTCCTCTGGAACGTGCTGACGCTTGGTCCGCTCTTCTTCACGTTCCAAATGGGCAACCGTATGCACTACTTTGACCGGACGCTCATCCACGGCGGCGCCAAGTACCGCGCGACCGGTCGTGGCTTTACGATCAAGCACGAGAAGTTTGCCGAGCTCTTCCGGTTCTACGCGTTCAGCCACTTTTACCGCGGCGTCGAGCTCATGTTCCTCCTCGTGTTATTTTACGCGTACGGGACGTTTTCGTGGTGCAACTGCTCGTGGCGCACGGACCAGCTCTTCTACAACAACATCGAGCCGCTGCCGTACGAGTGGAACATCCGGTGTTATGCCAACTTTTACCAGAGCTGCGTGCTGCCGACCAACCAGAACTATGGCATCATGAGTTACTCGCTCTGGATCATTGCCGCGACGTGGATCTGGGCTCCCTTCTTCTTCAACCCGAGCGGCCTCGACTGGGACAAGGTCATTGAAGACTACAACGACTGGCAAAACTGGCTCCAGACGAAGAACGACTCGAGCGAGTCGTGGTTTGGCTGGTGGACGACCGAGCTCGAGTACCTCGAGCACTCGACGGCGAGCGCGCGCTTTGTGCAGATGATTCGCAAGACGCGCTTCCTCCTCATCGCGATCGGGCTGTACCTCCAGATGATGTACCGCATCTTTTACAAGAGCCAGAACAAGGTCGTGTCGACCAACAAGGATGACGGCGTGCTCGAGTTTTACAAGCCGTTCATCATTGTCGGCGCGCTCTTCGTGCTCATGATCCTCCTCGTCTGCTGCGGCTACTGCGCGTCGCGCTTCACGAAGAAGAGCCAGATGAAGCAGAAGAAGCTGCGCAAGATCAAGTTCAACATCTCGTTCACGGTGCTGGTGCTTGTGCTGTTTTCGTTCTTGTACCTCTCGGTCACGGAGGTGCTGGAGATTTGCCTCATCGTCGTCGTCGCGACCTACTGGTTTGTGCAAGTGATGATCGTGCGCCTCAAGAGCGGCCACATCGTCGTCCACGCGCTCGGCAAGTTTTACGACCGCGCCGTCGGCTGGATCGTCTTTGGCCCGATCTTGTTTGTCGCGATGTTCATGCCTTTCATCTCGTCGTTCCAGCAGCGCGTCATGTTCAACTCTGCGTTCACGTCCGGCCTCGAAGTCTCGAAGCTCTTCGCCAACGAAGCCGTCCCGACCCAGACGCTCAAGGCCAAGCGCACCAAGAAGAAGAAGCGCGACGACTAGCTTTCTAGCATTTATATCGACATTTTGATTTGAGATTCCGAGTTCATTGACGAACGTCGACGAAGCTGGCAGAGGGATTGGCCTCAGCGCGTGTTCCTGACACGGCGGCGCGGCGCCAGGCGATGCTCCTCGATACCTTCCACCGGCGCGTGCGTGGCCTGTGCACTGCAGTGTGTGCTGTGTGCAGGATGCCCGTTCCGTGCCGTACGGGTGCCACGAGTGTACTTGACTAGGGGAATTTCAGTAGCCAGACCTCGTCAAAGTTGGTACCACGTATGGCGGGTCAGTCGGAAAGATAGCAGCAGCAAGTGCAAGCCGCCTCGAGACGCATGGTGGCCGACGAGGCGCACACGGTCGTCGTCTTTGACTGGGACGACACGCTCTGCCCGAGCTCGTGGCTCCACGCGCACGAGCTCCTGCCCGCGTACCAAGGCCACGCCGTGGAGCTGCCGCCCGTGGTGCGCGACGTCTTGGCGATGCTGGCCGAGAAGGTCTGCGACCTGCTCGTCGCGGCCATGGCGCTCGGGCCTGTCTTCGTCGTAACTGCAGCCGAGGGCGGCTGGGTCGAGACGGCGTGCGCACTCTACATGCCGTCCGTCGGGTCGCTCCTCCAGCGGTCGCCCGACCTTCACATTGTCTCGGCGCGCACGTGGTTTGAAGGCACCTACGGCTCGGGCGGCGACGCGCGCCACTGGAAGCTCGAGGTGCTCGGCGTCATTGCCAGCAAGTGCTTCGTCTCGGGCAGCGGCAACCTTGTCTCGGTCGGCGACTCGCTCGCGGAGCGCGACGCGTGCCACGCCGTCGTGACCAACTGCCCCCACATCCTCGCCAAGACGCTCAAATTCATCGACGTCCCGGACGTCCTCGAGATCGCGTCCCAGGTCGAGCTGGCCTTCGGCTCGCTCCACCACATGTGCGTGCACAACGACCACCTCGACCTCCACATTACGCGGGACCAGCTCCTCCGGCCCTAAGCCCTTATTTTCTCCTATATATTAAGTACTCTCACCTAACTACTCACGCCTTGGACGTGTGCTTCTTGGGCTTCTTGGTCTTCTTGCCGTCGGTCCTTTGCTTCTTGCTCTTCTCGCTCGGCTTGGGCTTGAGGATCATGAAGCGCAGCTCGGCCTCGACCGACGTGCTGTGGTTGCGCAGAAAGTACGCATTGTTCGCGGGCACGTAAAACTCGTCGCCGGGCCCGAGCGTGAAGCGTGACGCGGTCGCGTCATCAAACGCAGGGCTCGACGGATGCCCAAAGGCCACCTCGAGCGCCATGGGCTGGCAGCCAATGACGACGAAGACCTGCGCGCAGCTGCCGACGCTTTCGCTGGCCTTGACGGCGCCGGGCGGGAGGAGCACGCGACCCGAGATCCACGTCGGCACCGAGGTCGAGCCCACCACGTTGAACGTCTGACACGCAAAGCCCGACGGCACCCCGTCTTCGGCCGGCAGCGGAAAGAGGTCCGCCGTGCCGTACCGGCCAATCATCTTGACCGTCTTGCTCGTGGCCGATGCTTCGTCCCAGAGCTCGCCCGCGTCGGCCGTCGAGTACTTGAACTGGGGCGGCAGCTGCGACGCCGGGAACGTCGCGTGCTTGGACTTCTTCTTGCGGTTGCCGGCCGCGTTCTTAATCGGCGAGTTGGTGCCCGCACGCTCAATGTGCGAAATCGTGGGCAAAATGAGCCCGAGCCCATTGTCGCGGCGCTCGTACACTGGCCGCTCGCACTTGTACCACGCGAGGGGCTGGATCCGCCGCCGCTTGGAGCGTCGCGGACCATTGTGGTCGCTCTCGCCGCCGTCGTCGTCATTGTCGGTAAAGTCCTGTCGGCGCGGCGGCGCGTCCATGTCCGAGTGGTCGGTTGCGTCGTTGAACGACATCTCGGCCAGCTTCTTCTTCTTGGGTCGGCCTCGGGCCTTGGGCTCCTTGAGCTCCTTAGTGGTCTGCTTGGGCGCCTTTGTAGCCCTCTTGGGCGCCTTGGTCGACGGCTTCTTCGAGGTCGTTTTGGGCTCAGCGGCGATGAGCGATGCGTCTTCAAACATGTCATTTTCATTGTCGCTCGTGTCCGCGACGGGCATGCGGGACTTCTTCGATGCCTTCTTCGTCGGCGGCGTCGTCGGGCGGCGCGCCACAGGACTCACAGGCGGACTCGAAAACTGCGGGCGGACCTCGGGAGGCGAGAAGAGGTCGTGGTCTACGAGCCATTGACGACGTGCATGTCAATAGTATGCGAGTACCTTCTGTCTGTTGGATCGGCGTCATGCTGCCGCCAAACGAGCCTCGATTGCCCTCCATAGCGTTGTGCTGGTTCTTCTCGCCAAAGGTATCGTCGTCGTCGTCGAGCGACGGCGCGTCAAACTCAAAATCGTCGTTCAACTCAAACGAGCGATGGCCCGCCGCATTGTCTTCCTCGTCGTCCACAGCCTTCGATTCCTCTTCCTCTAAGAGCGCACGCGCCAGTAAGAAGAGAGATAGATGCACACAGCAACAACCTTGGGATCGGACAACCGGCAGCGGTGCCGCCTTGGTCACTGGCGCGGGATGCGTGATCCGCAGAGAAAAGATGCTCGCGTCCGACACGTTGCTGTCGTTCATTGGCGGCTTGGCCGTCGGCGGCGCGGCTTTGGCTAGGTACAGATCTCTAGGAGAGATACGCAAGATGGAGGTGGTACCTGGGGATGGGCGACGCGGCGACTGCACGGGCGTGGTCATGTCCACGTCCGAGAGGTCCATGCTGGATGAGGCTATGATGAAAGCGCGTCAAGCAAAGAAGCATGCGCGCTACGCTGGCTACCGCGTCGGTTCTTGATCGTACTGGCCGGCGACGACATGTTGCCAAACGAAATGTCTACCTCGGACGGCGCTTCGTCTTTGCGCGAGTCGTGGGCAGCTGCGTCAGCCCGAGAAGATGCTTTGATCGGCGATGCTTCTGCCACCGGAGGCGCCACAGGACTGGGCTTTGTCTTCTTGAGGGTTGCAGGCGGCATTGTCGGAATGGCGCGCACAGGCTCTAGCACGCATCACCACCCATAAGTCAACGCAAGCAAATCATTGCGTGGCGTACGGGGCGGGCGTGGCGGCGGCGGGCGAGCAAATGGTGGTGTACGCGCCGTCGGCACGGGCGCGGCCGGTGCGACGACTTCTGTTGCATTGGAGCATGAGTTAATGACGCTTTGCAAACGAGGGCGTACCAGTCGTCTTAACAGGCGTGGGCTGACTGCTCGACGCGCGGCGTCGAAGGTGCGTATGGGCCTTCACAGGCGTCGGTGTCGTGGGTGCGCGGCGCAGCCGGATCACATCGGGCTCCTCCTCGTCGTCGTCGTCGTCGCGCGAGTCGTTGAACTCAAAGTTGTCTTGGCCAACATCGTTTGTCGACTCTAATGCATACATCGACGCTCATATCTCGATGGCGCGGCCAAGCATGCTGCAGTACCGTTGGTGTCCGAGTCTTCCGCCCAGAAGTCGTCAATGTCCTCAAAGCCATGCGAGTCTCGGCGCACGTCAGCGCGGACTACGACGCCCGAGCGTCTAGGGACCATCGCGTCAGCTTCCATGCCATCGTCCAGAGTCGCTGGCGAACCTGCCGATGGCTTGGGCCTGAAGGGCGCGGGCCGGCAAGGACATCAAGTTGCCTTGCGCTGAGAGCGTTGGGATTTGAACGCGTCCGCCGATTTTATCCGGATTCGCAGGGGCCCAACTGTTTTTCACTCGATTTGTACTTAGCGTTTGTATTAAATTTCAAAAACTTGCCCCATCCCGCCACCTCTGGTAGGGCCCTGTCATTGGATAAAAAACATTCGTCAGTCGATCCTGATAGGCCCAAAAATTAACGGTTAGTCGCTGGCTCCTGGCGGTTGACGCCATCCGATCGATGCCAGCGCATGAAAACGGCCAAGTTGCCGCGCGCTCTGATTGCCGCCTCTATAGCTACCGGGTCGTCGCCACGTCGGCGTCCATATCGGTCGTCTACTAGTCGGAGCCTATCGCCTGCAACAAGGTGGCAGTCATGGCGAATGGAGTCACACTATTCAATGGCTTGAAAGCCATTGGATAGTCCCGCCTTTCTTAAGCTGGCGATCGCGATTTACACCGGTCAGCGTGCTTAATGCGATATAGTAGCTGCTAGTAGAGCTTTGTAGCTCCAGCACTGGAGCTTGCGCGTAGCCCAGGTCGATGGCTGCTGTAGCTCCATCTTGCGCAGGACGCCGCTGGATGCGAGGCTGTGGCCTTTTTCAATCTAAATTTAGCTGGCATAACACGGGATTTAGTGTATGTGGGTGGCTACTCCGTTGCTGCGGCCGCCACGTGGGGCCGTCGCATCGCGGTCGCTCTTCTGCACCGTCCGCTTCAAGCGCTACCGAGCACGACGACGTCCGCGGCGTTCCTGCTGCCCGTCCTGTCGCGGGCTCCTAGAAACGCAAATAGTGTATGTATGTTTTGATAGAGGTTTGTATGCAGTCTGAGAGGGATTGACGTGTGGGTCAACCAATTTTGTTGGCTGGTGACAGAGGTGATTTTTTGGCCAAGCCACCAGGAGAGAAGACCATGTCGGACAAGCTGACGCGTATCGCCATCGTGAGCGCCGACAAGTGCAAGCCCAAGAAGTGTCGCCAGGAATGCAAGAAGTCCTGCCCCGTCGTGCGCATGGGCAAGATCTGCATTGAAGCGACGGGCAAGTCCAAGATCGCCTACATCTCCGAGTCGGTACGTCCTACTGGCATGGCCGGGCGTAGCCGCTCATGGCCGCGTTAGCTCTGCATTGGTTGCGGTATCTGCGTCAAGAAGTGCCCGTTCGAGGCCATCAACATCATCAACTTGCCCAAGGACCTTGAGAACAACACGACGCACCGGTATGGCGCCAACACGTTCAAGCTCCACCGCCTGCCCATGCCCCGCCCGGGCCAGGTGCTCGGTCTCGTCGGTACGAACGGTATCGGCAAGTCGACGGCGCTCAAGATCCTTGCCGGCAAGCTCAAGCCCAACCTTGGCCGCTACGACTCGCCGCCCGAGTGGCAGGAGATCCTCACGTACTTCCGTGGCTCGGAGCTCCAAAACTACTTCACGAAGATCCTCGAAGACAACTTGAAGGCGATCATCAAGCCGCAGTTCGTCGATCGCATCCCCAAGGCCGTCCAGGGCCAGGTCCGTCAGATCATCAGCGACCGCTGCCAAAAGGAAGGCAAGCTCGACTACTACATGAAGGAGCTCGACCTCACGCACATCAAGGACCGCGACGTATGACCCGACAGATGACCTCATTCTCGGTATCTCATGCTGTTGTAGCTTGCCGTGCTCTCGGGTGGTGAGCTCCAGCGTTTCGCCATTTGCTCGATCGCTGTCCAGAAGGCCGACATTTACATGTTTGACGAGCCGTCGTCGTACCTCGACGTGCGCCAGCGTCTTAAGGCCGCGCTTGTGATCCGCTCGATGGTCGAGGGCAGCCACCTCTCGTACTGCATCTGCGTCGAGCACGATCTCTGCGTCCTCGACTACCTCTCGGACTACATCTGCGTCCTGTACGGGTCGCCGTCGGCGTACGGCGTCGTGACGATGCCCTTCTCGGTGCGCGAAGGCATCAACATCTTCCTCGCCGGCTTCGTCCCGACTGAGAACCTCCGTTTCCGCCAAGAAGAACTCACGTTCAAGCTCGCGCAGACGGCCGACGAGCTCAAGGGCAACGACGACTCGAGCGCCAACACGTACACGTACCCCAACATGACCAAGTCCATGTCGTCGGGCAAGCCTGGCGCGCCGACGTTCAAGCTCCACGTCGAGACCGGTTGCTTCACCAACTCGGAGATCATCTGTATGCTTGGTGAGAACGGCACGGGCAAGACGACCTTTATCAAGATGCTTGCGGGCGGGCTCAAGTCGGACGAGATGATTGCGGCCGAGACGTCGGAAGACTACGCGGCCCAGTACGAGGCGTCGCTGCAGTACGACGCCAACGTGGTGAGCTACAAGCCGCAGACGATCGCGCCCAAGTTCCAGGGCTCGGTCCGCGCGCTTCTGCACAAGCGCATCCGCGACTCGTACACGCACCCGCAGTTCCTCACGGACGTCATGCGCCCGCTCAACATTGACGACATTATCGACCAAGCCGTGCCCAACCTCTCGGGCGGTGAACTGCAGCGCGTCGCGATCGTGCTCTGCCTCGGCAAGCCCGCCGACATTTACCTCATTGATGAGCCGTCGGCGTACCTCGACTCGGAGCAGCGTATCATCGCGTCCAAGGTCATCAAGCGCTTCATCCTGCACGCCAAGAAGACGGCGTTCGTCGTCGAGCACGATTTCATCATGGCCACGTACCTCGCGGACCGCGTGATCGTCTACAAGGGCCGGCCCGGCGTCGAGTGTACGGCGCGCACGCCGCAGAGCCTCCTCTCGGGCATGAACATGTTCTTGAAGCAGCTCGAAATCACGTTCCGTCGCGACCCGACCAACTTCCGCCCGCGTATCAACAAGCTCAACTCGGTCAAGGACACGGAGCAGAAGAGCACGGGCAACTACTTCTTCATGGACGACTAAGGTTAGAGTCGACTACGACGATGTATGATCATCTCCCTGCACATTTAACAGTCACAACAAAAGCACTAGCGTTTACACACACTCGGCGTGTTACTGGCGAATCATCGCGGTCGTTGGCCGCTGCAAGAGGTCGACGACCACACCTTCGGCTCCGGGATCCGGGGCGCGGTACATGGCTTTGGACTCGACGATGACTTGGCCTTCGTTGATGCAGAGCACATCTTGCTCCTCCGCGCCGCAGTAGAGCAGTTTGCGCTTCTCGGCCTATTTGCGTCGTTCTAACACATCCAACAGCCGCCGCGTCCCAATACCTCGACGAGGCCCGGATGGAGCGTGAACAGAATCGGCTGCCCAAACTCGATCGCTTGCTGGAGCTTGCCCGTGCGCGCGAGGCTTGGGGCCGGCGGGGCTTGGCGCAGCGATCCCATGTACAGCTACAAACGGTCAATCGGGACGACCTCGGCCGTACTCTACTACTACCTTGAGATCGTCCAAGTAGATTTCAATCTCGCGCGCGCCCCGCTCTGGCGTCTTGGCGTAGTTGAACACTTTGATCATACCGAGGCAGATGGGCGTCTCGTACACGGCGTAAATGATGTTGCCTAGTACGTCTCTCAACCCTAGCCCCCTGCGACGCGCCTACCCGCAAACTGACCGAGCGACGACGCGAGTGGCGCGAGCCATGCGTGGGACGCGTCCCACGTGTTGTTGTCGGCGTCGCAAAAGAGATTCTCGATGACGCGCGCGTCGTGGGGGCTGTCGGCGAGGCCGTTGGGGTCAGCGAGAAGCTGCAATTGTCATCATCAACACTGTTCTCTGTTGCATATGGGAGGCTACCACAGCAGGCGGCGGTAGTAGCTGCCCGCGGTCGTTGTAAATCTCGAGGCCGTTTAAACCGACGTAGTACGGGTCGCCCCACGTACTCCAGAGCACAAACTAGATGAAGCGCTGAGACCACCACGCAGCGAGAACGATCGCACCTTGAGGACAAACCCCGACGGGTGCAGCGGTGGCTCGTAGTCTTGTCGCACGAGATGCGTCTTGTAGCCTCCGATGGGAGCGCTGTTGGCGACGGCACTCCCATCGGCCAGTGGCACAAACTGGCGAAAGTCAAATAGCGCGTGGCCCGGCGCCTTGCGCAGCACCGTGGTCGTGACGAGCGTACTGTCGACGAAGATCTGAACGGCTTTGGCCCCGCGGCTCGTGTCTTCCTGGGACTTGTTGTAGTTCCACACCGCGAGGCCAACGCACACGACGTCTCTTCCCAGCGTGATGGTCACCTCGGGGGCCGATGCGCCACCTAATACAGTGTTTGTATCCGTCCATGCAGCATTTCGGACGCACCGAATGGCACGAGCCACATGTGGCAGTCGTCGCACGTGACATTCGTCTTGTCAATCAACTAGTACGTCCAGTGGAGTCCAATGGCCACAGTCGACGATAGATGACGTACTTTGTCCAGTGTACGGGGGTCGCCGTCGTACCCAAGCTATTCGCCGCCGTTAGCTCCAGAGACGAGACAACCACGCACCGTGTGCAAGTCGCGGGGTGTCGCGCCCACTTCGGGCAGCGCCAGTGGAAGCGATGTCACCGTGCCGTCTCTTGACACGTATAGCTCGAGCCCCGTGAGGCCGACGTAGTTGCGGTCCCCCCACGTCGTCTGCAGCACGAGCTTGATCGTCCGGCCTTTTCGCCCCCCGGCGCTGGCGACCTGGACGGGACTTGTGACCACGGCGGTCTTGGGGCGCACATCCGCTTCGGCCTCGGCGGTCGACGGTCGAGGAATCACCGGCTGCGGCTCCAGCGCTGCAGGTGTCGCGTCGACGGTGGGGTCGGGGTCGCTCTGCTCAATCGCGCGCAGCACCGCCTAAGACGATCGCTCAACGCTCCGTGGATGGAATCGATGATAGTCGCGACCTCGTCGGTCGTAAAGAGAACCACTTCGGCGCACTGGTCGATGGCACCGAGGATGCCAGGGGCCTTGCGCACTTCGCCGACAAAGATCTCGCGGCCATCAAGTAGAATGCGCGTGTCCCGGACGCCGCGAAAGCTACAAGGGTGATTCCACATCTTCTTGGAGGTCATAGGTTCGAACCTATGCGCGCGCGACTTGTTGTAGTTCCAAATCCGAAGCATCGAGAGCGTGGTTGGCGCCTCGAGCTGCAGCGTGACCGAGTGCACTTGATGTGGCGTGAACGGGGCCAGCCACATGTGCAGGTCGTCGCACGTGTAATTGACGCCATCGACCTACGACACGCGTTAAAGACAATCTTTCAAGTCGCAAGTTACCAAATTGGCGGCGACGCGCGGGTCCTGCTCGTTGGCGTACTCGGGCAGCCGTTGATACTCGAAGGCACCGCTGTCACTTGACTCTAAGTCGCAACATCATCGCTCATGTTGGCAACGAGCCGCGGACCTTGGCGAGGCGCAGAAGCACGCCAGTCTCAGTGAAGACATCGATGCCGTTGAGACCAACGTAGTACGGGTCGCCCCACGTCGTGAGCCACTCAAACACAAGCGTGCGGCCGCGCGGCAGCGTCGGAATCGCACTCGCCGGGCGGTCTTGGTGCAATGTTGCGTCGGTGACAGGCAGCCGAGGAGTCTCGCCGACAAACGACCGGGGCAGCTCGGTGGAGCTGAGGGGCGGCACGATGGCGGTGGTGTGTCGCGGCGTCGTGTCACCGACCTCGAGGGGTAAGCGGCTGCGGTTCGTCTTCTTGAAATGCTCGAGCGTGTCCCAAGAGCTTTGCAACGACGGCATGGCACGCACAGGGGCCGGCGCCTCGGCTTTCGGCTCCACCTCGAGTTTTGGCTCGGCCAGTCGTCGCCGACTCGTCGACTGACGCAGCACACTTGGCTCGGCTCCGACGCGCGAGAGGTCGAGGGACTTGATCTCGCGCTCTCTTCGGGCGGTTGGTGCAGCTATAGGCTCCACTTTGGTCGTCGACGCTGCGTTGAGCCAGATGGGGCCGCTTGAGGCGACGCTCTTGGCCGTCTCGTGACGTGGCGTCTCGGGAAGCGGCTTGGGGGCTGCGGTAGGTGGCGCCTTCTTGCGCATGTTGGAGACAACGTTGATCCAGGTACAGGCAGATTCATCCTACGCACGGCGTATACGACAATCCAGTATTACGTAGTTGTGTACCTCGGCACCAAAAGACTCTGGGAGGGACCCGGACCACTTGCACTGGTTGTCGACAAAGACCTCGACGTCTCGGACGCACGCGGCTTGGAGTTTCTAGCGCACAGACGTGACAATGAGCACAATTATGGCTCGTGTACGCTGTTGTAGTTCCAGATGCAGAGTTTGCTGGGGAGAACACCGACAGAAAAAGCGATCTGGAGCGGGTTGGCGTCGATCTGGCGACTACATTCTCCAGGTGGGAATCCGTGGACGTAGAATCCAACGCACCCGAGCCACATGTCATTTTCGTTGGTGGTGTATGCGACACCGTTGAAGAGCCGCGCCAGGTCGCGCACCATCCCGTTGGACTTGGGGATCGGACGCATGTCGGCTTGGCCACTGTAGAGCTTGAGCGACTCGAGCGGCACGTCGACCTCGTTACCCTCCATGTCGTACACGGAAACCTATGGATGGTCAACAATATACGACTACATTGAGAAATGATCTACCTGGGTGAGCCCGAGCACGCGCGTATTATTGCCCCAGGACGAGAGCAGCTTGAGCCGAACCTCGTGCATGACCGCAGCAGTCTCCTTGGGCAGCGCAGTCATCGAGGTGGCCACAAGTGCTGGTGCGGGCGGCAGCGGCGCACTCTCGACCGAGACACTCTCTCGAACTGGCTCGGCTGTCGAGCGCTGCGCAGTTGGTGGGGGGCCTTCACGCACCATTGGTTTGGTGGTCGGGCTCGCACACGGTGGCAGCGGAAGCCGCGTGGCTTCTTCAACTTGGCGCAGCTTCTCGAGTGTCTCGGTGCGTCGCTTTGCGAGGAGCTGCTGCAGCTCCTTCTCTTCGGCGTCAAGCTGCTGCAGCAAGTGCTGGCGCCGCGCCTCGGCTTGTGCGAGCAGCGTTTCCTTTTCGGCGCGCTCGTGCTGAAGCTTGGCTTCAATCTCCGCCTCCCACGCGCGCTGCTTCTGCGTGAGCTCCGAGATGGGAGCGGTGAGCTGCTGCCAAATGGTTGGGTCACCGATCGACTCTTCAAGCTCCGAGACGTCCGCGGCCCTACGCGCATCGTGCTACGTTGTTGGCGATGAAGAGAGGTCATACTGCTTCTCGCTGGTGGTAAACTTATTGAGTCGCGAGATGAGTGCCTTTTGCTTGTCCCGCGAGAGGCCGTGGATGAGCGAGAGCAGCTCCTTGGTCGTTTGGCTCATGGCGTCGACGGGCCCGACGTCGAACGGTGGCGTGGCGTCTTCGTGCGCACACGTTCGGACGACAGCCTGTATCGGTGCTGCTGCCACACCCTTGGCACTGGCGTCGTCGTCAAACTCCTCAAAGGACTCGTCCAAGTACGCTTCGTCGTCGCTCTTTTCGTCGGCAGAGGCGCTTGCAGGCTCGGGCTTGGCGTCGACAGGGATGGCCATAGCCAGTGTCGCGTTGCCGTCAGAGGTACTCGCGCATGGCTGTGTACCCGCACGTGGTAGATCTAGGCTGGCACTCGGTGGTTCTAGGCCAGCCCTAGGCGGTTCTAGGCTGGCACTTGGTGGTTCCAGGCTAGCACCAAGTGGCTGGTTGCTAGTGTCCTCGGTACAGTCGTTTGGATCGACAAAGACGATGCGCCCGTCACGCTGCTCGACCACACCTTGCGGTCTACCAAAGCGAGTAAATAAGAACTCATGCAGGTCGCAAGACGGACGTACTTGGCCCACTTTTGCTTGACGCGCGGTGCGACATCGGTAGCGCTATGCAGCGGCAGCGCCGACGTGGATTTGGTCTCGCGCTTGGGTTCGGCGCGTGGCCGCAGCTCGGCGGTCGACCCGTGGCTCTTGAGCTTGGCCGCGGATTTGGCGCGGGGCTTGGCCGACGCGGCGCGCGGCTTCCGCGACGCGTTTTCGCCGTTAAAGTTGGTGCTAAACCCGCTCTCCTTTTCCTCGAGGTCGCGGTCGTTCCGAGACTGCTCTTCGAGCTTCTTCTTGATGCGATTGCGCTCTTCGAGGACGCGGATGTACTGCAGCTGCTTCTCCGTGGCGACCGTGGCGACCGTGTCGGCGGCGACCGGTGGCGCAGCAAACGTCGGGACGGTCGCTTGCTTCGCCCACTTCTTCTCTCGCCGTGGGTCCGCCATCGACGACGAGCGGATCGCGGTCGTGGATCTGCACCGTTTCGCGACCGCCTCGAAATAGTGTACAATAGAACACTATACACACGTAATCGCGCGTGCCTACTGACGGATATACTGTGCAAGGCTGGCGAACGTCAAACACAGCTGCACGAAGCTCTAGCTCTCAGAGACCGCGGACAACACGTCGCCATAGTCTATCCAGGAAGCGGTGAAGGCTCCGCCTCCGAGGTACAGTGTGGCTCGCAAAGCTCGAGATTCCTCCGCCGTGGCTACTGTTCTCATGACGCAGTCAGCTGCCGCCCAGCTCGTGTAGAGGAAGCCGTTCGTTCGTTCGTTCGTTCGAGGATCGTCACATGCGAGTGGTATAAAGGCATGGAGCTGATGGGGAGGTTGAGAAGCAAGGGAATATTCCCTTGGGCAAAGTGACGGAGCTGATCGTGGCGCGTGACGGGGCGGGGTCGACGGTGCACCTCGCGCCGCATTGGTTGATGGCAGCGCGTGCCGGCGCTGGCTCTTGCGTACGCTCGCACGACGCTTCTTTGCCATCAAATGGGTCGCGTCCATGCACATGGCGTGAGTCGCGGGCTCCCCGGAGGCTTCCGCCGTCGCTGACGTCGACAGAGGTAGCCGCCGTTTGCCAGTTTCGGGTGCACATGGTACCCGAGAATGGCAACTTGGGTGGCATTCGCTCTTTCAGTACCTCAGGTGCACGACCGACGACATGCTACTCGTTGACGCATCTTGTCGCGATAAATCCAAGCACTCGGATGAGGCATTCGATCACCGTCTCGCATCGCGTGTGCTGCCAGCAGGACCAAGCATCCGTCAACAAACGTAAAAAGTCGAAGCTTCGAGAGGCGCTCGTACCAACTTGAACTTGCGCCGATTTAACCCACTTGTACTGAATAAGCGAATCCGTCGTTTTGCAGCATACAAATTGCAAGCTCGAGCGACAGTTGCATAGCCGTCGGGAAGGGTCAAATCATATGGCAGTACCCACGGAAGCTTGTCCACGGCGCTTCGATCTCGCTCGTGAAGCTTCCAGCGTTCGCTTCCTCCGTCTCCGTCGAGGGCTCCGGTACTAGCGCCCTTTTGCAACGCGAGAGTTGGTCGATCGATGAAAGATATTTCGACTTACGCGCAAGAGCTCGTATGGAGCTTTCGCTGCGTTTCGAGAATATGTGCGTTTAGATTTCCACCAATCACAACACGTCATTTTAAGTGATCTATTTATGTCGAGTGTATTTTAATGCAGCGAGTAGGTCATACAACTTGGCTTTTGTAGGAATGGCGTCAGTTGCTGCAATGAAAAGTGTAAAATAATTTGCGCCGAATACTTCGAGCATGGGATCTCCACTTTTCCTTTTTCAGATCGCAACCAACACCCCGATGGACCTCACGAACCTTGCCCGCCGCTTCAGCCGCAGCGACGAGACGCCGACGTCGCCGCCGCCCTTTGTCCGTCCGGCCAGCATCGACACGGCGCCCGTGCCCTTCGGCCACAACACGGGCGACCACGAGGAGCTGCGCCGCGCCCGCCGCACCCGCAGCAAGAGCGAGTGCCTCCTCCTCGCCAAGAACCACTCGAAGAGCGACCTCCCGACGCCGTGCCAGGACTACATTTCGCAGATCCAGCTGATCATGGCCAAGAACGAGACGTCGCGCAGCCGCAACAGCAGCACGGGCTCGGCGACGTCGCCGGTCGGCTCCAAGTCGACGCCACCGACGCCTGTGGGGCCGGACGCAGCATTCATGCACCTCCGACGCAGCAACTCTGCGCGGACAAACGCGATTCCTGCCACCGAGTAAGCGTCCCCCCTTGGCCTATCTAACCGTTATCTATCTTGCGCCCATTGAAGGCGCCTATCGTAAAAGCCGCTCGTCCTCGTAATAAATAATCTCTGTCGTATTAACGTCGTACTTCACTCAAGTCTACGGTGCGACGCGCCGATAGTAGTATTGGCGCTGTGCCGACCGCCACATAGGGCCCGCCGGGATTGCGGCCACGTGCCGGGTCGTCCGCGTTGTCTTGTCGACGGCGTGTGTGACACAGCGGCAGACGCTGCAGCCGTAGACGCTCCACTCGGGCAAGTCACCGAGGAGCTCGGACACTGCACGCGACTGGAGGTGGGCCAAGTCGAGCGGCTCGATCGTCGACGCGAGGAGCCACGCCACGGAGAAGGCGCCCCCGTAGGTCGCCGCCAGCGCGTTCTTCAGCTGTTGGTCGACATATGCACAGAGACCGCAGGGCTTCTGCTCATCGCAGCACACGACAGTTGAGATCGTCGTGAGCTCCAAACTGCACTGTCCGCAAAAGCACTACAGGCGACACTGAAATCGCCTCGGGAACGATGCGAGAAGAAGAAACCTGAAAGGCGACGGCAGCGTCGTGCCGGTTCGTCCGCTCCCGGCTCTCCTCCCAGAGAAAGAGGTGCGCGAGGGCCTTGGGCGATGGCATGTAGCCTGCGTACGGGTTGATTGCTCGCTGCGCCTCCTTGACAGCTTCGAAGCCCGAGAGGCCGAAAAATGTCATCTTGAACATGTAGATAATGACCAGGAGCGCGGGCAGCACGTCGGCGGGTACCAAGAGCACCGCCTATAACATGCAAGCGTTGGGACAGGGCCGTCGTCGTACTACGCTGGAACGTACTGTCTTGGTGCGGGCAACGTGCAGCTCCCAGAGCCGCCGGCAAATCTTGGGCGAGAGACCAAGCAGCTGGGCCACGTAGTGCTGGTCTGTCTCGCTCGCGCGCTCATCGAACGCCGCATCATTGTCGTCGTCGATCACGGTCGTATCCGGGCGCCTTGGTGGCGCCACGAGGGGCACATAGCTGCTCGCGTCGGTCGCAAAGCGTACGACGACATCAGACGCGAGGAGCGCGTCGGCGGTCGTCGCAATGAAGAGGCGATCGTGGAGCTGGAACCGCGTGGGCTTTTTCGAGGCGACGCAGCCGTAGTCGATGCGAATGCGGTGGCCCATGGCCTCGAGCGTCGACGCCAACAGCAGCGGCGCGGGCGCACTCTTCTTGCTCAGAAGCGACGCCGTGTCAGCTTGGAGGGTGCTCACGAGGCGTTGGATCGCGCTCAGTGTCGGCCGCGCGGCCGCCGAGCGCACGAGGATGAAGCGGAGAAGCTGGCAGACCACCTGCGTGTGCGCCTCGACGTTGCCGTGGAGGTTGCTCAGGCTCGATCGGAGCGTCGCTTCGTGCGCCGGCGTCACGATCGAAGTGGACGCGTGCTTGAGGTGCGCGTAAAACTCGGACCAGTCGTCTAGACATAAGGTCCTCCATGGCAGTCATCGAGGTGGAAAGAATCGGTACCAAAGCAAAACATAAGCTGGCCCGTAATGAGCTCGTAGAGAAGACAGCCGAGCGCCCAAATGTCGGCGGCGGTGCTCATCTTGGTCGTCGACTCGAGCATCTCGGGGCTCTTGATGGCCTCGGTGCCCCGCGCATGGAGGCAATCAAACTCGGGGTTGCGCGGCGTCGCGTTGACGAACGACTCGCCAAAGTCGCCCATGCAGAGGTCGTACGTTGCATTCCCGGGCCAGTACGCCTCACGAAGCAGCACATTCTCACACTATCCTTGCATGAGAGCCGTCGAAAAGAGACAGATTGGCGTCACCTTGATGTCGAAATGCGTCACGTGGGTCGCGTGGATGGCGGCGACGGCGCTGCAGACCTATATACGATTGCAGTCAACAGGCGAGAAGCAGGAGGGTGGCACCTCGCCAAAGATGGTCATGAGCACGTTGAACGGGTCCGGAAACGCGTAGACGTGGCTCGCCCACCACTCTTTGAGGTTGTTTGGCGCGTACTCCATCGCGATGTAGTACCCGTCCTCCGAGACGCCGTAGTCGAAAATCTGGATGGCCGCGGGACAGCCGCGGAGATGCTGGAGCACGAGCACCTCGTTGTAGAGTGCGCTCAAGACGGAGCGCTCGTGGGCGTACGTCTGCGGTGCGAGGAGCTTGATCGCGAGGCTCTGGGCGTCGCGCAGCGGGATCTCGGCCGTGCACTTGTAGATGGTTCCAAAGGCACCTTGGGCTTTGGACTCGAACTCTTTAAAGTAGAGCGACGACTTGGAGAACGCGGTCGACGAGAGACGAAGGAGACGCTCTTGCGCGCGAAGTCGATGGCTTCGAGGTACCGTCCACGGCGGGTACGTGCAGAGCCACTCGTCCAGGATGTCGGCCTCGGCCGCGAGGAGTCGCGAGAGGTGGAACAACACATCAAGGCCCAGCACGTCGGTATTCTGCGGCTGCGCAAAGCGCCCACCGACACACGGGTGCAAGTGGACGTCGTTGGCGTCCACAGCGTATGATAGCAGCGCCGCGACAAAGTCGATAAAGAGGCGGCCGTCGCCTGCAAGGAGCGCCAGCGCACGCACTTGGTTGTCGACCGCCGCTCCGTGTTGCTCGTCATGGGAATTGCTGCTGTCGTGGACAGGCTTGGAGGGCTTGAGCGCAAGGGAAAGGTTGAGCAGTGGGACGGCGGCTGTCGTCGACGGTCCCAGCAGCAATTTGGGCACAGCGGGATTGCTGGGTTGGGAGGCGCCGTGCTCCAGTAGCGGCGAAACAGACGTGGGGGCGACCGGAGTCTGTGCGGCAAAGGGAAAGAGTGCGTGGGCGACGAAGGGCAGAAGTGGGGACGACGCTGGCGCAAGGATGCTGACGCAGCGCCAGAGACCAATGCTCCGGGCGTCGCACACGCCGTGGTAAAACGCTTCGAGAAAGTGACTCCAGAGCCCATCAAACATGCCGCGTCGGTTCAGAATGCGCATCTAGTCGGCGTATCACTCCCACAGGATAACGACAAGCCGTTGCGTACCTCGCGGAGCGCCGCCACCTCTACAATGTGTAGCATTGCCACGTAGGCGTCCGTGGCCGACACCGTCATCGACCGCGTGAACGGGAACGGCGTCGCCAGCACGCACGCGACGATGGCGTCGAGACCAGCAGGCACCTCGTCGTCCATATCCATACAGCGCGCAACCCAGCGGAGGAGCGTCGCGCGCTGGGCGTGGCGAGCGTCCGACGACCGCGGGTTGACGTCGGTGCCAAAGACAGCTGCTGCGTGGCGCTGGGCGAGGGCCAATGGTGGGCCGTGCGACCACGCCCAGGACGCAAACGCCTTTTGGCTCTCGACGTCGAGCCGTGCAAAGAGGGTGTCGCAGACCTCAAAGAACGGCGTCGCGTTCGCTGGCGCGAGCTCTGCGCTCATGGACGTGAAGCGGGACAAGACGTACTCGAGGCCTCTGTCTTGGGGCCAGCGAACTGTCTTAAACGACGCGAGGAGCTGCGGGAGAAGGCGGAGGAGATGCTCGTGTGACGTCGACTGCGTCGCGAGGACCGCTACGACGTAGTCGCCAACGCACGGCTCGGTCATGTTTTGCGTCAACGTAAAGAGCTCAAGCCACGTGGAGAGGAGGGACGAGCACGCGTGGGCGTGGGACGTCCAATAGAGCATCTAGCATGGACACATCTAGTCCATTATCGAAACCGTGGGATTGTACCTCGTGGACCTCAAGCTCTAGCGTGCGCGGCCAATTGGGCTCGCAGAGCACGGTGCCGAGAAGCATGAGCGGCTCTAGCGCGCGACGCACAAAGCTAAGGATCGTCACGAGCATCGGAGTCGTCGTGTCGGCGGCGCAGGCATCACAGACAGGCTTGGGTGGGGTGACGGTCGGGGCGATCGATGCCCGAGGCGCCGTCGGGCGTGGTGGGGTGCGTGGCAGCTTGGAGTACTCGTCATGGACGAAAGCAATGTTCTTGTGGCTAAAGCGCTGGGCCGCCTACAGACGCGTTGGCGTCTCGTACAAAACAAGCAGCGAAAACCTGCTCGGCGAGGGCGACCCAGCTCGGTGTTGCTTCGGCGGCCGCTACAAGCCCCTGGTCAGGAGCTGCGCACGAAGCGGCTACGAGGTTCTCGCAGCGCTTGGGACCTCGAGCGCCAATGAGCGTTTTGTACTGCTTGAGTACGAGTGCGACGCCGTGGTTGTGGAAGAAGATGCGGGGCACGTCCTGGAGCTCAAAAAGTGCGTTCAAAATCGAAAACAGAAACGCCACGTCACTCCTCGCCTCGTCGAGTCGGAGCAGCACGAGCTGCAGCAGCTGCTCGAGGCCGATCGAATGCGCCTCGTAGAGCTCAGCAAGGCGCACGATAAAGGCTTTGGCGCCGGCACCCGTCACTGACGCACATGCCCGCTTCCCGCCTGTACGATGCGGCTGCAGCGAAAGGAGTGCTGCCGCCGCGTCCAAACGTTTTTTAAGAGGTTTTCTTGGGCCTCAAGGCCCAGTAAGTCGAGCCATGCACTCAGGTCGGCCTGCAACGGACCGTCGCCGTCGCGAATGCGCTCGGTATGCACTTGGATTGAGACGAGGAGGTCGAGCTCGGCCGCGTCGGCGGGTGGCGGCTCGGGGGCGTGGGCGCTCGTGTACATGAGGGTCTCGATCGACGCGCGGCGCATTTTGGGCACAAAGTTGGCCGGCATGCACACAACGTCTTTGATATCGCTGAACCTACACAGAGAGTTCTCACACCACGATTCCATTGCGGGAGCTTGGTACGTGATGTTCCACGGGAATGGAATCGACCAGCTCTTGGAGGTGAACCACAGCGCGCCGTTCGTAGACGGAAGGCGCACGTCGATGCGGCGGCCCTCAAAATTGAAGCGCAGCGGGTACGACGCGCCGCCAACGAGCAGCACAATGCCCAGTCCCCGCGCCTTGGTGGGCACGATGATCGTGGGCTTGGCGGCGTCGGGCGCGACGAGCGATGCGTCCTGGCAGATCTCGCTCACCTTGATGCTGACCTGCGGCATGAATTGGCGCCAGTAGAAGGCGACGTTGGCAAAGGCGTCAGCTGACAAGCGCACTTCGTGCTCCTCGGCCGACCCGACGCGCCACTCGATAAAGGACGTCGTCCGCTGAAACCAATTCGACGGCCCGAGCGGAAGCCGTGCAATCTGCTGGTGCGCGCGATAGCGCACCATTACGGAAAGAGACGTGATGGCGGCCCGTGCGGGCTTCCAGAACCGGATCGGCGACTCGAAGATGAGGAGGTAGCTGCCCATGGGCTGGCCCTCAAGGTACCGACGGGCGGAAGCCACGTCTGGCGCGATCACAGCCACGAAGGCCCTCTCGTCAGGCCCATCCAGCGGCGCGATGCGGACGCGACCCGGGCGCACCATGGACGAGGTCGTCGTCATTGGCGGCGCTGCCATCGTTGCCGGTCGAAAAAGGCCAAGAGTAACCGATATCGACCAGAGTAACACCTCACTCATACTCAGTTGCCGCACCAATTACAGTGGCTTCAAAACAGAGTTTCGGCAAAGCGAGAAGAGTTCATCCTTGATTCACGCTAAAGGAGGTAGCGAGAGAGCGCGTCCGAGAGGATTTGCCGCGTCGCCGTGGTAGTCTCTACGGCAACATCATGAGCCCACTGCTCATTAGCGGACCTAGAGGGGACTCCGCAAGGTTGCATGCAAAGTCTCGTTTCTGAAATTGGTGAGTCTTCTTGAAACTCAAAAAGTTCAGGGCGACGACAAGACACTTGGACTTGATGCATCGGGTCGTGTTCAACCTCTTTTAACGGTATACCTCACGCCACTTTAACGCAAGATCGGAGCGGGTGCGAAAGGGCAGATGAGCATCCCGTGGCCCGTGAACCGGCTGAGCTACGAAGCCATCTCGGACGACGACCATGCCTTCGTCGAGCGCACCTTCGCCGGCCGCTGCGACGTGCCGCTGGTCGCCAAATGGGTCCAGCAGTTCAAGCCGAAAGCGTCGTTCCAGAAGCGCCTGCTCGTCGTCTCCAAGTACCGCGTCTTGACGCTCAAACCTCAGAACATCGGCGCCAAGCTCAAGGTCGCCAAGGACTGGGCGCTCCTCGACCTGCTCAAGCTGCAGATTGACGCCTCAGAGAGCGCGCACACCCTCAAGGTAGTACGCGAGCGACATGAGTGTGCTCACGTCCTATCGACAGCTCATCTTCAAGGCCGGGCGCATCCTGCAGCTGGACCCGGGCGTGCACTGCGAAGATGTGGCGCGGACGCTTCAGCGCTGCCTGCATACAATGGCGCTCGCGTACCCGCCAACGTCCAAGCCCAAGGTGGTGCTGCCGCTTGGTCTCGCCTGGGACGAGTTTACCCACGACGCGCCAAAGCTCACGGACGCATACATATCCTTTTCATCTCGTTTGATCGATTCTTGACTCATGGAACGCTCCTTGACGGAGTACACCGAGCGTATTGCGACTGGTACAAGGCGCCCTTCCGCGACTGGGTCGCCGCCAAGCTGGAAGAAAGCAATGTTGCGACGCCACCCGTGCTCGACTACGAAGCGTGCCTCTTGGCTGGCGGCGGTGAGATGGAGACAGCCGAGAAAGCACTTGATGCGATGGCTGTTGTGAGCACGTGCCGCTTCGCCCCGTCGTTTCAGGGGCAAGTAGCTCCACTGTACGCTTCGAGGCTCATGCTCGGTAGCCTCCTCGTGCACGACGTGGCCCTTGACGACGACGGCGTGTCACGCGCCTTTGAAACCATTGGCTACAACCCCAACCTCCGCGAGTACGCTCGACGCCATCATGTCTTTGCAGTGGTGACGTCGTCGCCTCGTAGACTGCGGCTGACCAAAGTCCGTCTCTCGCGATCGGCGCTGAGTGCGCTCGAGGAGGTAGTGCAGTGCAAGCTCAAGGACCCGAGCTCGTGGCGACTCGAGACGATCGATCTCTCCGAGAACAAACTGGCGCGGGAAATGGTCGTCGCGCTCGCGTCGTGCCTCAAGCAGTTTCCGTCGGGGTTGCACGTACGTGGGAATCGGTATTTCTTCGTAAGATTTACAAAGCGTAGAGCTTGTTTTTGGCCAAGTGCGGCATGACCCACGTGCTGCCGCTCGTGACGACTCTCAACCTCCCGAGCGTCCGACGACCCGCTCACGCCTTGATGTCTCATGTCTCGGATAGTGGACGGCGACGCTGCGAGTGCTCGATCTCTCGTTCAACCCGCTCGACCTGCAGGTAGGTATGCTGTCAATGCGAGGTGCTAGTATTGCTCGTACGTAGAGCTCGACAGCGCTCACCGAGTGGCTCGGCAGAGCTTCCTCCCTCACGCGGCTGGCAGTAGTAGGTCCCGTTGTGGTGTTGTGATTTTGAAGTGGCTTGGGACAGGCCGGCACGGGCATCGATACGGCAAAGCTGCTGCGATCGATCCAACTCAACACGGTGCTGCACACGTCGTCGCTCGTTGCGCTCGACCTCTCGCACTTGACTCTCAAAGATGAAGCTGTCGCCGACCTGGGCGCGGTGCGTGACGTCTCCTTCATCCAACCGACGTTGCATCTCGTGTGCTAGATCCTCGGCGCAACGCAGAGCCTCGCGAGCCTTGTGCTCCGGAACTTGAGCGTGCCCAAGCGTGGGTTGGAGACCATCTTGACGCCGTGGTTCGCCAACCCGAGGTTCACGTCGCAACAAATGAGTCTCGACATGAGCGAAAACGACTTCAGTGCCAAGGGCAAGGTGCTCGCCGACCTACTGGCGACGTCGCCACTCGTCTTGCGCGAGAGTCTCCGGTTGAACCAGTGCGGGCTCCGAGACGAGGCGGTACGATTTGCCGCAGCCCTCTCCATGACTGACTCGACGATGTAGCTCGCCATGGTCGTTGCCGCCTTGAGCTCGTGCCGCCATCTCCGCGCGCTGCACCTTGAAAACAATGGCGGGACGCCGCTGGCGTCCATGCTTGGCGCGTTCTTCTCGGGTCCGCTCGAGATGCGCCCAGGCGACGCCTTTGCGACGCTCCTCACGTCGTCGCGCGAGCTGCAAGAACTCTACATGAGCAGCAACATCCCCTCTCTGCGCTACCCCCTCTCGGTGCTGCGCCCGATTGTGCACTCGATTGGATCGTCGGCGTCGAGCCTCGAGGTGCTCGACCTCTCTGGCAACCGCGGTGGCGACGAAGTCGCTTTGTGCCTCGCGTCTGCGCTGCCCAAAACCACCAAGCTCCGCGCGCTCTTCTGGGACGGCAACTACACGAGCGTGCTTGGGTTCGAGCGCTTCCACGAAGGACTCATGCGCAATGCGTCCGTGACGGTGATGCCCGTTCCGATCCAGGACACGCGCCGCCTCCTCGACCTCAAGGAGCCGCGCCGCGAAGCTTTGTTTGCCGTCCTCGGCGCGCTCTGTACGCTGCGATAAGCGGCGTATGGCTCATGTGGTCGTGTGTAGACGGGTGCATCCAGCGCAACATGGCGGCCTCGACCACGCGCGTCATGGCCTCGGTCATCGTGCGCGAGGATCTCTTGCGTGCGAGCTATGAAGAGGGCGCTCTGTGGCGCAGCACCTTGTTGCGGAACTCGCCGATCGACGTGCGCCAGAGCTGGTCGAGCGCGCTGCAGTCGATACCAATGGTGTAGTGGTGAAAACTACTAAAAACTGCGTATTACAAGTGGAGGATCTGCTTCTATTCGTTCTTGTGGAGCGTGCCAGCGAGAAATAACTTATTGAAGCTCTTGCCAGCGTAGCGGTTGATGTTGTCGCAGTACGTGTTCATTTGCTTGGTGATGAGGAGCGACTCCAAGCGGCTCGGCTGGTTGAGGGACTTGGCGAACGACGGGTCCTCCTCGGCGAGGAGCTCGTCGCCGTTCTCGCGGCGCACCTTGTTTCTTCGCGGCGCTTCTGAACCCACTGGCTGTACTGTGCCCGCTGCTTGGCGACCGCACGCTCGTAGCCCTGGAATTTGTAGTGTTCTTGCGCCAGCTCGTCAGCCCACGCACTGAGGTTCTGGAGGCTGTTCTCCAAGTACGTGTTGGTCGCGAGGTCGAGGCGGTCGAACTCGCAGTCGGCGAGCTTTTGCGCCTGCAGTTCGAGGAGGTAGCACGTCACAATGTCCGAGTTGTGGAGCTCAATCGGAATCTCCTCGAGCATCGTCGCGGCGCGGATGTCGGCCTTGGCAAAGCCTTCCTTCGTAAACGCCTTGGCCTTGTAAGTCTCGAGGAACGCGTCGGTGAGGCGGAACGCCTTGAGCGAGAGCGCGCCCTTCATCGTCTCCAGCGGGTCGTACACGATGCAGATGGCGTTCTGGCCGAGGTTCTTCTGGTACTGGAACTGGTACTCGATCGTCGCCGTCGTCGCGTACGTCGAGTTCATGGCCGACTGGTACCAGCCCACCTTGTTGTTGTCCATGTTGACCTCGCGGAGGTTCTTCATCATGTCGATCTGGTACTCATCCGACTCGGAAGCGAACATGACGGTCTTGTCCTTGTTTGTCGGCGACGCCGGCGACGCGCCGGGCGCGGCCGCCACGACCGGCGACGGGAAGCTGTTGGTCACCTCGAGCGTGGCGTCGGCCTCAAGGCCGAGGAGCGAGCCGGCAACGGAACGGGGAAGGTTCTCGTGGCAGTGCTTGATGATCTGGAGCAGCGCAAGGCCCTCGAGCTGGACCTTGTCCACGCGCGTCATGATCTCGGCCATGCTGGAGCTGCTGACGGGAAATGGAGGCGCCCGGAAATGACTGAACCAACGGCCTTTGAGCACCAAGCAACGCGTATCCGGACCAACCGGACAGGGGACTTCGAACTTCGGGTGGTCGACCGGCAAGGCTACGCGCACACATCTTTAGCAGCACAGCAAACATCGCAGCGCGGCAAGGCTGTGCGGCAATGGAGATGAAGGCTAGGTAGTGTATGTGGAAATCGATTGGCGCCTCTCCGAAGCGTGTCGACGGATGATTCTTCCATCGTCGAGATGTATGGCAACGGCCATTTCACGACATGTGTGCAGACGGGGGCCAGCAGACGTGTTCTTCCCACGAGCAAGACACGCCTCGATGGTGGCAACTTCCACAGCAAGCCATTGTTATGCACGTCTTTGCGCCAACAATGGTGCTCCGCCACAGTGTAGCCGTCGCTCCGCCACAGTGTAGCCGTCGAGTGGATACCCGTTGTTGTCTACCGCAACACGAACTGCCTCCCGCAACACGAACTGCCTCACTGCCTCGAGCAGGGAATGGACTAGGAAGTTTTGGCTGAGAATCTTGTCCTGGACTCGAGCACCATGGTTCATTTGTTCTCTTCTGATGCTTAGCGCCCCATGATCACGACGACACTACGATGCACTTCAACGCGGTGCAAATGCGTGCGTTTAGACCTCGTCGTCTGGGGTCTATGATTGGCTTCGAACTTCGGCTCGCGTGGCGCGGTTGGGAGATTGATTGGTGGGAAGCGCAGATACCAGTCGTGCGAAAGTGCATTTTCGAAAAGCCACCATGCCCAAGTCCCGCCGTGTCCGAACGAAGCCGCTTACGCAGACGAGCAAGAAGGGCGCGGACCTCAAGAAGGGCGTCGTCGACTCGATCCGGTCGGCTGTCGATGACTACAGCGCCATCTACGTCTTCTCGTTCGAGAACATGCGCACGAACCACTTCAAGGTCGTGCGCGCTGACTTTGCCGACAGCCGCTTCTTCCTTGGCAAGAACAAGGTCATGAAGGTCGCGCTCGGCCGATCGCCGGAAGAGGAGTACGCCGAGAACCTCTTCAAGCTCTCGAACGACATCTCGGGCAGCGTCGGTCTCCTCATGACCAACAAGGGCGACGATGAAGTCCGCGAGTACTTTGCCAAGCTCAGCGTCGAGGACTACGCCAAGTCGGGCTTTGTCGCGACCGAGACGGTCACGATCCCTGCGGGCCCGCTCCCGCAGTTTGTCGGCTCGATGGTCGAGTCGCTTCGCGCGCTCGGCCTCCCGGTCGACCTCAAGCGCAGTGTCATCACGCTCAACAACGCGCACACGATCTGCAAAGAAGGCCAGACGCTCACGCCCGAGCAGGCCAAGCTCCTCGTCCATTTTGACAAGAAGATGGCCACCTTCAACGTGCAGATGCTCTCGCGGTGGTCCAAGGACGGCCAGTACACGCGCATCTCTGAGCGCAAGACCAAGGCGTCGGCCAACGACGACGACGAAGACGCCAACATGTCGGACTAATCTCTCTACTGTAACTTTTTATAGACAAATCTACATCTGAACTATCTAGATTGTGGTGTTTCTCGCTGAGCTTTCTCAAGTCTAGTCTCAGATTCGTCTGCTCATCGCCAGCGACGTTGCTCGGGTTCAAGATGCGTCAATTTTTGGCGGGAAATGTCCACGTAAAGATTGCGCACTCCCATATTTCCTTGCAGCAACGACACGACCAGTCGCTCATTCTTGTTGTGACGGTAGTCTGGTAGAAAACCAAAAACCAAACGATTTTATTCGAGAGCCCAAGGGCCTTGCCGTCGGAAGCAACCCGTGCAGAAGAAACTTGAGTTATCAATCTTTACAATTTCTCGGACCAACGCAAAGCTACGTTTTCGGACAAAGGCTTACGTTTGTGTACCCTCTTCCACATGGTGCCGCCCGCGATTGGAACGACGTCGGCACCGAGGGCGAGTCGGTCGCTTCTCACAGCGTTCTGGAAGCTCTGATGCTGTGTTCGGGTGTGTTGCACAACAACTTGATGCGTGGTGCAGTGCGCTGTGGGCTCATACGCTTGGCACTGTGATTGGTGCAAGACGTAGTCGCAGCGCGCGGCCACAACTTGGTTGGCGGCAAGCGCCGACTGGTTTGCTCGCCGTGCACCCTTGCGACTGATCTTACTTGTCGAGTTCGCGAGACGACCAAGACATGGATCTCACGCCCGACGGACTCGTTATCGCGCTCCTGCTCCACTCGATCCACGACTCGGACGTCATCGCCGCGCCCAAGCCAGCGGCGTCGTCGAGAACGACACGCCCGTAGAGTTGACCACCACAGAAAGTTTGATATTCCCGTTGAGCAAGCACTGACCGAGTGCTGCACGAAAGACGACAACTGGTCCGTGTAGGCTGAAGTATCAACACTACGGCCTGCAGTTCGGTGTGCCGTACAAGCAGCACCACAGGGACGTGATTTGCCATCCGTATTGGCCCGTGTCTGGAGCAACCCGTTTAACTACACCACTCCCTGGAATTTGACAAGGTCGATAAAAAGTTGAGTTTTTCTACTGCCGCGACGCAAAGTCGTCACCTTCAAAGCGGAACGTGCTCGTGTCCAATGTAAACGCAAAGGACGAGCCGACTTTGGGCACGAGGACGACCTTTTCTTTGGCCGTCACGAGCTGAAAGACGTTCTTGTGCTCGGCCAAGACGACGCCTTCGAGCCCGATGAGACCCGGATTCCGCGACCGCACGACTACCGTCGGTTGAGAAATAGGGTATACGAGGAAGGATCGAAGCGCAGACTACCTGTCAAAAGACAACCGTTGTAGTCGGCCTTGCGGAGCTTGGCGCCAAAAGAGCACGTAGCAAACGAGGTGCTAGCCGGGATCACCGACCTATCGAGGGTACGTTAGTGCTAACGGCAAGAACGGCTCTGCTGTACAGATCCTCGTTGCCGATGAGGTCGGCCATGTACTGCAGCCAGAGATCGTGCAGCTCCAAGGCCGACGCATACCTACACGCGCAGACTTTTAGCGACAGACAAAAGATACGCGTACGGAAGAGAGGGCGTCGCGACGTGGAAGCCAGCGGCCCGACGCTGCCCTTGGCTCAGACGCTTGGGAAACTACAGATCGAGGCGGTACAGAGGAGTGCGACGAGGTCGATGCGCGTACGTTGATGGACTGCAGCGCTGCGTTGACTGTCTTCTTGGCCTTATGTGGGTTGTGCAGCTGCAGTGCCTTGCTCTTGATTTTCTCCACAAAGTCCTCAGTCGTCGACGGCTTCTTGAGCGCCATCGCAGCGAGCTGCGTCTCGAGAAGCTTAATGTTTTGGCGCCCTTTCGTGGCGCTTGGCGCCAGACGCAGCTTGACGTCGTCGGTCAGCGTCGCGTAAAGTGGGTCGACAGTAGACTTGGCTGCTTGCTGCTTGGCAGTCGGCTTGCTGGGAGGTGCAGACTTGGGCTTCTGGTAGCCCTTCTGGTTACCTTTTTGGTTGCCAACCGTGTTATTGGCTTTCTGGTTAGCCTTCTGGTTAGGTTTGCTGGACTGGACGATGCCAGGTGCGAGTGGTTTGGCATGCGTGAGCTTGGGCTTCTTCGCCGCAAAGGCTGCGTCCAGCGAGTCAAGGAGCTGCTTCCGCTTCTCCATCGCGCCGTCGAGTTGGCAGATCCCAACGCAGAAGAGTAATTCCTTCAAAGCAGCGCTGTCTGGATCGGGTGCTGGTCGTTCCGGATACCCTTAGAATTCGCACAGATAATGTGTCGGGCGATTCCTTCGTGTGTATGCAGGCCTTTTCGGCGACAAGAGGGCCAAGTAGCACGCTGCACTCAAGACATGCGATGCGCATGCTACGTGACAATGCTGTATGATACCATGTAGCTTGAGCGTCGAGAACTCATTGCGGCTCGTCGAGGTCTGTAAACGTGTATGGAGGTGAGGGGTACTGATAAAGCGAATATTCAACGTATCCGGAGAATGCACCGGTCTTCAGTATGCTCTGCTACCTGGGCGCGTTGTAATGAAGGAAGACCTCGGCCCATTTGCGATCGGACCAATCACAAGGCGGCAAATTGGGAAGATTATTATTGGTTGGTAGCTGTGGTTTCACCGAGCGCCATCGAATCATCTTCTGTTGAAGTTCTCAAAGCGATGGCCCGCAAAGGATCCGCGATCGCGCCGCAGCGCCCTGCCGCCAAGAAGCCCGCTGCCAAGAAGCCCGAGCCGAAGAAGCCGGTGACGCCCAGCAGCGACGAGGAGGAGCCGACGGACGAAGGCAGCCAGGAAGAAAGCGAGGATGGCGACGACGAGAACGAGGACGACGACGATGAAGATGAGGAGGAGGATGAAGACGACGATGGCTTCGAAGACCAAGGCTCCTCGTCCGACGACGACGATGACGCCGAAGACGATGAAGATGAGTCGGAGGACGAACGCGAGACGCGCCGGAAGGTCGAGTCGCGCGAAGAAATGCTCCAGCGCATGCGTGAGGATGGCTCGTTGAAGGTGGCGTCGCACCTGCACATGGACGATCTGTCGTCGGACGACGAGGTACTTGCACTCATTGTAGCGATCAAGAGAAAGCTCACGCAACGTCGTAGGAGGTGCACAACACGATCGGCAACGTGCCGCTCCGCTGGTACGAGGACTACGACCACATTGGTTACACGGTCGACGGCCAGAAGATCATCAAGCAGAACCAGGGCGATGGCATCGACAATGCGATCGCGGCCAAGGACGATCCTAACTACGCCCGCACCATCTACGACGCCTACAACGACCGCAAGGTCATCATCTCGGACCGCGAGATGGAGATCATTCGCCGCATCCAAGCTGGTGCGTTCGCGCACCCCGAGTTCCAGGAGCACCAGGACTACGTCGACTACTTTACGTCCGAGAAGATGATCCACTCGCTCGGCAACGACCAGGAGCCCAAGGCGCGCTTCCTCCCCTCCAAATGGGAAAAGATGAAGGTCGTCAAGATCATGAAGGGCATCAAGGAAGGCCGCATTAAGCTGGACCAGACGCCCGAGAAGAAGCCTGAGGCGTACGAAATGTGGTTCGAAAACGACGAGGTGCCGGTGACCAAGGGCCCGGCTCACGTCCAGGCCCCCAAGATGGTGCTGCCCGGCCACGCCGAGTCGTACAACCCGCCCGAGGAGTACCTCTTCACGGAAGAGGAGAAGCGTGCGTGGCTCGAGATGGACCCGTCCGACCGCCAACTCAACTTCATCCCGCAAAAGTTCAACAGCCTCCGCGAGGTCAGCGGCTACTCCAACTTTGTCCGCGAGCGCTTCGAGCGCTGCCTTGACCTGTATCTGTGCCCGCGTGTCAACAAGCGCCGGCTCAACATCGACCCCGAGTCGCTCGTGCCGCAGCTGCCCAAGCCTCGCGACCTCCGTCCGTTCCCCAACACGCTGGCGCTGGCGTTCAACGGCCACACGGGTCGCATCCGCTCGATCTCGATGGACCCTGTCGGCCAGTACCTCGTCTCGGGCTCGGAAGACCACACGGTGCGTCTTTGGGAAGTCGAGACCGGTCGGTGCCTCCACACGTGGCGCATTGGTGCTGTCGTCCACAAGGTCGAGTGGTGCCCGAACAAGGACCACCACGTGGTTGCGGTCGTCGCGGCCAAGAAGATGCTCTTGATTGCGACCGGCACGGGCAACGGTGACGAGACCGACATCACGAACGCGCTCTTCGGCGACATGGAGGGCACGAAAACGTTCGAGACGGTCGACAACGACGACGAGAACACGACGGTCGTCGACACGACCGAGGAGGACATTGACGCGGCGGCCCGCAAGGCGCGCATGCCCGTCAAGTGGACCTTCCACCCGAGCAGCGCGCGCCACGGCCGCGGTGTCCGCGTCGTCTTGCACCACGGCGGTCTCGTCACGGACGTGGCGTGGCACTACAAGGGCGACTACCTCTCGACGGTCGTGCCGTCGGCGGACTCGTCCTCGGTGCTCATCCACCAAATCTCCAAGCGGTCGTCGCAGAACCCGTTCACGAAGAAGCTCGGGTCGATCCAAACGGTCGCCTTCCACCCGTCCAAGCCCTTCTTCTTCCTCGCGACGCAGACCCACGTCCGCGTCTACAACCTCGTGCAGCAGGCGATGGTCAAGAAGCTCTCGAGTGGTGTCAAGTGGATCTCGTCGCTGCATGTGCACCCGACGGGCGACCACGTGCTCGTGGGCAGTTATGATCGCCGCCTCTGCTGGTTTGACTTGGACCTGTCGTCGACGCCGTACAAGACGCTCAAGTACCACGAGAAGGCGACGCGCGCCGTCGGCTTCCACAAGAAGTACCCGCTCATGGCGTCGGCCTCGGACGACGGCACGATCCACATCTTCCACGCGATGGTCTACTCGGACTTGATCAAGAACCCGCTCATCGTGCCGCTCAAGATCCTGCGCGGCCACGAGGTCACGGGCGGCCTTGGCGTCATGACGCTCGCCTTCCACCCGACGCTGCCCTGGATCGCCAGTGGCGGCGCCGACAACACGATCCGCCTCTACCAAAACATCCACTAAGGTCGAGGGCATCGGCGGCAGCACTAGAAGCTACAAATATATATTTCTCTCCTTCGTCGTCGAGGTTGCTTGCTGATGGATACTCCGAGGTCCACGTGGCACGTGCGTACGCGGTCGGTCGCGCGGTTGTCTGTCGAAGCCTCGCATCTGATACCGTGTCTGATAACGAGTGGGTGCGTTCGGCTTCGTTCGCCCTGATCGATGGCCGCTCCAGGCGAGTGAGGCGAGTGGGCAGACAAGCAGGGGAGAGAGATATCATCGAAGAGGTCATGGCGTGCGTCTGGCGTAACGATTCTGCTGTTCCCGCGGGAGTTGTGTTGAACGAAGCGTTCAGTGCGAGGATGCGAGGATCCTGCGCCATGCAATGTCGGGACATGCACAACGTTGCAGGTGACAAGAGGGGCTTCCCTGATGGCTGGTATCGTTGGGTGAGGAGCTGTCGCATTACCCTGGCTGGTCATACGAGGCCTTTCTGCCGTCGCGGTGGTTCCAGCGCGCGGCAACACGACGCTTCGGTGGTGAGTACGGTCGCTGTCGTGGCCGTGACGATGGAGGCAACGCAGGCCATCAAGTCAGAATCGTATAAGGTACCGGTATATTGATCGAATTAGACCCGGGTCCTGAGATCTGTGCACATAGAGGGACGTCACATAAAATACCGCGCGCTTACTTGCGCTTGAGGCCCGGGAGGCGGAACCAGCGCTTGTTGGGCTTCTTGTTTTCCTGGCCGACGTCGTCGTCGTCGTTGTTGGACTCGCGCTTGACCTTCTTGTCAAAGACTTCGGCGCCAAAGAGCGCGCCGCCGGTCGGGTCGCCGTTGCCGTCGAGGAGGCTCGAGCCGTCGACCTTGCCCTTGCGGTCCAGCGCCGTGTCGCTACCCGCGTTGCTCGTCGACTTCTTCCGGCCAAACCCCACCATGATGATACCTGCTCGCAAGTTGGCAAATGACGCGGCTGAGAGTGGGTAATCAGACAAGGCGTAATCTGATTGGACAAAAATGTATGCGCTGCCACACACGGTCATTTTTTATTCCGATGCGTGACGATATTTTTTGTTTACATGGCGAAAGGTATGGATCACGTCAGCGTAGAATTGAATACCACTATTTTATGACGCAAATAAAAGCGAACCCAGGCCCAGTCTCGGGAACCGAAAGCCAGCGCGGGAAGAGAACGGGCAGGCGGAGCGTCGCATCTCTGCCCCCGCATTGTCTGTTGTGTGCAGTCTGATGCAAGACGGAAAGATGATGCTGGCTTGGCGGGAGCAGGCACGGCTGGAGGATGATGCTGGCTGGTCGAAGTACGGTTGGAGGAGGCAACGACGAGCTCACACATGCAGGGTAAAGCGGCCAGCCCGACATGGCTCGCGATCGCAATTTTCTCCAGCGTTACGTCGCCGCTCGCTGGTGGAGCCAGGGACGTACGGTACGAGGCGTTTCGACTGCGCCCGCGTCGGCCTCGAGGCGCGCGATGGATCGTGACCAATGCATCGATGCGCCGTCGTCGTCATTGACAGCAGCGAGCCCGTCCGAGCAGAGGTGCACGAGTGTCAATGACGGCTGCATAGTTCTGTAGCTCAAGACACGACCACCTCTACACTCTCAGCCGTACCATGAGGCGCAGAGGTGCATTGGAAGATCATGGATGCCACCGAAGCGCTTGATGGGCGAAGGCCGTCGGACTCGATGCCAATAGTCTTGTGCAGCATCGCAAAATGTGGGCGCCTCGGTGGTTTCCAGACTGGAACCGCCGCCGCCTAAAATTGCCACCAGTCGGGAACCGTCACCATGGCGACTGCAGAGAGCGCGGTGTCGCTGGAGCTCGCGGCGTCCGAAGTTGTCGCTCAAGTCCTCGCCGACGTCGTCGCTGACGTCATCGCCAACGACGCGGTCTGCGACCTCGTCGTCCCCTCGTCGCCGTCCGAGGCCCTGCGCATCGATGTGCCTCTGCACGACGAAAGTGTCGAGAACGTTCCGCCGGACGCCGTCGCGCTCACGATCGATCCGTCGGTCGCTGACGGGTTCGCGCCCAACGCCATGTCCCCGACGGGCGACCCGCAGCTCGGCGGGTACCCGCCCGACTGCGGCACCAAGCACTACAAGTACTTATCGTTTGCCAAGTGCCGGCGCGACCGCGGACTCACGCACCCCATGTGCTACTCGTCGACGCTCGTCGACAAGATGAACCACCCGGTGCCCGTGATGTACCCGGTCTGCGGCACGGACTTTGGCGCGCACGCGTTCCACAAACTCCCGACCGACTCGATGGTCTTGAGCAAGTACGGCCTCGGCATCGCGCTCTACTTCAAGTTTCTCGTACGCCCCTCGGCTGCATTTGATATCTGATCGGTTTCGGGTGTAGAAAGTCATGGCCTGGGTCTTCCTCGTCATGTTCCTTCTGAGCGTGCCGGCGATGGCCATCTTTGTCATCGGCGGCAGCAGCAACATCGACGCCGTCACGCTCAAGATCCAGAAGAACCCGATCTCGGTCCTCGGCATGACGAGCATGGGCAACCTCGGCCAGCAAACAACCACGTGCGGCCACGCCAAGGTCGGCGCGGCCCTCACGCTCACGTGCGACTATGGCGAAATCGGCAGCCTCGTCGTACGCCTTCAACGCTTCTGCAACCGTACTATCAACTTGATATCATAGGCCTCGTACTCGAGCTACGACGACCAAGGAACGTGCGCGTGCCCCTCGCAGTACGCGCCCAACGACCAAGGCACGTGTCAGTCGAGCCCCGTGGACGTGAACGGCGTCTCGACCTGCTTGGCGTCGGGCCACGGCTGCTACGCGGGCAGCTACCCGTCCATCAACACGCCTTGCTGCGCGTTCGAGAAGAATGCGGATGACAGCGCGAACTTCTCGGCGCTCGAAGTGCGCAGCGTGGCCGGCTGCAGCGGCCCCTTGGCGCAGTCGATCGTGCAAGGCCTCTGCCTCGGCCAAACGTCGTGCACGTTCAACGTCACCGAGTCGAGCGACTATCTCTGGAAGGCCGACAGCACGTGGAACACGACGTGTCCGCCCGGTAGCAACTCGAGCATCTTTTGCAGCGCGGCGCTCCCGGCGGGCGGCAACTTTTCGGCGTGTCCGTCCCCTTCGACGCGCGGGCTCCTCGTTGTCGCCCAATGCTTTACGACGCAAATTGACATTTCAACCTCGTGGGCGTTCCGCATCATGGGCTGGGATGCAATCACGGTACAACCATCCATCACGTATTATGTGTTGCATGACGTACAGCGACTCTCTGTAGCGCCCCAACTTTCTCAAGATGGCGGTCGGTCTCGACGTCATCGCCTGCGCCGTCTTTCTCCTCATCGTGGTCTGGATGAAGCGACAAGAGGCGAATGCGATGGCGCGCATCGAGCACGAGCGCACGACGGTGCAGAATTACACGGTGCAACTGCTGCATGTGCCGAAACACACGGACGTCCGCAAGCTCGGCAATGACGTACGTCCGCTTTTACTATCGGGTGCATGGATTGATACATTGCACTAGCTCGCGACGCACCTGGAGACGGTCCTCAATGCCAAAGAGCCCGTGTACAATCCGATTCCGGTCAAGGTCGCCGATGTACACTTTGGCTTGACGAACGCCGTCCAAATCGCCGTCATGCGCAAGCGGGGCAAGGTGGCGGCGCGGCTCTTTCTCGAGAACCAGCGCATCGCCAAGTTCAAGGCGCTGCAGGACAAGCTCAAGCCGCACATCTTTGAGAAGCGGCTCGGGAAGCTGCTGAAGGCGTCCCGCACCATGGACGAGAAACTCCAGAAGCACGACGAGTGGCTCGACGAATGGGAAGCGGCACAGAAAGGGAAAGGGCTTGTCGCGGTCACGGCGTTCATCACGTTTGAGGACGAAGAGGGCTACCTCCGCTGTCTGCGCGAGTACCCCAGTCTCGGCTTCTTGCACCGCCTTTTCCAGCCGTACCACAAACGCTTCATGAAGAAACGCATGCGCATCGAGCCCGCGCCAGACCCGACCGATATCATCTGGGAGAACCTCGACTACTCGTGGGCGGCGCGCCTGCTGCGTATGATCGGCGTCAACATTGCCGCGCTCTTGCTCTTGCTGCTAAGCTTTCTCATCATTTACCTCGCAAAGACCAAGAAGAACGAGCTCACGGCCAAGTTTGCGACGCCGCTCGCGTGCCCCGCCAACGTGACGAAGTGGGACGTCATCCAGGAGCAGACCGCGTCGTCGTCGCCCGCGACAGCCATGGTCATGTGCTACTGCAAGGCCGCCCTTCTCTCCACCGCGTCGTTGCCAGCGACCATGGACTTGGAGTTTTACGACCCCGCGACCGCGACGTCGGCCAAGTACTGCAGAACGTGGGGCAGCGAATACTTGACGATCCAAGCGCTCATGGTGGGGTCCGTCGTCGTCGTCGTCGTTGTCAACGCCCTCCTGACGCCCGTGCTGCAGTACCTCGTGCGGCTTCAGAGAAGCCATACCCTCTCCGCCGTCATCGTCTCGACCGTGCGCAAGATTTTTCTCGCCCAGTTCTTCAACACGACGCTCATCGTGCTCTTCCTCAACGCCAACCTCAGCGGGGTACGTTGTAGACTAGACGTGATTAGCCCACTTTAGCGCTGCGCGTAGATCTCGACCACGTCGAATACTGGGTTTCACTTTGCCAGCTTGTCGCTCTTGAACGGCAAGTACGCCGACTTTAGCGTCGACTGGTACAACGACGTCGGCGTCGCGCTGCTGCTGACGATGATCATCAACGCGGTCTCGCCGCAAATCGGCGTCTTCGCCACGTTCCTTTTTCGGCAGATTGCTCAGTGGCGCGACCGCAGCTTCACGTTCGACTTTACACGAACGCGGCAAGAGACGCAGCGCGACCTCGAGGCGCTCTACCGCGGCCCCGAGTTCGACCTCGCGACGCGCTACTCTCAGATCATCAACACGATCTTCATCACGCTCCTCGTACGTCGAAGCCGTTGGGTTTGGGCTCATGTAGTACTGCTTAGTTTTCGTCGGGCATGCCGCTCATGCTGCTCATCGGGCTCCTCAGCATCATCATCACGTACTGGACCGACAAGTTTAGTACGATGGATTTGCCTGTTTTGGAGAAGCGCTGACTCTTGGACCCATAGCCTTTCTGCGCGTCGTGCGGTCGCCGCCCCAGTACGACGGCCGGATCGCGACCGTCGTGGGCTCGATGCTACCGTACGCGATCTTGCTGCACATGCTCTTTGGCATCTGGATGTACTCGAACACCGACATCTTCCAGTCGCCGGCCACCGAGCTCACGCTCCATGGCTACAACCTCAACGCCGTTTTCGACAAGGGCGGCAAGATCGTGACCCGCGCGACGGCGATGCCCGCGGCGGTGCTCTTTGCTGCGGCCGTGGCCGGTGTGGCCGTCGTGCTTGTGCGGCTCGTTGTGTTTCATTACCTCGGCGGCGCGCTGCGCTCGATGTTTCCCATGTGCACACGCATGCTCCGAGAGGCCAAGCCGCCACGGCGCCTCCCAAACTACTTTGACGCGCTTCCGCTGCACGTCCTCTCAGAAGGCTTGGCGTCGACGAGCCTCAGGCCGTCGCTCAAGGCTGCGTACGCGGCTGCAATTTCCCGCCGCAGCACCGAGGTGAAAGCGTCGTTGCAGCTCAGCGGGTGCCACTCGTACGACATTCTGCACAACCCGAGTTACAAGGAGGCGTTCGGCGGCGGCGCGTTTGCGCGGCAGCTGCTCAAGTAGTCTAAATGTGTACATTCTCGTCCGTACACATGTCTCAGAGACATCCAAACTGCGTAATAATGTCTGCTGCATCCACTTACTTGCCTCGATGGCGTACGTTCCGATTTGCTCCCGCTCAGTTGCAAGCGTTGTCTGGCTCTGCTTCGAGGTCTTTGCTTCGGCAACCGCTCACGCAACGGTCTTGAAAGTATTGCCGTTATTATAGTATAAAGTTGCTAGTCCTAGCCCTAACGCATGGGTATATCCTCGGTCCCTACTTGTCCGTGTGCGGTTCGGCTTGGGAGAACGCAAAGCCTGACTGATTGCGCGGGTGCGAAGGCGGCACGCTGCGGAAGGTCGGCGGCGGCGGCGCGTGGAGCTCGATCGGGATCTTGTTCCACTCGCGCATGAGGTGGGACGGCTCCGGGTAGAAGAGGACGCGGCCAGCCTTGAGGATGTAGTTGGGCAACACAGACGCGACGCAACACATGAGCATGCCGAGCCAGTACCACGGCTGCTGCGCGAGCATCGTGAACGCGTGATAGTACTCGTCGGTCTCGAGCACATCCCACTCGGTCCAGCCGTAAATGGACGTGAAAAACCAAATGAAGAGAAAGTAAAAGAGCGTCGTGCCGACGACTGCGCCTGCGTTCGCGACGGTCCAGTTGCTCGTGAGGAGCGCGACTTGGAACATGGACGCCATAATGAGGTAAGAGTAGCCCGCAATGCCGTCGGCCGCAAGGCCCAGCGGCTCCGCGTGGTAGAGGAGAATGCCGGGCTCTTCGCCGTCAAAGTAGTTTTTCGAGTTGCCGTCCGAGCAAAAGGGTGTGACGTACACGAGGTACGCGTGCCAGAGCCCGAGGCAGCACCAGCCAAAGAAGCTCGTCCAGTTGAACGAGCGCGACTCGAGGCCGTTGCGGTACAAGGTCGGGTACTGCATGAGCACGGTCGGCGGCACGTCTTGGTTGTACATGGCGATGAACACGATCGGGATCGTCGTAAAGAGCGCGTTGTACATCGTAAAGCAAATGCCCGGGTACGTAAGGATACCAGAGTACTTGGCCGCCGGCGCGTAGAAAAAGTTGCTCAGCGACAGAGCAATGTTCTTCATGAACGAAAACAAGATGAGCTTGGCGATACGCTTGTAGCTGTAGTTGCCGTGCACGAGGAGGAGTCGCTTGAGGAACCGGAACTGCGCGATCGAGTAGTCGCTCGAGAGGACGGCCTGGCGACCTTCTTTGCCGCCGATGCCGACACCGACGCTCGCCGCCTGGATCATGGGCACGTCGTTGGCACCGTCACCGATCGCGAGCGTAATGTTGCCCGGCGTCCATAGCAGCGTCGGCTCGGTCACGAGGCGAACGACCGCGGCCTTTTGCGCCGGCGAGCACCGACAGCAGATGACCGACTTGCACTGCTGCGCGACGGCCAAGAAGAGGTACTTGATGTCGTTTTCCAGCACCATCGTGAGCGTGCGACCATCAATCACCATGGCGTACTCGACGTTCTCGTCCTCCTCGCCGTCCATGCACTCGAGGTCGACCGCCTCGAGGTACGGATCGTCGTCAATGTCGTCGTCGTCGTCGTCGTGCAACTCGCTGGCGTTGGGGTTGGACGTCAGCGACTGCCGTGGTGGGTACACCTCCCAGTTGAGCGCAGTGCCATTCTCGGCCGAGAGGCGCAGACGCGTCTTCCGGCGCTTCATCGTGCGGCGCTGCTCGTACTTGCCCGAGATGGCAGCCATGAGGTTGTTGTACGCGGTCGAAATCACGCGGCGTAGCGTCTGCAGCAGCACGTGCGTCATCGAGTCGTCTTTCTTCGTGTCCCAGCGCTGGTCCTCGACCAAGTGTACGTAGAGTTCTTCGAGCGTCGCGGTCAACGACGCCTTGTCCTTCTTATCAAGAACAATGACGTCCATGGTATCGTCAATCACTTGCGACGACATGCCGATGCTGATAGCCGTCTCCTTCTTGTCGCCAGTGAGCACCCAAAAGTTGATGCCGGCCTTCCGGAGCGCGTAGATGCAGTCTTCGGCGCCTTCCTGCAGCAAGTCCTCGATGGCCGTCGCGCCGAGGAGCCGCAGCTCGCGCTCAATTGCATCGGCTGCCGCGTCCAGCGCCGCTTTGTCCATGATCGCTTCGGCCGCCTCGTACGTCGCACGCCACGCCGCGTACGTCTCGGGATCGATGATGCGCACAGCCGTCGTGAGCGTGCGCAGGCCTTGCGCAGCGTACTCCTGTAGATGGCCCCGCGTCACAACGACGGCACCCTGCGCATGGTCGTCGGCGAGGCGCTCGAGGATGACGTCGTCGGCGCCCTTGCAGTAGAGGAAGATCGTGTCGTCGTCCTTCTTCTTGCAAAGCACCGACATGCGCTTTCGGTCCGACGTGAACTCGAGCACGTGAAGGATCTCGTACGAGGTCTCCAAGCCGCGGATGTTGACGTGACACGTCGCGCCCGACCGCCGTTCGAGAGAGAAGCCAAGGTCCCGCGCAGCAGCACAGAGCGCTTGTTCGTCTGGCGACGACGACTGGTACAGGAGACTGCCGTCGTCCTGCACCTGCGGGATCGCCGAGTTGCAGAGCATGAGCAACACGAGGAACTCGTGAATGTCGGCCTTTGTCGCGTGGTTGGTGTCGTAGCGGGCGAGAAGCCGCGGGTCGTTGAAGCGGGTGCCAGGCCGCGGCGGCTTGGCGATCGTTTCGTCCTCGGGCGCGTCGTTGTACTTGAGGCCCGCGATCGAGCACTTGGCGAAGACCATTTCGTTGCGCGTGAGCGTGCCCGTCTTGTCGGAGAAGATGTACTTGACCTGCCCGAGGTCTTCGTTGATGTTGCTGTTGCGCACTTGTGCTGGCGTGTCCGTCGGCGCGTCGTACATGCACAGGTCGTTCTCGATGTAGCGCGCGTGCACAAAGCGGACGCCTTCCATTGTCACGTACATGGAGAGCGAGATGAGGTTGTTGAAGAGAATGATGTAGCTGAGGAAGATGTAGTCGTTGGTCGCAGGCCCGAGGTAGTAGGGCGCGACCACGGCCGCGACCTTGTTGGTCTTGCTCTTCTTCGAGTCGACCTCGAAGCTCCAGTTGTTGTTGCCGAGCGTGCACGAAATCGAAATCGAGAAGAGCAGCACAAGGATCACGACGAACATCGAGTCGAGAGTCTTCTCGACGAGCGTGCGCTTGATCTTGGCGTCCGGACTCGCCGCGTTGAGCGCAATCTTGGTCTCGGCGCCCGTGTAGACGACGAGGCCGACGGTCCATCCAGCCGTGCACATCTCGCTGCCCCGCAAGAGGAGGTTGTCCATGGACGCCGGGAGGTTCACGTCGCCAAGGGTCACATACGCCGACCACTCGAACATATTTTTGCTCGGGAGGTCGCAGCTCACAGTGATCGGCATCCCTGGGATCGACTCCAGGTCCAGGTCCTGCGACACGGTCTGGCGGATCTTGAGGTTCGTCTCGCCGTCCAAATTGGCTGTCTGCACGTAACAGAGTCCATTGTCCGACCCCGTCGCGAGCAAGAGGCAGTCGGACGGAATGTCGTCGCCTTCGTAGAGCACGAGGAGGTCGCCGACCTGGACTTGCTGCCATTGGAGCAGCTCGATTTGACCGTTGCTGCGCAGGACGTGCGTCGGCTTGGAGTTGACGTCGCGGTCGGCCTTTTGCCGCCGGAGGTCCTCGGACACGTCCTTGATCGCTGCGGTCGCAAAGACGATGAGCAGCGGAAGCAAGCTCGAGGCTGGGTCGACAGGAGAGAAGCTGAAGAAGCAGAGAGCGACGACGATGCACGTGTAGACGTTGGCGAGGCGGCTGAACTGCATGTGGAAGAAGACAAAGGCAAAGTTCCAGAGCGTGTACTTGCTCGTGTGGATCGAGTTGGGGCACGAGAAGCCCTTGGCGTCGCCTGCCGTCACCTTGCGCTTCTCGTCCGGCACCACGTCGCCTGGCCGCGATATGAGCGAACCGATCATACGAGAGAGAAGGTACCTGCGGACGTTGGCAGCATCGAACGAGAAGCCGGGCGCGTCGTGGGCGGCGGCTCGGCGGCGACGAACGCCGCTTGCTCGCACTCGCGCTTGTGCTGCACCGACTTGACGATGCGCCGGAGCTTCCAGCCGTACAAGAGCCCGAAAAAGTTGAAGACGAAGACCGAGACCGAGATAAAGATCTGGATCCACAACGCCGTCGAGCGCGAGACCGAGATGGCCGCCGAGTTCTTGTCCCTCGGCGCAAAGGACCCGTTCCATCGCATGATGTACCAGAGCACGTCGATGCCGAGGGTGAGCTGCATGCCAATCTTGTAGAAGAGGAGGTACTTGGCCACCAAGTGGTTGGCCCCGTGCCATCCAAAGACCAGGGTAATGTACTACAGAAGCGCTCATGAGCCTTGTTGGAGAGAGCGGCGAGGCGTACGAGAAGGAAGACGGGGATCGTCGAGAGGTACGAGTACCCGAGCAGGATCGGGATGAAGCGCGCGGTGCAGAAGATCGACTGCCAGATAATGATAAACTTGATGTACCGGCGCACTTGGTAGAGCGAGACGTCCTTGAGGAAGCAGAAGACGCCTTCGATGAGCCGCCAGATGCGGATCTCGTACACGTCCTTGGGCGGCGACCCCGAGATGGTCTCGTCGACGCGGATGCTACGAAGCAGGCGTGGGCTCGCATGTACAAGTATGGGCGGTAGTACCGGTCGCCACGGAAGCGCAGCGCAATGTCTTCGCCGCGGTCCATCGAGCGCAGGTGGAACTCGACGTGGCGCTCGTCGGGGTGGATATCGATGCCCACGGTGCCGGGCGATCGCAGCGTCCCATACACAGCTGAGCTCGCCTGCTTGGGCGACGTCGACTGCTCGGTCATCGGCGGCTTGAAGCGGACTGCGGAATGCGTCAACTTCTGTAAACCAACGAGAGCGCTTATTACTCACGGCAATTGCCACATACAAGTACACCCCGCCGTGGCGCAGAAAAACAAACGGGCTATTTTTCGTTTTATTTTTATTTTTTTGCCGTTTTTATTCGCGGCCAGTGTCGAGGCGTCGGGACGACGGGCACTACAAGGCGAGGATCGTTAACTAACTTCTTCGCAATAGTCAATCTAGCGCCAGTTTAAACGATATACCTTGCTGTGCATTTGGCCACCAGCGATGACTATTCTTCTCGGTCTAATAGGCACCCAAGCAGCAATGATGGTGATTCCTGCACACGATCGATGATTGCGTTCGTGTGCACAGCAGATTCATATGGGTGGCAATGTACTCGGTTAGTGCAATTCGTGCCAAAGAGAGTGAGAGCTGCGACGGAGAGTCGCGCAGCGTTTCGTCGCAGCGCCCCGCTGCTGCGCAGTCGCCAACGGCAGCCAACTCGGCCTCGAACAATAGCAACAACTCCCAACTCTTCTAGTCCTTTTACTAATATAACCACGCGAGGGAGATGAAAGCGATGGTCCTTTAACGTCGCCGTCGGCCGGCGAACGAATAGACGGAGTGGGACACGCTCTATGACGCAAGGACCGCTTGAGGTAATCACAAGCGCAGACAAGGATGCGATGATGGAGGCGCATGGTTTCCATGATATCTCTACACTTGGTGTTTTACTCGGCAGTGGTAATAGTGTCGACTAGCTCGTGCTGCCAAAGTACGAAAAGACGCTGCCGAGGACAGTCGGCGCTTCGTGCTTGCTTGGATTTGCCGCAGCTCGGCGGGGCTAAAGTGCAGGATCGTCGAGAGCACGGGAATGAGCTGCTCCTTCTCCTTGGCGCTCTCTGCGACAAAGTACTTGAGGAGGACGTTCTTGAGGTACTACGACACACACTCACGACGTGAGCCAAAAGCATGCAAACGTACTTCGACGTTGGTGGTCGGGCCGCCCCCCAGCTCTTCGTGGCGCGCGAGCTGGAGCTGGCTCGACTCCAACTGGCGCCGCGTGTCTTCGTACTACATCATCATGTCAGCGCAATTCTTTCCATGGCCTCGTCGCCGACCTGCTTTTGGACGCGGCCGGCACGGTCTTCGAGCTCGAGGATCTGACGACGCATGCGCGCAGCCTCCTCTTCGTGAGAGGCCTGAATCTATAAAATACAGTGATGAGTCGCAGAATCGATGGCCAACGCACCCGAGCGAGGTTGAGGATCTCGATGTCGACCGACGGCACGGCCGGCGGCGGCGCCGTCGCCTCGGACAAGCTCTGCATGAGCTGGTAAATTTCCGTGTCCTTGACCTTGAGCATCTCGCGGGCCACGTCGGTCTTGGCCTGAATCTCCTTCTTGAGGCCCTCGATCGTCGACTCCAGCTGCGCGTTTGCGTCTCGCGCGGCGCGCGCCTTGGCATCCTGCTCATCGAGGGCGGCTTGCCATTGCACCTTTTGCGTCTCGTACATCGACGCTCGGCGTCGGCTTGGGCACTCAGCGCCGCAACCTGGTCGCGGAGGTCGCGTGTGCTCGCCTCCATTTGCTGGAGAAGCTCACTGCGCGAGGCGACCGCGGCCGCGAGCTGCCGGCTGAGGTCGTCTGTTTCCGTTGCGTGCACCGCACGGAGGTCCGTCATCGTCGCGTGCAGCGCCGCGATCTCGTCTTGGAGCGACTGGCGCTCGTCGTTGAAACTTTTGCTGTCGACAGTCGCCTTCTTGAGCGCGACGTGGGCGCGCCGCTTGTAGCCTTCGAGCGCCTCCCGAGCTTCGCTCGCAGCCTCGATCTCGACATGAAGCTGCGCCTGCACTTGCTTGACGCGAGCTTCCGACGACGCCAGCGCAGTCTCCAACGTCGACGCCGCACTCTCGAGAGACGTCACGCGCGCCATTAGCGCCGTCCGTTCTGTTGCTTCGCTGCTTGCGGTTGTTTCCAGCTCCTCACAGCGCACACGTAGGACGGCCATTTGCGACGTTAACTCGTCCGACGCACGCGTCTTCTCGGTCGCAAGCGCTTCGAGACGCGTGAGCTCTTCCGTCGTCCCCACCGATGCCTCGGAAGCGATGGCGAGGCTGCGCTCATGGGCAGCGGCCATGTCTGCGGACGCAGCTTCGAGCGTTGTAATCTGCGCACGAAGCGCCTCGATTTCCGCCGACTGCGCTTTCTCTTGTTCGACCAGTGCCTGCATTTGCGCTGCCTGCGCACGCTCTTGTTGGAGCTGGTGGTCGGCGAGCAGAGCGTGCTGGTTGACGATTACGTCGCGCTCCGTCGCAAGACTTGCGAGCGCGTCCGACGCTGCCGTGGCCTCGGCGACCTTGTCTTCGTAGCGACCCTTGAGGTCCAGTGCTTGTTCCTGGAGCTTCTTGTACCGACGCAACACCTCCTCGAGTTTCTCTTTCAGAGACTGCGCGAGCGTATCTTTGGCGTCTTCGGCTGCGGCCAGCGCCCGCTCCATGGCCTCGGCTTTGGTCTCGGCTTGCGCGACTGCAGCCTCGCACTGCGCTTTGGACGCCGCGACCGCGTCTTCGAGCGCGCGCATGGCCGTCTCCTTGTCGTGTACGTCGCCCTCGAGCGTCTCGATACGGGAGTCGAGTGCCTCCTTCTCCGCCGTCCACGCCGCGTGCGCTTCAGCCGTCGAGGACTCGCGTCGCTCAGCCTCGCTCGTTAACGCTGCGATCGTCGCGTTGGTCGACGCCAGAGTATCCTGAAGCGCTGCGTGCTCCGCCGAGAGCGCATCGAAGGAAGCTTGCAGCGTCGCAAGGGCGTCTGACGTGGTAGCGAGGTCCGATGCGTGGCCTTCGACCGTCGACAGCTGCTGCGCAAGTGCCGTCTTTTCGTGCTCAAGGACCTCGTGCGCCTTCTGGAGTGTCCGCAACGCGTCTTCGAGGTCTGACTTTTGCCACTCGAGCGACTCGTTGCTACTTTGCGCCGTCGCCACGTCGGCTTCCAGCGCTGCGATACTCCCAAACCTTCATGAGCCGTCGGAGCACAGTGCGTTGAGGCCAAGCGCTCCGTTCGCAAGGCTGCATTCGTGGCCATCGATGCCTGCAGCGCCGCGTTCGTTTCGTCAACGCGCACTTTGAGGTCCTGCAGGGAGGCGGCGAGGACCGCCTTTTCGTTTTCAAGCGTTGCTACAGCAGCCTCCAGCTCGTTCGTGCTGGCCGCGTGGTCGCTGGACCTGAGCTGGTGCGCTTCATGGACTGCACTGAGCTTTGCCTCGGCCTCGTGCGCCAACGCAGTAGCTTGGGCAAGCCTGTCTTCCGTGTTCGCGAGTTGGGTCGCCAGGTCCGTGCACTTGCTCGTTGCTGCTTGGAGAGAGCGCTGCGACTCGTCGAGCGATGCAGCGAAAGTCTCGCTCGTTGTCGTGGCAGTCGAAAGTGCAGTCGTCGTTTCGCCAAGGGCACTTCGCGCGGCTACTAGCTCGGCAGTTGCAGCGGCAAGGTCGGCCTCGGCTTGCACCACTTGGGCTTCCAGCGCACCAATCTTCTGCGTAAGCTCCTCCTTGACGGCTCCGGTCGCGTAGCACTGTGCTGCGAGCGCTTCTTCATGACGGGCGGTGGCAGCTTCCAATGAAGCCTCGGCAACTTGAGCTCGCTCCAGAGCGATGTCTTGGCGCGTCGCCGCCTCCGCCATTGCGTCTTGCATCGTCTGCTGCAGAGAATCGACTTGGTCGGTTGTAGCGGCCAGCCGAGTCGTCAGATCGTAGTTCGTCGAGCGAGCTGATGCCAGCTCTTCCTGCAGCGCCTCCAGCGACGTTGTTTTTTCCGACACGAGAGCTTGCGCCAGCTGCACTTGGTCTCGTAGAGCGGCGCAGGAGGTCGTCATCGCATCGAGCTGCGTCGTCGTCGCTTCGGACGCCATGCGGCTCGACGTGAGTTCTGCCAATGCTTCTTGCAGCTCTGCATTTGTCTTGGCGAGTGTATCTTCCAGTGCCACACAGGCGCTGGTCTTTGTGGCCACGTCGACTCGAAGGGCAGCAACGCGTTCGTCGTCCTGGGTCGTGGCATCCACCTTCTCTTGCGCGACACGAAGCGCATCTTCCAGCGCTGCGCAGGCCTCGATCTTGGCGCTTACTTCGGCTTCGAGGGCGGCTCGTAGAGCTTCGAGCTCGTCGCGAGCCCGCGCTGCATCGGCGGCAGCGGTTGCAAGAGCCGCGTCCCGTTCGAAACGCGACGTCGCGAGGCTCGCCTGGAGCGCCGCGACCTCGGCTGCCAGCACGCGCACGGCCTCGGCATGCTCCGTGTCGGCAGCGTCTGCCGCCTGGCGCATCGCACGCAGCTGCTTCTTGGCATCGACAAGATCGCCCACAAACGACGAACACTTTTCTGTCATCGTCGCCACATCGGCCTCGAGTGCAAGAATTTTCGCATTCTGGGCCGCCTCGGTAGCGTGGAGCGCGTCGCTCAATGTCGTGCACTCGTCGCGAAGCGTATCGCCGTGGTGCTTGGCGTCCTCGAGTTCGGTCCGAACGGCCTCGAGACTGCTTTCCAACGACGCGATCTGCGCCGCTTTCTCCCGGAGGAGAGCAGCGAGTTCGTTCTTGGCACCATCGTCGACGTCGGCCTTGGACTGCAGCGCGTGCTCGTAGTCAGCCTCAAGCTTGGCGAGCGCGGCCGCCGCATCCTTGCGCCCGGCGCGCGCCGTTTCGTGCGCTGTCGTGAGCTCTTCGTCCAAGTGCGCTGCCTTGGCTTCGAGGCGACCGATGGCGCTCTGCTTGGCGCTGATCTCGGCTTCAAGCGCACTCTTCTCCTGCTTGAGCAGCGCCAACGCCGCTGCCATCTCGGCTTGCGCAGCTTCGAGCGACGCATTCGTCGCATCCAGGTCCTCCACCTTGGCCTCGAGATCCTCGACAAGCTCCATCTTGGCTGCGAGATCTCGCTCGACGTCAGCGTGGGTCGCACGAAGGGTACCCAGCGCTGCTTCGAGACTTTCGTGCGCGGAAGCAGTGCGCAGTGCATCTTGAAGCTTCACCTGCAGCTCCGCGAGCTCTGCTGCCTTGGCTCCCAACGACACTTCAAACGCTTTGGCGTCACGCTGCTTGCCTTGCTCCAGCGTACCATACGCGTCTTGGAGCTGGCTGCACTCGACCTCGAGCTGTGCCTGGAGCGCTGCAGTCTTGGCGTGTGTTGCGTCCAGCTCCGAGTGGGCACTGAGCGCGGCCGCAAGCTCTGATTGCAACGACGCGAGGCGATCGTTGTACATGGCTGTCGTGTCTGCCAGCGACGCCGTCAGCACAGCCTTCTCTTTCAAAAGCGCGTCGCAGCTGGCTTGGAGCGTCGCGCGCGCAGTGTCGTGCTCGCCGACTTGCGCTTCGAGAGCCAAAATCCGCGCGTTGACTGCACTGAGCTCGTTTGTCGCCTGCACCAAGGCCGCCGATTTCTCGGCAAGAGCGGCGGCCACGTCCTCGGCCGAGGTCAGCTTGTCTTCGAGCTCATTCTTTTCTGCCAGCACTTGGTTGTGGGCTGCTTTGAGAGCCTCGTAGGAGGCCACACCATCTGACATTGCCGATGCGAGCTGGGCTTCGAGCGACGAGACGCGGTCCGCGTGCGTTCGGAGCGCTGCCTCGAGCGAGGCCTTGTCGGCTTCGATACGTGCCTGCTCGGCGAGAAGATCCTCTTGGCGCGCGCGAAGGTCGTCGAGAGCCGCGTCTCGGTCCGCCAGCTGGCTCTGGAGCAACGCCACAAGCTGCGTCGCCGCCGCGAGATCTGCTTCCAACGTCGTCTTGGCGTCCCGGAGCGCGGAGGACTCATCGAGAAGATCCTCGTGCGACGCCTGGAGCGACCGGAACTCGGCGTGGAGCTGCGACTGCGACGCCTCGTGCGTGACCGTCGTCGCTTCGATGTCCTGGAGCTGCATCTGAAGCGCCTCAAACGTCATCTGACGCACTTCGAGCGTTCCTTCGAGCGCTCGCTTCTCTTGCTGGAGTGCATCGTGGTCAGCTTCGAGCTGCTGGAGCGACGCGGCCAAGTCCTTCTACGAAAGGGTCGAATCGCGCGGCAGAAAACGCATGAGATACCTCAATTTGGGCCAGGTTGTCACTGAGCTGCGACGACGCATCAGGGACGCGGGCTTCAAGAGACGCGACTGTCGCGTTCAGAGCCGCCTTGGCCTCTGCCCACGAGATCTGGCCCTCCGAGAGCGCCGTCTCAGCCGACGTCTTTGCGTCCAAGAGCGTCGCACACTCGGCTTCCAATGCCGCAACACGCGCGTCGGCGGCCTCGACCCGGCCCTCCAGCGCAGCGTTTGCGTCGCGCAATGACGTCAGCTCGTCATCGGACGCTGCATTCGCCGCGGCTGCGTCGTCCAAGGCTGCTTGGAGCGTCGCAAGCTGCTGCAGCTTGTCTTCGAGCGCTGTCGCTAGCTCGTCGCGCACGTTGCGCTCAACCAAGGTCGCGTCGGCTTCATGTCGCTGGACGGACGCGTCATGGGCCGCCTGCAGCGCCGCAAAATCTGCCTCGAGCTCTGCAACGCGCGCAGTCTTGTCTGCCAGCGCCGTCGCGACCTCGTCCTTGAGCGACGCCTTCTCGACGCTGAGCTTGTTGACGGCGGCCTCGAGCTCTTGCTGCCGCTCGTGCATGGTGCGCTCGTTCGAGTGCGCTTGCTCGAGCTCATCTTGGAGCAGGTTGATCGTGTCCATCTTGCTCTTGACAGCGTCCATAAGTTGGCTCGTCACGGACATTTCGAGGTCGCGTAAGGCCACGCGATGCACTTCGTCCTTCGCGGCCAGCGACGCTTCGAGTTCCGTGACGCGGGCTGCGGAGGCGTCGGCCGCCGCCTGCGTCTCCAGAACAAACTGCTGTAGCTTCCGATAGCGCTGGATTACCTCTTGGAGCTTTGTGACGACCTCCACCTTCTCGGCTTCCTTCTTCTTGACTTCGTCGTAGAGCGGGCTCGTGTCGGTCCCGTCGTTGCGCATCTTCTCGTGCGCAAGTTCAAGCTCGAGGGCTTGGACACGCTCCGCGAGGACCGATGCATCACCATTGTCGGATTGCTGCTTCTGGAGCTCGCGGTACTTGGCGACGAGCGTCTTGAGCTTCCCGATCAAGTCGTCCTTCTCCTTTTCTAGCGTTGCCGTACGCGTCCGTAACGCATCATCGCTCTGGCTCTGCTGCAGTTGCTTGTAGCGTGAGACAACCTCCTGCAGCTTGCCCATGAGCACTTGGTTCTCTTCCTTGGCCTTCATGACGGCGCGGCGCTCGGCCTCGAGCTGCGCCTCGAAGTCCGCCATGCTCCACGTGTGCAGAGCAGAAATTCTCGTCGCTCATTGGCTGAAAACCGCCTTCGATTACGCCAATCACATGTGGCTGACTGCCGGAATTAGTGTAAACAGACAAAAGATCCATTGCCAGCGCCAAACACACTTACGCTCATGCCTTATTCCCCTGATAGCTGCAGACGGCCCAGCATGGACAAGCAGTGCGCACTGCGCCATTGTCGTAGACACTGCTGTTATCCGGCAGCTATGGCTGCGTATGCAAAAGGGCACGTCGTCCCAGCCAAAAGAGTATCCAACGCTGTAGCCAAGGTGCGAGGTCGCCGCGATCAGGTTCGTTTACTAAGAGCGCATGTGCGCTAATCCAAGCATGTTGCAGCAACGAGGCAATGGTCCCGGCACCTTGGAGATGACGAACACAGTGTCCATCGGACATTACAACAGTATATTATGACTAACACGAAATAGGCATTGCAAGAGAAAGTACCTCGAATCAGTTGCAGTAGCACCTTGCGCTCAGAATCACCTGTGTCCAAGCCAGGAAGTTCCCTCGTTGCAACAAAGTGCGGACTGTAAAAGCGCAGAAACCCACCCATTTGAGCATGCTGGGTCTTTTTGACCGGAGGTAATACTCATTCCAGGAGAGCCAAGATCGCCGACAACCACGGACCATGGGCAACGACCAGTCGCAGGACCGAAGCTCGCGCCAGGCGTCGACGCGTGGCAGCGCTCTGCGCATGGACCACTACCCCGGCGTACCCTTCGTCGTATGGGACGGCGAGCACCACTTTGCCGAGCCTTCGAGCTACAAGTACAGCGGGACGGGCAGCCAGGTAGCGCGAATCATCGACGTCGCCTCGCCTCATGTATGCACAGGTGCTTGGCCACCCCGTCTTTGTGAATCCACCCAAGGCCGACACGGAGCTGCGCAACGTGGCCGAGCTCAGTGGCAACATTGCGGTCGTCGAGCGTGGTGGCCGCGTCCACTTTCCCGACATCATGCGGCGCCTCCTCAAAGCCGGCATCACAGGTTGCGTCTTTGTCGAGCGCGAAGAGTACAAGGGTCCGTCCATGCTCTTCGAGGGCTTCCACTCGTCCGGGCGGCAGTCAGTCGACATACCGATCGTGCGGCTTTCTAAGTTCCACGCCGACCAGTTCCTGCGCAAGAAGCCGGCGCAGATTGCATTTGTCTTCGTGTCGGGAACAGCTGCGCTCGAGAAGCTCGTCGGTGACGATCTCCCGTCGGCAGCGTCCACTGCCTGCCGTCTCGGCGAAGGTCTGATCTTGCGGTCGCTGCTCCAGACATGCAGCTCCCAGGCGATCCAGGTACGTCGAGCACTCGTCTGCAATCGCATTCTCGCTACACTGTACATCAATGGGATTAGACGACGGCGTGGGCCAATGCGCTTTGCGACGCGGCTGAGAACGGCCACGTCGATTGCATCGAGGCGCTGCACGCGGTCGGCGTCTCTTTGGACGACCACAAGGTGCTCGTACGCCGTCTCTTCCGCGCGTCTCATGGGTGGTGGAGCTGTAGCCCAACGGCACAACGCCGCTCATGGTCGCGTGCTCGGCCGGCAACGTGGAGGTGGCGCGGGCGCTGGTCACGTTTGGTGCCTCGATCGACGCCGAGGACGTGCGACGCCTTGTTCCGTGACGATGCACTCAGCCATGGCTAGGTCCACGACAACTCGGCGCTCATGATTGCGGCGCGGGACGGCGCCGAGGCGTGCGTGCGCTACTTGATTCGGAAAGGCGCTTGTATCAATCTTTCGCGGAACCGGGTGGGCGAGTCAAAGGACGCTGTCGTCGGCGCTCATCACCGCCGCTAGAAACGCGGCACGACCGCCTTGCACATGGCGGCGCGTAGCGGCAAAGTTGACTGCCTCGTCGCACTCATCGAAGCGAAAGCCGACCTCGATATCCCCAGCGTACGCTTCCGTACGACTATCAACGGCCTGAAACGAGAGGATGTTGTGTAGCCGAGCTCGACGACGGCGCTCATGGAGGCGGCGCGGGCAGGGCACTTGAGCATTGTCAAGATCCTCGCCGACGCCGGCGCCCAGCTCGACTGCAAAGATGTTGGCGCCCGTCGTATGCGATGCGCTAACATGTGCACTGTAGCGCGATGGAAAAACGCCGAAGCTATCGCGACCGCCGCCGGCTTTCAAGAGATTGAAGATTACCTGCGCCAACGGGCCGAAAGCGTGCGGGTTTCTATCCGTGTATCAATTCATCACGCGCGGTGGTAGGACTCGGTCAAGGACCAGCGCAAGCAAATCGAAGATGCCATCGACCGGCCCGAGTTTACGCTGCGCGCGCTGCTCGAGCTTGCTGACGAGGCGGGCATCGACGTCGACATCCTCAAGCGCGAAGTGTTGCGCAATCCCAAGATCATGCGCTGGCTCACGTCGCCCAACGTTGTCTTTGACATGTTCAAGCACCTGACTGCGCCGCCGTCCATGAACCTCGACCCGGTCTACGGTGCGTACAAAATGCAGCACTTTTGCTGCGAGATCGCTTTGTGGTACGACCGCAAGATCTTCGAGCGGCAGGGCGCAGTCGATGCTGACGTCTGCGTCGCGTACTTCAAGGTCCTCTTCAACTTTCTCTGCAAGAGCGGGTCCCTCGACGACGTCCTCGTCGTGCTCTTCTGCAAGGTTGTCAACACCTACGTGAACGACCGCGGCCTCGGTCCGAGCATTCTCCTCTTCTTCTCGCGCGAAGCAAGCCACATCGTGCCCTGGGTTGTGTGCCACGTCGGCCTCGACTCGATTCGGGACTCGCTCGTCTGGATCCTGTACTCGGACCTCTCCGAGACGGGGCAGCTCCACTTGGCTCAGAGCGGCCTCTTTGGGTGCATGCTCGACCGGCTCTGCTCGTGGCAGCGCACGCTGAGCTGGGGCGTCGGCACGGCGTACCAGCGCGACTCGGTCGAGAACATCTGCGCGCTCCTCAAGTACATTCTTTTCCCGCCGTCCGTGTACGTCATTGGCAACGTCGCGACGTTCGTCGAGAATACGGACTTTACGCTGCCGCTCATCACGGACCGAAGCCCTGCTGGCCGCCAAAACGAGCTCCTCCGGTCGCTCCTCGGGCACCTCGTCATGGCGGAGACGGTGTTTGCCGTCTTCTTGTCACTCGGCCTCGCCGAGCTCTCGCGCCAGATCAAGCTCCCGTGCGCGTACGTGCTGCAGGATGGCGGCGCTCTCTCCGTGCTTCTCATGCTCATGAGCACGCTCGGGTACCACAAGAAGAAGCGCGATGTCGCATCCGTCGAGGGCCTTCTCCGCGACTGCCAAAAGGCGCTTGTCGACGTCGTCGTGCCCCGGGTCGGCCGCTTTGTGCACCTTTGCCACGACGTGGTGACGCGCAAGGCGGCTGCGCCCCGGGGCAACGCGCTGCTGTGCGTTGTGACGTTCCTCAAGCGCTGCATCTTTATGCAGCACGGAGCGTTGAATGCCGCCCTCGCCCAGGCCGGGTGCATGCCGGCGCTCATGGCGTGCTTTGCCGCAAGCCCGAGCAACTCGATGCTGCACCACGAGGTCACCGACGTCATTCGCTTCGTGCTTTTGGACCCGGACCAGAAGCGACTGCCATCGTGCCCGCTGTTAAACAGCCTCTTTTTGCCGTCAAGCAGCATCCTCGAGCTCGTCATTACATCGTACCACGGCCACGTCCAGTACAAGGGCCACATGACGACGATCGCCAACAGCATCTTTACCCTCATCAAGTACGCACCCGCGATGAATAACATGTCCATGATTTCTCCTGGCCACTAGTACGCCCGTGCAAAAGGACCAGGCCGGCGTCACGTGCCAAGAGGTGGTTCGACAGTACACGGCGACCAACGAGGCGTGGGTTCGTTTCGAAGCTGTTGTTGGCCGGCAAAACTCGGTCGAGATGGCGCCTCTCGGCCAGCGCCATGCACCACTCTGCTCGGGTTGCGTCAACCTCAAGGAGACGGCGGCACAGTACGTGGCCGAAACGCTCGGGAGCCACGTGTACATGTCTGGTACGACGACATGCAGATGAATGCAGGGACTGGAGACGCATAGGTTACGTCGAGACGATCTTTTCGGGCGCCGCAACGCACCACTGCAAGGTCAACACGACGGAGGACTTTATCACGGGGTTTCTCTACAAGAAAGACAAGATCCACGACCACATCCCCGTGCCCGAGCCAACGCGCGCGTCGTCGTTCATTCAGTTTCCAGTGCCAATGCCGTTCCACGCGCTCACGTTTACGCTCACGTTTGTGGGCCTCTGCCGCAAGTGCGACAAGCTCTGGTACTGCGATACGCTCCAGAGCGGCACGACCAACTGGACGACGCGCATGAAGTGGGTCATCCCGACGTCCGTGCGCAAGTGGTACTCGTTTGGCGGCGCGGCGGCCGGGCCTGGCAGCGGCGCCCACGGCCTCGTCTTCTCGACCAAAGGCTACAAGAACTTTCTCGTGCTCACCGACACGTGGGGTCGCCAGGAGCAGTGGATCCACGCGATCGAGGACGCGGTGATTGGGCTCCAGTCGCGCGCGCAGGTGCAGTCGAGTGCGAACGCGCTTGCGATCGAGATCGACAACGAAGCCGACAACAGCAACATCATGACGTCACAGGACGTCCGGCCGGTCGTGAGCCCGCCCCGAAAGCGCTCCAACACGACCACGTCGACCAAGACGACGGGGGAGCTGGACCTCAAGATGTTCCAGCGCGGGTGCCAAGTCGACAACCTCGCGAAAGCCAAGGGACTGCGGCTGCCGCCTCGCTTCCAAACGGACCCAAAGGAGACGCCGCTCATGAGCCTCAAGGCGCTCGGCAAAGACAACAAAATTGGCATGCGCCACGTAGCGTCGACGCCCAACCTCGCGTCGTTCGCCAAGTCGTCGTATTAGCTCCATGTACAATGCATCCGCTTTCATTTGTTAATCGTGTTTTCTAAAGTCATATGGAGCGATTAGCGGTGTTCGTGAGCAAGCACCCGGGCTCTACAACGAAGGCCGGCGCAAATGTCGTCGCTTGATAACGACGTCGATCGAGTCGTCCACGGATGTAGCATTCTGCGTTTGATCGACGCAGCTCGAGAGAGCGCTGGGACCGCTACTGGAGCTCATGACGTTAGAGCTGCCCTGTCTTCGACCAGATTGTTTGTCAGTGGGTCGATAGGCCGTCATGGCACTTTTTCCTTGGCGCAATCCACGTCGTTGCAAGCGACTTGCCCCAAGGCCTTACACTGAGTCATCTGGGGCCTCCTCGACGAGTTCGTCCTCCATTCATTTGCTCGCTTGAACTTGTTTCTTTGTCGCGGTACATGCAACCTTTACAGTACAAAAGATGCGAGGGCTTGTATTCTCCAGTACGACTCATAGGCGAACATTTCGCGAGCGCTCGCATGCGTGGATAATGCTAAGTGCGCTGTGAGAGTATTGTCGCGACGTATTCTCGTTTAACGTTAGACAAATGGCGCACGCGTCGGAAGTGGTGAGAGCGTGACCTCAAGATACACGGGAGCAATCGCGACCGTGTCCTTGCGAACGTTCAAGTTGGCAGCCGGTGTTAGCGCGACACTGTACGTCGAGAAGAGGGTAGAGAGTACGACAAGCATTTCGGCCATGGCAAAGCGACTTCCAATGCAGTTCTTGTCGCCTACCAATAATGGCATTTGTCTCGGGCCATACATAATCAATGACGTACCGACGCTAAAGGGAAAGTAGCAAAACGTGTTGGGCTTGCCGCCTCGAAGCGCCAAGTCGGCTTCGTACACATCCGTGCCTTCAATGAAGCGCTCTAGCACAACGTGAGCAGCTGCAATTCTTCTCGGAATCACCTGGAAGGAACTCGTTGGGTTGGCTCCAGTACGTCGGGTTGCGATGGATCGCGATGATGTCGAGAAAGATATCAGCGCCCTACGCGCGATGAAGCAGTGGAAGTGGAAGGAGTGAGGTACCTTGGGGATACCAACACTCGAGCCATCACCAAGTGGCAGCGTGTCGGCCTCAGCGGCGTGACGCGACGTCTCGGGCACCGTCGGACGCAGTCGCAGCGTTTCGTGGATGACGGCCGAGAGGTACGAGAGGTGACCGAGCTGCTCCCACGTCGGCACCTTGTCGTTGCCATCACAACGCATGCGCAAACACTCGTCGTGGACCTTGGCGGCGACCGTTGGGTGCTGCGCCACGAACGAGACGACCCAAGCGAGAGTATTGTCAGTCGTCTACCAGGGAAACATTACTCGAGACCGCTTCAATAATTGTCGCACCTCGTGGCCAGCAAACATGAACATGAGAAGCAGCGCGCGAATGTCAGCCATCGGCATATCGGACGCTTGCGCGAGGATGAGGTCGAGGATGTCCTTGGGTGCACTGCCAGCCGTGGACGTCTCCAAAGCGATTAATTTTTGCTGCAGCACTCGGTCGATAAGGCTCTGCAGCACCGACTGCGCTTCGGCTCGGCGACGGTTGGACGCTAGTGGAAGGTACTCGTAGAACGGTACGAGGGCAAAGCCAATGACGCCAAACAAGCTGGGCGTGAGGTTGTTGTCGTGGAATGCCTGTATCTCGCGCGGGTTCTTGTTGCGAAGCGACTCGAAATCATAGCCAAAGGCCGCGACACCAATCATGTCCAGCGCCACCTGCGTAAACACTAGGTCACATGAGAAGGGATGAGGTCCACGCTGGCGCGTACGGTTCTTGAGATCGAGGGGCTGATCAATCGCGAGCTGCTCCATGAAGACGTCGGTGTGGTGCTGAAAGACATGGAGCATTGTCTTGACGTTGGCTTGGCCAAAGTGTGGGTTGAAGAGCTTGCGCAACGCCGCGTGCGCAGAGCCTTCGGTCGTAACGAGTGTGTCGCCACCTCCAAGTTTCTTCTCGACCGTTGGGATATACAGTACTGCTTGGTTTAGTACCTTGAAGAGAGTTCGGACAAGAGGCGACCGCGGGTAGTTCTTTGCCTTCGAGACCATCACGTGCTTGATCGCGTCGGCGTCCGTGATCACAATCTACGACACTCGATGAGATTGCTCAAGCAGCCAAGACCTCGTACGCGGTGCATGTGAAGCACGCGGTAATAGAAGACGCGGCCGTAGCGCTTCATCCTACAAGATGGGTCGTATCTCTTTCTGGAGCGAGGCACGGCGTTCCTACCACGAGAGGTGGGGCATGCCAAAATTGCCGTCCTGCTCCCATGCCGAATAGTCCATCGCCTCCTGTCTGCACGCGCATCAAGACGACCCTCTCTAGAACAAAAGTGGTGTACCCGTTGCCAAAGAGCCAGCTCGTCGGCGGTGGGCCTGGAAGGTGGGCATACGGGCTCCGCCACGCGGAGAGCAGCGCCGCGACACAGACGGCGAAGACAGCTGACACAGCGAGCGGCAGTGCTAGCTCTGTGAAAGTCTCAGTGAATGGCATACCGGTAGTTGCCGAATGGCATGTTGTGAACGGCGTCGGTGCTGAAACGAGTGGGTGACAAAGCGTGATATCTGGTGCCGTACTGTGAACGATGATTTTGCATAGCTGCGCATTTGATAAAGGTGATGGGAGGTGATATCATCGACAAAGGCTCCTTCACTTAAGCAACGCAACAACCGCCTCGAGTTGATGGACAACGACGCCAAGGTGGAAGGTCGCCCATCCAGCAAGTGAAACGGACTTACTCTGTCCACTCTAGCCCCCTCGCTTCTAGGTGTACTAGTATGTGCCATCCTTTGCTTCATGTACATGCTGCGCTCCCGAACCGCCATTTGGACCTCGGCGAAGCCTAATCTCCTTTGGCTTCGCCGGTATGTGTAGTCCAAACGTACATAAATGTGGTTTAATACAATAGTATTGCTCTTGTCTGTTACTACATGTATTTCGTGCCGATCGGTGAGAGCTGCACCTCGAGGTGAATTGGCGCGATTGTCCCCGTGTGCTTGCGCACGTTCACGTTGGCTGCTGGCGTCAGCGCCACGTGGTATTTCGCGAAGAGGGCCGAGAGCACGACAAGCATCTCGGCCATGGAAAAGCGATTTCCGATGCAGCTCTTGTCGCCTACCATTTGTGTAGATATAATCCGCGTCCCATATGATAGTGAGGACGCACCCAAGCCGAACGGAAAGTAGCAAAACGTGTTCGGCTTGCCGCCTCGGAGCGCCAAGTCGGCTTCGTACACATCCGTGCCTTCAATGAAGCGCTCTACCATAACCACGTGTATGTGTTGATTCTGGTCTTCTCGAAATACCTGGAAGAAACGTATTGGGTTGGCTCCAGTACGTCGGGTTACGCTGGATGGCAATAATGTCGAGAAAGATGTTGGCGCCCTTATAGAAAGCCATGAAAGGTTGTCTTCCAACTGCCAGATATATCGAGTGATACCTTGGGAACCGCTACGTACGATCCATTAGTCAGTGGAACCATGTCGGCTTCAAGGGCGAGGCGGGACGGCAACTCCGGCACAGTCGGACGCAAGCGCATGGACTCGTGAATGACGGCCGAGAGGTATGGGAGATGACCGAGTTGGTCCCACGTCGGCCCCGTATCGCTGTCATCGCAGCGCACGCGCAAGCACTCTTCGTGGACCTTGGCAGCCACTTCTGGGTGCTGCGCCACGAATGAGACGATCCAGCCCAGCGTATAGTTCGTCGTCTACCATTGACGCACGTGAGTGGTATTTTCAAACCTTTTATCGTGCCTCATGGCCGGCGATCATGAACATGAGGAGGATTGCGCGGATGTCGACCATCGACATGTCTGACGCGTGCTCGAGGAGGAGGTCCAGTACGTCCTTGGGTGCATCACTACCCTCGGTCGTACTAGTATCAACTTTTTGCTGTAGCACTCGACTGATGACGCCTTGTAGCACCGCCTGCGCTTCGGCACGACGCTGGTTGGACGCCAATGGCAAGTACTCGTAGAACGGCAGAAAGACGAAACCGACGATGCCAACAAAGCTCGGCGTGAGGTTAATGTCGTTGTACGCTTGGATCTCTTCGGCATTCTTGTCGAGGAGCGACTGGAAATCGAAGCCAAACGCTGCGACCCCAATCACGTCGAGAGTCATTTTCGTGAACACTAATCGAAAATTCAGTCATCACAACAGGGGTAGGGTCCGCGCTGAAACGGCTAAAAACATACGATTCTGGAGGTCCACGGGTTCTTTCGTCGTGAGCTGCTCCATGAAGATGTCGGCGTGGTGCTGAAAAATAACAAGCATCCTCTTGACGCAGGCTTGGCCAAAGTGGGGATTGAATAGCTTGCGCAGGGCCGTGTGGTCGCGGCCTTCAGTCGAGAGGAGGCTCTCCCCACCCGCAAGTTTCTAAAAGCTATCGCATATTCTGCGACACGGATCGAACAGTGGTGTACCTTTGATATGATGCGTGTGATGGGCGCCCTCGGGTAATCTCCTCCCTGTGTGACCATCACGTGCTTGATGGCAAGAGGATCGGCGACGACAACCTACTGTCGACGTGAGCCGCTGAAGCGACTACAAGCGACGAACTCGATGCATGTGAAGCACGCGGTAGTAGTACACGCTTCCGTACCGCTTGAGCCTACAGGGCCACATTCCATAAGCACGATCGAATGCGTATGAGTACGTGCCACATGCGACCGGGCTCACCAAACCCGCCATCTTGCGACCAGATCGAAGAGTCCATCGCTTCTCGTCTACGATGGCCCGTCGTTTTCATCGTGTTCGTGGAGACGCCATACGCAGACGGTGGTACCCAGAACCAAACAACCAGCTCGTTGGCGGTGGCCCTGAGAGATGGGCATACGGGCTGCGCCGTGTGGTGAGCCACACCATGACACCGACGACAATCACGACGAGGAGACTGATATCGGACAATTCGAGGCTTGCGATCGAAAGCATCGTTGCGCGCTGTCGAAAATTGGTTTCTGCCATCGTGCGCGGGGCAGTCGTATAGTAGGTGCAACTCCGTACACTACAGTGTGCAGTACTACTGCTTTGCAACGGAAACGAAGTTGGTGTGGCGCAGGGCAAAGTCGGAATCGCAAACGAAACACCAATGTTCAAGCACAGAACGCTCATTCCACTGCAAAGACCAGTACCGTTTAGATTATGAAAAGGATCGAGAGGCTCATGGCTACAATTCCAACAAGAACTCGTCACCCCTGCGTATGCATGTTTCGGAAATTCGCCTGTCACGACACCTGATGGCATATCCCTCGTTCAGCACATCTTGCACACGACAGCGATGCGCTGCACGGGCATCCACGTGGGTCGAAGAATCGTCATATGTAGGATGTGCGCAACTTCTCCCATGCATTGCCGACGTCACGAGGTCGCATTGCTTAGCAAAGGCAAATGCAGGACCAAGTTGGCTCACTCTCAGCGAGTGAATCGTATCCGTGACAACAGGACATTTGCGTAGCGACTACATGTATGACTCGCCACATTACTCTGACAGCTTAGCTCGAGGAAGTTGGTCCACATGACAACCATATTCGAGCGTTGCGCGGCAGGTTCGGAGCTACGAGAATGCCAAGCGCCTTGGTCGGCTTCGACGGCTGGACGAGCTGCAGCGTCGGCAGGTTGGGCAGAGGCGAGTGCGTGAGGACTTGCGTCTTGTCTCGGTTCAGCTTGAATCCCGAGAGGCTGCAA